AGCTGGCGGCGCGCCATCGCTACCCACGCCCTCTGCTGATCGTGGCGCGTTGCTAGACAGTATCCGCTCCGCAGGCGGTATTGCTTCGTTAAGGAAGGTGGATCGGAGTCAGATTCGGGATCGGAGTGCTGCTATGATTCCTGGACAAAATAATGATTCAGGGGCTGGAGCTGCAGCAGCAAGCGCTGCGGCGGGAGGGGCGCCGAGCATGGCGGATGCACTTGCGAAGGCACTCAAGGAGAGGAAGGGGAAAGTTAGTCGGAGTGGTAAGTTTTCTTTTTTTTTTTTTTGGTTAATTCCTTTTATTTTTTTTCTCCATATTCCCAGCTTCATCCATGCCCATGGTTTGGGCTGTGAGTGTTGGTCAAAGAGGCAGTGCTAACGTACAACAGATGATGAGGATGAGGATGATGAGTGGGATTAAGCACCCATGCTCACATAAAGCTGAACCAATGGGGATGACATTGCCATGGAATAATCGGCTGTTGGTTGAACTCTCAGCTGGCGTTAACATGCCTGAGCATACCTCGTAAGAGTGACCACCATAACCACGAAGTCCGGATTGAGAAGCTAGATTTGCAAAGGAGTTTGTCGATGGATAAGTCTCGCAAGATGCAGGAGGATAAGCGAGTGAGGAGGTTGGAGATAGAGCTCGACTGGACATTAGGGACACGCCAGCCTGAGTAAGGAAGGTGGTAGGATAGGATAGGATAAGATAGGATAGGATAGGGGGTTAACAGTTTCTATGGGCATACAATAGAGGAACAGCAGGTTCCTCGTTTGGGTTGTGAACTTTGTTTTGTTGTCTTGCCTTGAGAGTTCTGTTATATCGGAATAGGCATTGTTGTTTGCAGCAGCAGGTAGTAGAGGTATGTGTAGTGGTGGTGTGTGTTTGACAAGTACGTTGGTTTGGGTTGTATTTTTCGTGTGTAGATAGTAGTGGTGGTTATAAATTGGATCGAAGTGAGGGCGTCTGGTAATACTTTGAATAGAAGTATTGGTTATGTGTACTCAACTATGCCTAACGCCAGGAAGAAGGCAATAGTAATGTATTCTGTTTAAAAAAAAAGCTACACCTCTATGCCTGCACACATGCATTCATTTTCACCACGGTAACCGGCAGACGTGATCATCATGGAAGAATCAGTCCATTACTCGAAAGCACAACATCACATACTAACTTGGGCAATCCCTTCATTACATTGGAACTGAAAACAGTTGAGTGACGGAAACGAATTTCATTTGATTGATAGCCTGACAACAAGGAGACCCAAGACAAGGTGATGACGTCCCTCCCATCATGACCTGCCTCTGAATTCTCCGCCCATGAAGAAGATTCCTCCACCAGGCCCATAAGGCAAGTTTGCTTTCGTGACCCTGTACCACCTACTGTCGGGGAACCTTGAGGCCCCCCCCTCCCCACCCTCCCACACACATATTGGGTACCTGACTGACTCCCTCGGCAAGGGGCCCAGCCGGATAGGGAGAGGTAGATTAGATGTATGTGGGTGTGGTAATGGAAAGACTCAAGGTTTGAGAGAGAAGACAGTTTTTTTGCTTTCCTTGGCTGCGTACACTGCACAGATTCACATCCTCAAGCTCGTGATAGTGGATGTGGTCTGTCAGTGGTAGCAGATGGAAAGGGTGGTCTGCCATACGGGAGCGGAATTGACTTGTGTGTGTTTGATGTGTGTTGTGTATGCAATCCCCGACGCGACCAACTCAACATATGTGTGAAGTGAAGTGAAGTGAAGTGAAGAGAGAAGAAGATGGATAGAGTAATTGATCGATCGATCGCTTAGATGTCGTCGATATCGATCTCCTTCTTCTTGTCGTCGGCGGCACCGCCATCGTCGCTCTCGCTGTCGCGGTCTTCGTCAAACTCGAACCCGCAGTCGCCGTCGTCGGCACCACCGAAGGTGTCGGTCTCGTTGATTTTTGCGGTATCGGGGAGCTCACCGTAGGCCTTCCTGCAGGGTTGTTAGCACTATATCAAAGTTGGAAAAAAGAGAGGGGAGGAGGCCGGGGGGGGGTGGGAAGGTAAAGGACGTACAGGGTGCGCGCCTCATCGGCGGTGTACTTGAGGATGACATCACCCTTTTCGTCCTGGTATTCGCGGAGCGAGATGAGGATGATGTCGCCGTTGTTGATCCACACCTTTTTGCGGAGCTTGCCGCGGATCAGACCAAGACGTTTGACGCCATCAAAGCACTGTTTTTTTTTTTTTGTCAGCTTAGAGACACTCTCTTTGTGTTGGGAATCCTGATCAACACCATGCGGAAACACATACATAGGCCTCCAGGCGGCCGTTGCCCAGCATCTTGATGACCTGGGCATACTCTTGGCCTTCTTCCTTGAAGATGAGCTCGCGCTTCTCATTGCTGTAATTGTCACGATCAGTCAGCGACCGCAGAGGGGGATAGAGGGGCACAGTCAGGGGAAAACGCACTCATTTTCGTTCTTTCCGCGACGGCGGTTCTTGCCGCCCTTGCCCTTATTCTTCGGCATGTTTATGGATTGTGTGGTTAGGGAGTTGTGTTAGCGATGTGTAGAAGAGTGATAGGCTCGAGATGTGAGGTCTCTAGAGGTTGTCTAAGCGTGGTCAAGTGTGTTGAGTGTAGTCGCGATGATGAGTTTGCCGAAGAGGGGCAGCTTTGGAAAGTTAAAGGGCCTGTCGGTTTTAGCGCCGCTGGTTGGTTTGTCGCCTCTTAGAAAGTGGGGCAGAGTGGCAGTGGCGGGGTGGCTCAGTGGCTGAAGCATCGGTTTGAAGTTGAGAGACGAACCTTGCCAAGAGTGTGGTTGGAGTGAAGCGCGGCAGTAGCAAGCAGTAGGTGTGTATTATGATTGTGAAATGAAAATCCGATGGTTTACGCTTCAAGGACGAACTCTCATTATATGTGCCCAGTTCAGATCGCCATCTAGGTCGAATCAGTCAGGTCATCATCAGACTCAGCAAGAGTTGACGGGGGCAACCAAAAAAAAATAAGTTCAGACGGGGATATGTAAACAAGAAAATTATAAAGAAAATCAGGACGAAAACATAAGAGATCAGGGATCAAGGATCAAAGGTTGCAGCTTTGATCACAGACGACATATCACAGATCACAGCTTAGACGCCTCACAGAGCTTCCTTCAGACTCGGGACCGTTTCTAGACTCAGATCCAGACCCTGATCCGACGATCTCACTCACAAAAATGTTGAGACGCACACTCACTCGTCTAATGTCCCTCCAACACTCTCACTCCATACCCAGCACATCTTCCTCCTCCTCCTCCTCCTCCTCCTCCTCCTCCTCCTCCTCCTCCTCTTCCTCCTTCAGCATCACCTCAACTTCAACCTCCTCTCCCTACTCAACTACCTCCTCGGACCTAACCCTCGAAACCCTTCGCAAAATCACTCAAACTACGACCGTCCTCCCACCAGCCCCAACCTCCTGGCAAGAACCCTTCACGCCCTCCCCGCGCGTGGCATCCTTTGCCGCGCAAAACAACCTCGCCTTCTCCAACGCGCTCCGCATGTTCCCCGGCCAAAACGTGCAATCCATGCCCCTGCGCATCTCCCTCTGCCCCAAACGCGCCTTCAACTTTTATCATCAGCGCTATTTCGAGCAGTATGAGCACCCCCTGACGGAAAAGACACTTCATTTCTATGAAGAGGAGATGAAGAAAAAGCCTTTGTGGTGCTACGTGCACTGCTCGGGAGCGGATGGGAGTAACACGGTAGTGCGGACGGCGGCGAGGCGATATTTGACGAAGGTGCTTGCGCAGGCGCTGGAGAGGGAGGGATATGAGTTGAGTGGGAGGAGTTTAAAGCCCGGGGAGAAGGAGTTGAGGGGGACGATTCAGGTGGTTGTGACGGAGGGGAAAACGCTCTTGAATATGGATGGGAAGAAGCTAGAGGAGTATGTGGGTTTGTTGGTGAGGAAGGATATCGTGCCGCGGCTGTCGGGGAGGTTACATCAGATGAATCAAGAGTATGAGAGGGGAAAGAGGCAGCAACCGCGAGACCGACAGAGGAGCCAGCAGAGAGGGAACAGGCCGCAGCGGTAAGATGAGAGACCAGTGTCACCAATGTATAACTAGGTAGTTAATTCATATAATGCTACGTGTACTGTTATCCAACGCTGCCTCGCTGCAAATCTGCATGTCATACTGTACATGTGCAAACAAACAACCGTCCCAAATCTATCATGATGGTGCATACTTAACATAGTTCCCTTCGGATTAAAACCCCCAACCCCCGCCTTCCCCCCCCCCTTTTTTTTTTTAAGCTTGCTCCTTCTTCTCACCATAAGACTGGATATACTTGGTATGTAGCTCCTGTACAGCCGGGATGATGAGGCTCTCGATCTCGATCGGAGGGTCACCCTCCGGCAAGCTCTTTGGATCCAGGGGTTCGTCCTTCTCCGTATCCAAGGGAGCGCCGTCTGGACCATTCTTATTGAACGGGACCCGGATCCAGCGGTCCTTGCTGCCGGGAGAAACAAAGACCTGCTTTATGTTAGCCTTGGCACACAGCTCAGTCGAAGAACATACGTACAACTTCCCACTTTCTCGTGGACAGCAAATTCCCAATGACCAAGTGATGCTGATAGCGATCCAGCGAGTACTTGGCCTTGCGCACCAGAATCGACGGGTCCGTCTCCAGTTTGAAGGAGACAATCATGCCCTGCGGTGACCAGCCCTCGACCAAATTCTTCAAGAACTTGGGCACGGGGTCGAGGTCAATCACCAGCCTCTTGCTCCGCGGTACCGCCGGCGACGAGTCAAAGTTGTCAAACGTCTCCTCCTCCTCCACAGACGGCGTGCGCACTCCCCGGCCGTCGTTGCTGTTCTTCTTGACAGAGTCGACGGCGTCGGTGCTCTGGATCTTGTGCTCAGCCATGCGGTCGGGCTGGTTTGTCAGTACCAGACTGCAATACCCTCCTCCCTCAAGGGGGGCCATACCGGAATGAAGAAATCGCTAACCGCCGCAGCGAGGTAGAGCAACCCCCTGGGCCCCAGCGGCTGCATCAAGTGCGCAATTGCCCTCAGCTCGTGCAGATAATCGGAGATACTAACGAACGGCAGGACCAAGAGCATGTTGCGGTCGCGCGCGTCGCGGTACTTGCGCAGCACGCCGAGCATCTTGGCGGCGTACTCGTCGCGGGCCACGACGCTGTTGTTAGGGCCTTCCTGCAGGAAGTCGAGGAAGCAGTCGGTCGCATGAGTGTAGTGGCGGGAGAAGGGGAGGAGGGAGAATTGGCGGTGTCTGGGGAGATGTGGACGTTAGTGATAGGTCTTGGGCCGGCGGAAGATGCATGGGAAGATAAGTTGGTTTTATGTACAAGAAGAGGACGGCATAGCCGGCTTCGAGGAAGTACTCGGCGCTTGTCTATTCGATAGTCAACAATCTGTCAACCACCCAATGGCAGTTCCGAGGCAACGTCTTGCCCATAGATAATGCCTCGGCTGGGGGCACTTACAGCTCCACGGGTACCTGCAGAAAAGTTGTCGATAAAGCGCACCGTTTGCTTCTCTGCATCTGGTCAGACCTTGAGAAAACATAAAACTCTTGAAAGGGAAACACACCCAACGGCACCGTTGTTCCTCCTGACGTAACCAGGACTAACCGCCTCCCGGCAGCAGCATGGAAATCGATGAACTCCTTGGCGAGTTTGATATGCTTGTCCAGATCCTTCGGCGGCGGATTCGCATTGAAGTAGTGGTCCTCGGCCAGCGCGGCCAGGTCAGGGGGAGGGGTCTCGGAGGGAATGTCGGACAGCATGGTTCTAGGGGGACTCTCTGTTTGTTGATGATGATTGATGGTCAATTGAGATGATATGAAGAAGCGAAGCGGTAACAATGACCTTTCCCCATCTTCCAACCGTCTTTGCTCCCTTAGGTCGGCTGAAGATGGTGGGGCCATTCACTGAGCTCGGCTGTCCCCCGCAGTGGGGTTCATCAGATAGCCCGTTGTCCATGGTCTGAGTGGGTGGAAGTGCCTGCGGCAGTGATGTCAGCGGCCGATCCACGCTGCCAAGGGCTGCCAACCCTGGACCCTGGCGTTGAGTGGGGCCGCCCCAGAGGCAGAGAGGCACTGATGCCAAGACTGGGCTGCGGATCCAGGGGCCAGGGAGATTGGATCCTCTTGCAGCGCAGCTCCCAGCTGAAGTCAACAACGAGAGAGAAAGGGAGCTCTGGGCAAACAGAAACCCTGCCCTCTAACGTTCCACAGCAGCTGTCAAGACAAGTACAGTAAAGATACCTGTCAACATCTCTGCTATCGCGCCCAAAGTTCGCGAGTCGGCCAATTCAATTCAGCTCAAGATCCTATCAAAGACACCAAACAACCGCGACAATGGGCGTCGTCTCTCTAACTGTCGGCAAGGTCGACGCCGGCGTCACCGTCCTGCTCACGCCCGATAAGCGTTTGGTTCGTCTCTCTTTCTCTCTCTCCCCTCTCGTCCTCCCTTGCCAGATTTAACCAACTAATCTTCTCATTCCCAGATCGAATTCCCCTCGATCCTCCTCCCCCCCGACATCCGTTCGGGCTCCATAGTCGACATCAACGTCTCGCGCAACAAGTCTTCCGAAGCAGCCGCGGAACGCGCATTCCGTGACCTACAAGACCAGATCCTCTCCTCCTTCGGTACCCACTCCCCCTCCCCGCCCACTCTCCGCGTCCGCAACACGACCCAAACCTCCGTCGTCCTCGAATGGGACCCCCTCCAGCTCGCCACCGCCGATTTGATCAGCTTGTCGCTGTACCGTAATGGCCAGAAAGCAGGCACCATTCCCAAGCCCCTCACCATGCACACGACGAAGATAAGTGGCCTCGCCGTCGATACGGAGTACACCTTCCACCTGGTGCTGCGCACGACGGCAGGCACCTACGCCAGCCCGCGTATCACAGTCCGCACGCACAAGATGACCGACCTGTCAGGGATCACCATCACGACGGGCATTTTGCCCTCCCACGTGCGGGAGAACCTTCTTGCAGTGGTCGAGCGCATCGGCGCGAAGGTCGTCGACGGCGTGCGCATCGATACGACACATTTCGTTACCACCGAGGGGAGGGGCGTGCAATGGGAAAAGGCAAACGAGCTGAACATTCCGGTTGTCAGACCAGAATGGGTCGAGGCGTGTGAGAGGGCGGGGAGGATTCTGGGCGTGACTAAGTTTTATCTGGATGCGGCGAGGGTTGGGGCGCTGTTTGATGAGCGGCCGGGGACCGCGGGGACCGTAGGGAGTGGATCGGCGCCGCCGCCGCCGCCGCCGCCCAAGGAGCAGAAGGTGCAGTCGCCGGTACAGACGAGGACAGAGGTTACGGTTGAGAAGCCGAAGGAGGAGAGCCCGGAGCCTGCAAGTGGGAGTGAAAAGGAGCAACAGCAGCAGAAAGAGGAGGGAGAAAAGAAGGCAGACGAGCAGTCGAGCCAGTCAGCTGAAGAGAAGCCTCTGCCGTCTAGGCCAAAAGTGACGGTTGAGGATGAGAAGGAGGAGGAGGAGAAGGAGGAGGAGAAGGAGAAGGAGAAGGCTAAAGCTCCTGCTGCTGAGGAGAAAGAGGGCAGTAGTGGTGATGAGAAGGATGGGAAGAGCCCTGGGGATTCGAGCTTCCAGGATGTTGCCCTTTAGAAGACGAGAAAAGAGAGCAGTTATGCTATGAGCAGGACATCTAATTACGCATGGCGGGTATGAGTCTGAAACAGGACTGTAATGAGGACGATGGGCTGTCGGATGGACGATGCGTTACAACGGTTAGCTAATACCCAGAATTGATGCTTGTGTGGTTTATTGCGTATTTGGATCTTGGATGTTCAGTCCAACTGCTTGACCTGTGACTTGTTTGGCTTCAAGGCACAGCTCGTCGTACGAATGTTTGCTGAAATGGACAAACGCCTATTATCGCGTGCAGGCAGGCGATCTTTAGCAATCGTAACACTCGAAGAAACTCATGCCCGGATCCGTAAAGAGACAGAACTCTTCTGAGCCTAAATACCCTCTTTGTTATATGCTAGCAGCTCTATCCAACAACCACACCCCATCCGATATATACACACAACCTCTATCTACCTAAACCCCCCCCCTTTCCCGACTCATAACTCCTTCTTCTCTTCTATCTCCTTGACCGATCCGGGAGGCGTCCTCAACCCCCCAAACACCAACGCACATACCCCCGCAATCCCCATCGCCCCCAACACATACGCCGTCTCGCGCCCAGCCCACCAGTACACACTCGTGAACAAAATCGGCCCCAAGCCCCGTCCAATCTGACCCCAACTCCGCAAGTTCCCCAATTTCCCTCCCCGCTCGCCTTCACTGGCCTCAAAGCTGCTCAGCGCGTTAAGCCCAGTAACGACGGTCGCTGACGTCGTGGCGAGGCATGTAGCTGCCAGGTAGAGCCCGCCGATGGTGCGGATTTGGGAAAGGAGGATGAAAGCTACGAGGCAGAACAGTACACCTAGTCGAACAGAGAATAAGGGGGGCAGACGACGGGTCACGCTGCCTTGGAGGAGAGAGGAGATTAGGCCGATGTAGCCTAGGAGACGGCCGTTCTTGGCAGATGTGTATTGGAAGAGGTCGTAAGTCATGAAGGGGAGAGAGAATTCCATGCCGGAGAAGAAGAGCAGGAAGGTGAGGTGGGTTAGGTTGAGGAGGGTGTGGGAGTTTGTGCGCTGGACTGGGGCAGGGGGAGAAGGCTTGGCCTCCTCCTTCTTCTTGACCTCGGTCTTGTTGGTTAGTGAGGGCAGCGTTTCAGGCAGCGCGAAATAGAGGTACACCGTCTCTGTGACGATCAACGCCAGCGAGACAGCCGCGGCGGTGGCGAAGGGGTTGGCGGCGACCAGAGCGAACGAGCTCAGCCAAGCCCCCAGCGCAGGACCGAACGTAAAGGCAACAGAAAAGCACGCCCCAATCAGCGCCATGGTCGAGCCGCGCGCCTTGGTGTCCGAGATATCCGTCGCGATGGCCGTCGCCAATTGCACATTCCCCTCCGAGAGGCCACCCACAATGCGCGATGCGAGGAAGGTTCGGAAGTCAACGGCCATAACCCAGAGCAGTACCGAGATGATGTTTCCGACCATGCTGGCCAGCAAAGCTGTGCGCCGACCGTACTTGTCCGAGAGGTGTCCGATGACAGGCGATGCGATGGCCTGCAGGAAGCTGAACATGGAGCCGAGGGCGCCGCCGAGCAAGACGATGTCGTAGCGGGAGTCGATGGGGCGGGCGAAGGAGGCTTTGTAGGCATTGAGGTACTTGAAGACGTTGGAGAGGAGGGAGGAGGAGTTGGAGTTGGAGGAGGACGCCTCGGCGTTGCGGTAGAACTCGAGGAGTTTGGGGAAGAGCGGGAGGATGAAGGTGAAGGAGATCTGGAGCGTGTTAGTGGAGAGGTAGATGTAGCTTGGAAGATAACATACCAGGTCGAGAAGGAGAGAGACGAAGATGACCCGTAGGACCCTTCTACGGGTCGCGGCATCCACTGATGCAGCCATTGATTTGGGTTGAAGTTGACCGCGATTATGATGAATGATGTTGGTGATAGGGGATGGAGTAGGAGTTTCAAATCAGGGGTGCTTCGATGTTGCTGTGACTCTGCACAACTGAATTACACGAGTTCAAAAATTCAGAAACCGCTCCCAATATCACGACCAGCACGATGCGTTGAGAGTGGCTCTATTTACTGAACGAGTGACCAGAATAAAGACCAAGAGACAGGTGTTAGATATTCACAGAGTCAAGCGATGATTCAGTGTCAAGCTGTCAACAAGCGAAGCGACCTTCCGGACAGCGGACTTTCCAGCTGGCGCGTCCGCGACCAGTCGAATCGCGCTCAAGCCTTCGACCCGCTGTCGTCGTAACATTCCCCACTAACGTTCCCAGAAGTACCAGCCACATCTGAGGAGAGCTTGGCAGCGCCACAACATCAAGCCACAACATCAAGCTACAACATCAAGCTACAATTGACCTTGAATCTTGGCTTTGTTTCCGTTTCGACCCTGCCCCTCTCATTTTGCATGAGGAGGACGGCGATTCTGGCGCGCGTTGCTTCTGTTCTTTGGTTCTTCGCAACAAAACCAGTTGTCAGCCAGTTAGGGTTCGCTGAATCCGGCTTCGCATTTGCGTAGACTGTCCAAATTGGTCATCTCTGATTTCTCTTCCGGCCCAGTCCAATGAGACCGTGAGATCAACCTTTCTATTTATGAGCAGCGGATCTGATTAGCTTAGTCTTACGTCTGGATAAATTCCTTTTAGTGTTCCACACACACATCTGAACGCATGGATGTGTATCCAAACTGGAAGGGGCAGTGAGCCGTTAAACTCCCTCTCTGGGACCTAACTACACCAGGAACAAAGCTGTCCGGAAGTTTGACAGCAGACGGTTGGGCAGCAAAGCCCGTGACTCGTCCTTCGGATCCAGCGGCCCGGGAAAATCGAAACTCATCCTCCCGGTTTTTTTGGACGAGAAACAGCCTCATAAACGGTTCCATCCTCCGCAATTGGCCCGGTTTATGATCGACCCGTCCAGGACAGTCCCGATACAGCAGGTCTCAGATTTCCTGTCAGTCTCTTCTGAGTGCCGAAATGCCCCGCTGTCGTCAGCCTTGCAGAAGCATGGAGCAAGAAAAAAAATAGGTGCTCGCGCAAGAGCAGGACGGGATTGCAAAAATTCCTCACTGCTTCAACGCCACACGGCACACGTTGAGTCGCGGGAAGCAATCCAAAAAGGCTAAAAACCACAGACACACGCATATGGCAGACGCAGGGGGGCTTGACTCTGACAGGATGGCAGGGTGGCATTGTTTCAAACCGTTGCCTCGCTGCATGCCATGAGTCCATGACGATGATGCCATGATGCCATCGGCCCGGCTCTAAATGCAGGAACAAGATCGCTTCCCGCTCCTCCGATGGCTTCTCTGGCCCACGCCTTGCATGACGCTAGGTGTTGCCAGCAGAGTTAGAAGGCGGGGTAGCATTGTGAGTGCTTGTGTTGGCCTCGCCGTTCCTGCACAGGGTGGGAGTCATGCCTGCAATAGAGAAGCTTACACTACCTTGGCTTACCTTGCTTGAGCCTAGGTGATTGAACCTGCATGCTGAGAATGCCGAAGAATGAACACTTCTGTGTTGTAGCATCATGTAGTATGTGCTTGATGTAGTATGTGACGACAGACCATAACCGCTCTCCCTCAACACTGGCTGTGTCCTCCCGTCATGCAGGCCGCTTGTTCACCTGTTCGCTGCTGTCAGCAGCAGCCAGAAGAAAAGAGTTGGCTGAGAGAATGCGAGAATGCCGCTTCAATATACACGTAGATTGCTTTCCGTTCACGGCCCCTCTTCTTTTATCCGTCTCGTCTGCTGCCCTCCCTGTCACCCTGTCACCCTGTCGGCATGTCGCCCTGTTACCATGTCTGCATGCATGTCTGCTTCCTTGGTTTGGCACTTGGGGTCCTAGAGCTTGCCACTTTGGCAGCCTGCCATCTCCCGATCCTACGGTTCTTCTGCCTGCTGGCGAGGTCGGGCATGGGCGATGGGTGTAGGTATCTAAGAAGCTACTTGTTATAAGAAGGGCCCTTTTCCTCCCCAATCCCCATCCCAGTTTCAGGTTTCTCTCTGCGCTCCCCAGTGCCCAGGCACAGTCGCTCGTTCTACCCACTCGTCACTCGCTGAGATCAACATAGGTACCTACCTCAACTTCCCAATCTACTATTACCTCAGAGAACATAAATCAAAATGAAGGCTATCCTCGCCCTCTCCGCCCTGGCCGCTGGCGCCGCCGCGACCCTCGACGCCGATACCTATGACAACTACCCTCCCCCCGTCTTCTCTCTCGGTCCCCCCTCCGTGACCTTCCGTCCCGGTAGCGGCGACAGCAGCTCCGACAACACCCTCATCCTGCATCCCCCTTTCCCGACGGGCACTCCGGTCCCAGAAGACCCCAAGCCCGACCTGCCCACCAAGACTACACTGATTCCTCATCCTCCTTACCCAACCAAGACGAAGACTAAGTCCAAATGGACCACCTCTACCATCTCAACCTCCACAACCACCGACGGAACGGTCATCACTACGGTGATCACAACCGTCTGCCCCATTACGGAGACGGAATCCGAATCCGAGACGCCAACGCCGGCGGAACCGACCCCCTTACCGCCAGTAACTACCACAACAAAGTCCAAGCACTGGCCTCATCCTCCCCCTCCTCCAGTCTCAACCTCTTCTGCTGAGGAGGAGACTCCTACCCCGACACCGACGGATGTGCCGGTTGAGACGACGACGTTGGCTACCAAGACGACCAAGTCTGTTGGGACGGTGACTAATGTTCCTGTGCTGCCGACGACCAGTAGTGTGGTTGACGTGCCTGTTACAGCGGGGGCAGGGACGGCGGTGAATAAGGTGGGTTTAGTTGCCGCACTGGTAGGTGTTTTGGCGGCTGTTTTGCTTTGATGGGATTGAGGAGTTGAAAACGGGGCGTTTCAGTGGGAAGAATTGGGGTTATGATGAGTTTGCGATGAAGAAATGAGCGTTTGTGATGAGGAAGGTGCTTTTCTTGGACAGGTGGTCATGATGATTGTTATGATGTTATGGAAATGGGTTGTTCATGACTTCTCATATCTGCTAGTAGCTGTGATTCACAAGGAGAGAGAAGGCTGTTGGTCGGACATTAGGGTCTGTTTGTGTACTTTTTGATGAATAATACATGTTTCATACCCCTAGGTACTCTACTCTACCGGACTCTGCTTTCAAGACTTGTAATGTTGTGAAGATTTCAAAATGTCATGTCCTCTCATAACTCTTTGTTCAAGTATCCTCACGAACTTTCATTTGAGCGACTTTGACCTCTCAAACATGTTCTGAGGAACTCTACCTTGTAAGCGCCCCAATAGTCAACTATCTTTCCACATCATCCTCTGTTATGAGCAAATCTTCACCTCACTGACCGCTGCACTCCGCACTTGAGCATAAACGCCTATATTAACCCGTTACACAGACCTGCCTCTCCCCAGCCCAGTGGTTTTGACTCGACTGGATCAATCATCGGTCAACTGCTTCACCTTGTGCTGTGTCACCTCGCAAAAGGGGGATGGGATGATGACGTCTTGCCGCCAGCGCCGCCATTTCGCGTGGTTCCACTTTTTTCTGCCAATCTGCCTACAAGGCCGCTGTAGGAAACACGTTCTGTTGTCTTTTCTTTTTTTTAATAAAAAAAAGGGGGGGGGGAAGGGACGGATGCACGTTGGAGGCGGAAGAGCAGGTTTTCTTATGCCGGAGTCAGGTTGGCCAGAGAGGCAGCCAAAAAAAAGCCACCTGCCATATTGCGCCAAGCCGTCCTCTCACCTGGTGTCGTCTGCCGTGCCGCATGCGTGGTGAAGGGCGAGATTGGCGTTGGTGACCCGCTGAGATGATGGTGTGAGATAATATATTCTCGGGCTTGTTATGACGCTGCAAAAGCGCTGGGGTAGATTGCAAGAGAAGTTATGGATGATTGACAGGTTGGGGGGTGTGGAGTCATACCGCCGTGGATCGTTCGCGGGTCGGGAGGGGAGAGGCGAGAGCGACGAGAGCGAAACAGGCTGTTTTAAGGGTCCGGTCCTACCCTACGGTGAGGTTGTCAAGAGGAATATCAAAGAATGGGGGTTCCTGGGTAACCAAGGCTAGGGAACCTTTGCTGGCGGCTAAACACCTTGGTTTTCTTCATGGGAAAACTGCTGCCCAGCCACACCAGCCTCGTTTGGTTGCTGTTTGTGGCCGATCATTCCAACAACCCGTTGCTTTCATGGTCTAGCCCTCAACTAATAGCCGCCAATCGCTTCACCACGTCCTCTACACGCCGCGCTCCCCCTAGCAAATCCCTCTTGGCCTCATGATCCCTCCCATTCTCCCCCACAATCACCAACTTGACAATCTCCCCATCATCATCCATCACCAACCTCCCTGTCCTCCCATCCTCCCACTCAATGGCGATCTGCTTAGCCTCCACATCTGCCGGTCTGATATCTACCAACCTCATGTTCTCCCTCTTCCGTTGCTGCTCTTCCCCCTTTTCATCATCCTCCTGGTTTTTCTTCCCCGCAAGCTCAGCCGCTCTCCTCAGATCCGCAACGACCCCCAGTCGATTATGATACCTCACAACCTCCCTCCTCAACGCCCTCGCAAACCTCGCCAGATCCTGCTTCTTCCCTTTTTCTCCCTCCCCATCCTCATCCTGATCCCCCCCAATCGGAGCAGGCAGATACCTCGCCGCTAACCCCCCCACGCTCACACACGCAGGTAGCGTATGCCGATGCACTCTCAGATGATGTCTATGTCCCCTCCATGGCCGATTAAGTATTACATAATATGGACGGAGGAACTTCCCACGCGAGACAACTTCGATGCGGAGGCCTAGGAGAGAGCCAGAGTCAACGGCGCGCGGGTCGGGGTCGCGCGTGCGGAAGGTTGTGATGCTGGCGCAGGCGCGATAGAGGCATTGTTGGGTGTGAGCTTGTTGGAGTGAGGATTGGGACTGGAGTTGGCGGTCGCTGGTGATGAGAGAAAGGGTTGAGGGGGCAGTCAGGAGCGTTGAGGTGTGGATACGGAGATGGGATTTGAGGGTGTTAACTAGAGTGTTGTTAGTTTCGTTTTTCAAAAATTGAAATGTTTGGGTGAGGATGGTACCTCTGGCTTGGAGAGCCTCGATCTCGTCATCAAGAGAGGTTGACATTCTAAGCGACTTTGAGTGTTGAACGCGTCGGGATGGAAATACTGTGTTTATCCACACTGTAAGGGTCTTTCGAAGGGTGCGGGATACCTATTTAATGAGAAGATGGTTGAACAACAATTGATTTTTCGCAATGTACGTGACCAAAAGGTCAACTCCACTTGGTCTCAGATCTTAGATGTGAAGTCCAGCGCGTTGATGTTTGTTGATGTTAAAGCGCAGCTCACACAGTGAGATCAAACCCCCTGCTGGGCCATGTGCTGCGCGTCTTGGCATCGGCTGCAGCGCCGTCTCGGCAGCCCACGCTGACAAGATCCCGCAATGCGATGCCCAAACAGGCAACCCTGACGCAACGTGCGGGCCACCAGAATGTTTCGGGTTTTGCGCCGCAAGCCCTGCAAAACTGGACATCTTAAACACTCGAGACGAAACCTTTCATCTCGAATACCACAATGCCATTGTGGTCTTTTCAATTTGAAACCTTAACCTGTCTGTATCGACAACGATCCGCCAAAGTCAGATTCGCAGATTGCGAGTGGAGAACGCTAAGCCTCGAGACTCCACTACCCCGGCCGTTCCAGGCTGCAACGGGGCGTTTTTGCGCTGAAGCTCAAGGGGCGGGCTCCTCCAGATTGTCGGGTCCATTCAGCATTCGTTGTCCAAACAGCGACGTGGCCGATCGCATTCTCAGCCTCCATCAGCCTCAGCCCTGGAACTCCAAGATCTTGCATTCGCTCCCGCCCTCCCACCGGCCACATCGTCGCCGTTGCTGCCCTTGCATCCGGCGTCTTCTGAAAGGTCACATTCGTTCTTTAGTCTTATCTTGCTGTGCACCAACCTTCCACGTTCCAGCTACTTCTTTGTCCCTCGCTCTACCCGTCTTAGCCGCAACCTGGACAACAGACAACTTAACCCCGAGATCACTGCTCCTCCTGTCCTTCCCCCCGAGTTTTATTTTATTTTATTTATTTATTTATTTACTTATTTATTTTTTTACAAAAAACGTCTATACACGTATACAATTGCCCGATCCCCGAGTCAGCAACATCTCTTCGAGTCCGCAGTCCATCCCGCCGCATCTGTTGTCCGTGCAGCACTGCAGAGCAGTCCCGACCAACGGCCTCAATAGCCATCCTCTTACCTCACTACTCATTGTGCTCCACGAGTAGCCAGTCCCATGGGTACCAAGTCCCGCCGCGCCAAATCGCCTCCAAAATTTAACGGTTCCGGCTCGCTGGGCCGCGCATCAGGAAAGAAAGTTAACGGCGAGGCCACGAGTACAACCACAGCCGCCGACATGAACACCACAGTCGAGCTCCAGCGCCGCAACGTCGCGCACGAGACGTCCACCTCCGAAGGCGCTGTCGCCCACCTCATGACCCGCGACTCCTTTACCCTCGACGACGACCCCGCCGTCCCCCCCAAATCCCCCTCCCTCAACAACCATGGCTTTTTCGACCTCCCCAAGCAGGACCAGCGTAACTTTGGCCTGCTTGTCCTCCTCTATTTCCTCCAAGGCATCCCGCTCGGCCTTGCCACCGGCTCGGTGCCCTTCCTGCTTAAAAACCATCTTTCTTACAGCGAGATCGGCGTCTTCTCCCTCGCCTCATACCCCTACTCCCTGAAACTCTTCTGGTCCCCCATCGTCGATGCAGTCTGGTCCCCCAAGCTAGGCCGGCGCAAAAGCTGGATCTTGCCCATCCAGCTCCTCTCTGGCATTGGCATGCTCCTCCTCGGCTCCCACGCCGAAGAAATGATGCAAACAACCGGCAAGCCGGACGGTCCCTCCGTCTGGGCCTTCACCGGATGGTGGTTCTTCCTCGTGCTCATGTGCGCAACCCAAGACATCGCCGTCGACGGTTGGGCCCTGACCCTCCTCACGCCCGGCAACGTCTCCTACGCCTCGACCGCCCAAACCGTAGGCCTCACAGCCGGGCAATTCCTCTCCTACACCGTCTTCCTTGCCTTCAACTCCAAGGACTTCGCCAACCGCTGGTTCCGCTCCGAACCCCTCGACACAGGCCTCATCTCCCTCTCCGGCTACCTCACGTTCTGGGGATGGTCCTACATCGCTGTTACCCTCGGCCTCTTCCTTTTCAAACGCGAAGAACGCACACACAACGAAGATGGTATCTGGGATGTCTACAAAATCATGTGGGGCGTGCTCAAACTCCGCAACATTCAATCCATCATCCTGGTCCATCTCATCGCAAAGGTAGGCTTCCAAGCCAACGACGGCGTCACCTCCCTCAAGCTGCTCGACAAGGGCTTCGGCACGGATAACATGGCCCTAACCGTGCTAATCGACTTCCCCTTCGAAATCGGCGTAGGCTACTACGCGGGGAAATGGTCGCAACAATTCACGCCCATGCGCCTCTGGTGCTGGGGATTCATGGGCCGGCTGCTGGCCGCTGTGTTGGCGCAGCTAACTGTGGCGGCCTTTCCCGCCGAAGGCGTCACGACAGGTTACTTGCTCGTCGTCATTGCGCAGCATGTCTTTTCGACGTTTACTAACACCATCATGTTCGTGGCGGTCGCTGCCTTCCATGCGCGGATAGCTGACCCGGTAATTGGCGGGACATACATGACTTTGCTGGCGACGGTGTGTAATCTGGGTGGAACATTCCCGCGATACTTTGTCCTGCGCATGGTCGATGCTTTTACCAGCGCTACATGTTTTCCCAATCCAGCTGCCGACCTTGCTAAGCTCAAGGGCCCCCTGGTAACGGAGCCTTTTAGCTGCAGCGTCCAGAGCGAGAAGGAGCGCTGCGTCGCTGGCGGTGGAATTTGCGAGATGCAGCGGGATGGTTATCACTTTGTGAACATACTCTGTGTCGTGTTTGGTATTATCACCTTTATTATGTTCATACGGCCCAAGGTTCTGCAGCTGCAGGCGCTCCCTCTAAGAGCCTGGCGCTTGTCGTCTGCGACATCAAGGTATTGATCCCAGAGCTATCAGTCACGGTGTTGGCTGCTTCCATTATCACCACTAGCGTATATAGGGAATTGGATAATCCTTGAGTCATCTGTTCACCTGTATAGCATCGCCCTCGTCGCGATTGAGCCCGTTTTTCATCAAAACTCATTAACTGTGCTTATCAATCCAGGACAAATCAATTATTCTACTATACCAGCTATCTGCAAAGATTATAACTACCTTATATCGATAGACTGCACTGTCTCGCCAGAAAGAGCCCCAGATATCCACATATACACAAGCCTAACCCATCGCAAAACAATGTCCGACTTAGGCGCCTTCACCAGCCGTCAGTGGTGTCGGCGACCTGCTCAGCGGCGGTGTTGTCAGCCTGACCACCCCAATCATCTCCAGAGCCATTCCATTATCACAGTTGCCAGCGTCATCAGCATACCCACCCGCTGCAACATCCTCCTCAAAGTCGTTGTCATTGAACTGGCCACATCGGCCATCGTAGCTTGGCTTCTTCTTTCTACAGCTGTGAGATACATAAGCCGCTCGCATCGCTGCTTACTCGCACCCTACTTGAAAGCAAGCAACCAATTCCCGACTTTTAGAAGCCTTACATCCCCACTAGTTGGGGCAAGGGCAAAGTCGAGTTCGACCTGTACCAATTGAGGTCAGCATTGTAAAACATCACATCAAGGGAAGAGAATGAGACTTACTAATGCGATGCATGTGCTCTTCAATGCCACCGCAGTCCTCCGAAGGAAGTTCGTAGTTGATCTAGTTGATCACATGCAAAACATTGCGCACGTAAAGTCCTCGGGAGCCAAGGGCGGTAGCGATGAGGATCGGGTACTTGCCACTCCAAAAACGACGCATAGCAGCCTCGTGCTCATGTTGTGTACGTCTAGAATGCAACGAGGTGCAGGGGAACTCTTGATCGTAGAGAGAATCGTCAAGTTCCTCAGCAGTGTGCTCGGAATTGACAAAAATGATGGTTCTCGCCGGCGGATACGAGTTGACCAAATCCATAAGCGCCTTGCCCTTCCAGGAGGGGTGGACTTCGATGATATTCTGGCGAATATTGCGGTGAGTGCTTCCGGCTCGGCAAAGCGCAGGCGGACATGAGTGTCCGCCATGTGAGCCTTCGCCAACTCGTGGCTGGCCTTAGGAAATGTGGCAGAAAACAACATAAAGGTGATGTTAGTATCCTCCTGCTCTGCGATAAATGTTAGAAAACTCCGAGGGAATAGGCATGAGAAAGGCTCAAACGTACCACCACCGGCCATAATTTTGTACAGCTCCTCCTTCAGTCCTCCTGGAGCAGTTCATCGGCTTCGTCAATGACGATGAAGCAAACGCGCCGAAGGGTCAAAACTTTTGGCTTCTCCATGAGATGCACCAAGCGGCCAGGAGTGCCGACGAGAATATCGCAACTCCACTGAAGCTGGGCTTCCTAATCACGAAGTCAATCGCCCCCGTAGACGACGTAGGGGCGAAGCATCGCCCGATAGCAGAATGGCGTGTCTCGCTGAATATCTGTACAACAAGCTCACGGCTCGGGCAGACAGTAACAACAAGAGGCTCAGCACGGACCTTGTCGATACCAAGCTTGAAAACAGCGGGATTCGGACGCAGGTGAAGGGGGGGGGGGGCAGTGAGATTCTTGACTTTGCCCATTAGCTTGTTGATGATTGGAATGAGAAAAGCTGCGATCTTGCCAGAGCCTGAGTTCTCGAATGTTAGCAGATATTGTCTGGTGCTGGGAAGGCAGAATTCCTTTCGCTTACCTGTCTGGGCAATGGCAATCACATCGTAGCCAAGATGAATGGCTGGCAGGCAATAGCGCTGACTGTTAAATCAGGTTAGAGTTTTGATTAAGCTCAACAAGTTGTCGTGGAGACTCACATGGGCGTAGAAATATCGTAACTAGAGAGCTGCACGTTCTTGAGCATGGCCGGATGTAGGCCTACAGTCTCGAAGCTAGCAACCGGATTAATCTGGACCAGACCATCCTGGTACAAGCGGGTCTCGTTAATGCTAAGGAAGGTGTCAGCTGTCAGAACAACAAAATATGAGCTGAGAAACATCCGCAGTAAAGTCGACGCCTTCTTTGTCGGCGTTGCGAGACTTGGCATTACCAAAGAGCTCCTTTTCCAGCTCAGGGAACCCAGGGCCGATGTCGCCGATTTCACCATCCCACTAAGAGAACAAGTCAGCAATGCCAATAAAGTGAAGGTAGTTTGCGGTTGCAACCACTAAACTTTCGCGTTGCACTCCCAGTTGGTATCAAAGATGGACGCGAAAGCAGAATAGTCATACGGGGTCTTCTCGATTCAACCTGTCATGTTTTCCATTTTATTGTCCAAAGTGGCACCTTGAACGAACTTAAGTGCGTCCTCGAAATCAGCAGTGTTAAAAACACTTTTATGATCAGGGCCAGCCGTGCCCTAGCCCTGAGACGCGTGTTCCGGTCGTCAGCGGTCATTTTGGCAGAGAACCTAGTTAAATGAAAAGTTAGTTGTCACGGAAAACCCATCAAGAGGAAATGACAATAGCAAAAGCAAAAATGTCACGGGAATTAGCTCGTGCCTGCAAAAACACAGGCACAGAAAGTTTCTTGCTTGTATGAGAGGGAATGGAAGAAAGGAAAAGATGGGAACAGGAAAGATCTTTTGGGTGGAAAAGTGGGAAGAGAGGTAGCAACTGAATCAGAAATAAGACAGCCAAAGAAACATGGCTTTCCGTGAGCTTGACTGAGTGACAGACGGGTAGGGGATAGTGAAGCGTTTCAAAAGGAAGGTGAACGGAGTTGGAATGTAGGAGAGTGCAAAAAGATAAATAAGATATGATGTTGAAGACAGTAACTGGAAGGATACTAACGTGAAGCTTGATTCTGAGGGCTTGAAGTCTAGAGATGTCAAGGAGAATGAAAGCAGAGGAAGAGGAAGCGAATTTAATGATGGAGTTCATGGATAATATAACTGTCAGATGATCGATAAGCAGGACAATACTTCGTAACGCAAACAGGTGGTGATTGTGCTGGAGATGGCCGTTGGAAGCTCACAACCTGCATCCAAGTCGACTGACGCCCACGGTGGGTGGAAAGAAAGAAAGTGGGAGAGGCAAAAGCCTTGTGGGTGTTTATAGCTTGGAATAAGGATCCTCGGTTGGAGGGCTCCTTCCAAATGAGTCTGACTTGGCCCTTCTTGAGTGGCTTCCCCCCAAAAAAATTTCCTGCCTGGGCGCCTTTCAGAATTCAGACCGCGATCTGTTCTGGAGGAATTGCATATTTCAATGCATGTGATTGGAGGATGAAGAAGACAAACATCACACCCTGAACCCGTAGAGACCTGAGAAACATTTCTCAGGGACTCGGGAGGTGAGTGGTTATAAATGCTGTGCAAAGGAAGAGAAGCGGGGACAAAGCATTGGTAGGAAAGATGTTAGGAAACAGTAAGGGCAGAGAGCAGATTGGCATGTAGACGAAAAATCAAACGACATCAGTATGTCCATATCTCCTTAGAGGAGTGCTTGCCCTGAGATCAGGTCTTGTCCCGCTTTCCCCAGTCAGCTGCATTGCTTGCTCAGGAGCTTCTCGAGAGAAAAGTGGTCTAAGAGTCCAGAACAACAAATGCTCAAGATGTTCACCACCATTAGGAAGAGGAAGTTGATCACATGCGCTACAAGCAGGAGTCCAAGAGTGCTGATTAAGGTTGGATACAATGAGATCTTAACATTTACAATGATCCAGAGGAATGGCCAAGCACAAGTTATGTCTGTTAAGGTACAATCAGCTACTTCTTTAGAGTCCCAGGAAACTATAAAAAACTAACATGCATATAACTCAAATAGAGAAAACATTCCCATATCATGGCATTTGCCCAAACGCCATTCGCCAAACCATGTAGAACTCTAAAGGATTCAGTTCACTTGCATAGACCCATCTGATTCAAGGCTGGCCTTCAGCGCCTTATCCAAGATTGCTGCAGCTCTGCCCACTGTGCCGCCCTCTTTCTTCGCAGTTTCCATGCCAGATGTGATTGCTGCCCTCCATTTCATGTCGAATACACGCAACCTAGACATCCTGTCTGGATACATCTCGCTATCTTCATCCCTGGGCAGACCAAAGAGATTCAGATAAGCAAACGGATTAGGAGTTGTGGGCAGGCGGTAGATATTATCCCAATAGGCTCTTGGCTTGTAAGGTAGGGGCTCCTCTGGGCGAAAGCCAGTTTGAAGAAACTTCGCAAGAACCTGTATCTGTTTTGCCTGTGATTCGGGACCCTTTTTCATTCCCAAGGTTGCCTTTGGCGCAGAAGTCCAGCCCTTTGTCGTCATAGCTGAGGAGACATTGGGATTCCAGCCAAGCATTGAGCTGAAACTGTTCAGAGTTTTTAACCAACCCCCAGGACAGGAGACGACCTCATCCCCAGCGACTTCAAGAAGCCAATCCAAAACATTCAGGGTATCTGTGCGAACGTCATTTGACAGATGTGTCATGCCACCTCGAATGTACAAGAGGATTTTTTCAGCATGCGGTCTGACTTCTTGTGGGGGTAATGTCCGGAAGAGCTTGAGAAGTTGCACGCGCACTGAAGAGGCACCGTCCGTTATTAAAGGGAGCACCTTCGTTAAGACACCCACAGTCCCGACTGGATTGTTTGCTGGGTTGGCCGAAAGTTGGTTTGTGACATATGCCAGCGCATCTCGTCTTTGGTTATCGGACTTGGCATTGACGGCAAGTGTCAAGTTCTGTTTGAACAGTTCTGCTGAATCTAAGCCCTCTGTTGTAAGGGTTTGCTGATTGACGACAATGGCTAAATTCTAGTTAGCAATGTAAATCATGTATGCTCTTAAAGGTCAAGGCAAATACATTTCGTTTTGAAGCTAGTGTCTGTGAAATTGGAAGGCTTTTGCTTCGGCTTGCCGACTTTCAACTTTGGTTTCTGAGAGATGCCTGTTCAGCAACTTGTCTAACAAAGCCATGAGCTGGTGACCAAACCTGAAAGTCTTTTTGCTTTTCCTTCTTTTTCTTTGAACTGGAGCCCATGGTGGAGTGTGTGATTAGGTGACCGATTGACTGATTGATTATGCCAAACCTACTGACCACCCGCTTCACTCACACCAAGGTTGAAGACGTTGAACGTTGAATGAGTTCCAAATTTTGGCGGTGTAAGACGGCAGAATCTGCATTCTGCCTGGTAACCCCTGTCTCCACCCCACGCCAAGAGATCAAAGTGGGGCCCGTCACCTTCAGGAGTGCAGGACGGCCTGTCGGCACAAGCTGGCTGGGCATGCGCAGGTGATCTCTTTCAACAAGTCATCTCACTTCATCAACACCATTTTAGTATCACTTGGTTTGAGCCATTTCATGTCTGCTTGAAAACCTAGATCTTGGACTTATTTTAATCTTAAAAATCCATAATGGCTACAGTCTCAGATCCTGTGTTGGTATGTCTCCCTCTTGTCGAGTATGGCATTCTTACATAGCTGACAATCAGTATCCGCAAGGCTACGGGCCCTGATGCTCTCGAGGAAAGTTTGGGGCGGCTTTCCAAAAAGCCCGGAGTTAAAGCTGCAATTGTCCTCGATCGTGCCTCTGGGACGATTCTCAAGACAACGGGGCAAGTTGGGACCATTCGCAAACCAAAGCCGACCGGATCTTCAACTGAGTCTCCGTCACCGGCTCCGGCGGCCGGAGCTTTCTCGGGCGAAGGCGATGCAAGCAATTCCAACCAAAACCAAGATGTGGAGGAAGTCGCCGCATTGGTGTGGAATTTTGTCAACACTGCAGGCGGCCTTGTGGAGGAGCTTGATGCTGAGGTATGCTGTGCCGCTGAGAATTGTTGTGACCCAACGCGTGGGGCTGATCTTCTGCAGGATGAAATGAGACTCCTGCGTTTACGAACCAAAAGGCAGGAGTTTGTCATTGTTCCAGACCCGAAATATTTGCTCATTGTGGTCCACGACACGTCTTCGGCATGAGCTGTCGTGCCTACTTCCCGCAACACACGAGGATATGTTGCCATCTTTGTCAGTGGTCCAAGAGATGCTACTGACCTCTTGCCGCCTTCCTCGTGGAGGCAGAGCAGGATGGACTGCCTGCCAGCCGGAACAAAGTATGCTGGCATGTTGCCAAAAGGTTTCTTATTTTTACAGAGACGGCCATGATACCCACAGAATGACGATAGTTCCACCATGGGTTCTTTTTCGGTTACAATTACCAAAGTGGCGTTCTGAGAGCACACTCGTATACTACAACCTGCGTACCTATGTTTGGGACTAGTGGTAGTATGGGACTGCTTTCCAGGAGTTCGAAAGCTTGATTTGTGGACATGCACAACACGATGAGTCTGGCTCAACGGTTAAAACAGAACGCTGCGGCTCGGGTTTGCCGTCGCTCCAGACATCGGCAGGGGAGGCTTGGCGGTCGGCGATGGATGGCGGTCTATAACCGTTGTACGTTGCAACAAAACCGCCGACAAGTACCCCTCCAATTAAGGCACCCGCCGTTTTATAGGGCGGGCCACCGTTCAGTAATGCACCAAATAGCCCACGGAAAAGCTCAGTTTTTGGCCCAATATCGTACCAGAGATTCCAATTTCGAGACACACCCACCCAGCTCGTCACAAAATCTCCGCAGCCCCGCCACATGGTCTGGTGGGGTGTCGGAAAGCTTGGTGTGACAGGCAGCGGTCAGTAGGGTCCACCGTAACACCAGTGTTGGCGGCAGATATCATGCAGCATGAATTTTGTTTTCCATTCCAGGATGTCGGAGGTGTGGATGCTCATTGTTCGCTGGTGAGGGTCTATGATGGATAAAAACGCATAGCTGCTGTTGGTTGCTGGCTCTGGTCGATTTAGAGTTCTGAATCACGTATGGACTAGCATTGAACTCTTCGCGCCGCGCGGGCCGCCAGCGAGTAACTCAAAGGTCAAATCCGGGCCGTACTCGACTAAATATCCTTCGGCTTTAGACGAACTGAACCGTGATTGTTGTCCCTCTTGATCTTCAGTTTCACGGACGAAGCGCTTGCTGAAGAGGAACACAACTGAGAAGCGTCTGGCGCGAAAGGCCGACCTTTAAAATCGCCTTCTATCAAGCAGACCGTACAGCTACAAGGGCTGATTTGGTCACTCGACCCCCACACACTCTGTACCTGTTTTCGTAATGAGACAAAGCACCGAGACCGGATCTTAGGGCATACATCGAGAATGTCTTCTTCCCTTTGGATTTGGCGACGGTCTCCTCTGACACACAAAGGACACCAGGGACGCAGCAGCCAAGATGACGTCAACACTTCCAGCTCCACACGGCGAGAGGATGCCAGGGGTCGCCACATCAAATCTAAGTCGATGATCGAGAGCAAGCTAACGAAGAAAGACGTGGACGAGAATGAAACGAAAGCACGACGCGGTCTCAACCGAGAGTTTTTGTACAACCTCAAAAGTCGAATTACCGGGAAGCAACAAACAGCCCCAGCAGCCCCTCAGCGGGGAACGGCCCCGAAGTCACAGTCGCCAGCGCAGAGGCCAGCACAGCCAGGGCTCGGTCAGGGAGTGCTGAAGCCGCAGCCGCAGTTGCATGTAAGTCGTTGTTCCACGCTGGGCAACACCAGCCCCTGGCCTTTTGTGCTTGTTGATGAAGTGAGTTCCATGGATGCCTCATGAGCGTTTGCAAGCAATTTTACATTCATCTTTTTCACAATTGCATGCGACAACGCCCACTTGCCAGATGCGGCCCTCCAATGTGATGACAGTGTCAATTGCGCTGCGTGCCGCTCAGAATGGGGAAAGTGCACCCTCGCCAACGCTCGCCAACAGATTTGGAGGAGCCCAACAGGGGGAGTCCCGCGGCTGTCGTCACCCTGGAAGAATGAAGCCGCGTGACCACGGAATTGAACGTGCACCTGCTCGTACGATCTAGCCTGGCACATTGACACTCCAGCCGCCATTCTCACAATTGCCTACCTACCCTAACTTTCTTACTGAATTTCAATGGAGCTCCTGAGGGTTTTGAGAGCCCTAACGGCCTCACTTATTCTCTCACTCAAGGAACCATGATCACATGCAACTGACTGACTGTCGCCAATAATGCAACAGACCTCACAGCCATTAATATCAACTCCTCAGACACCGCGAAGACCTGTTAATCACAACAAGCCTCTTCCTTCACTTCCTCCCCCTGGCAGCGAACAGGCACGGGGCACGCCTGTTAGACCAACCATCAAAGTACCCCGCATCATGGCGAACCTCACCGAGTCAGAGATCGAGAAGCTCTTCTCAGGAGCGCCGCAGTACTTTGCCCGCTCTGAGGGCCACTACACCGGAGCCCCGCATCCCTCAGTGGCCTTCCCATGGGATGAGGCACTGGAAATCCGGGACCTTACCGACCACACTCAAATCGAGGATAAAGCATGGGGCTCGATTACAGCTTGGCCGCACATCACCCGAGATGTCAACCCCGACCGATCAGCCTCCCAGAGAGCTTCTGAAGAAAAGCGACGGGCTCACTTCTATCCCCGGTGCCGTGAGCGCCCTAACATGCTTAGTATGTTCGGGCTCGAAAAGGGCAGTCTGGGCTATCAAGCAGCTCTCGAACTGGGGGTTGCTGATTCCTTGCAGGAAGAGCAGTGGGGATTCGAGAGCCTGGCTGCCAGGCCGCATGCCGTGGCCGAGCAGCGCCAGAAGATGCTCACATCCAAGGATGGTCTCCGAAGTGTAGATGAGACAGTCATCATGGAACAGCTCATCAAGAACGGGAAGAGGTACACCGAAAAACATCTTCGTGAGAGGCGACTCACAAGTGAACTTTATAATGAGTTATTCCTGCACCTTCTTCACCCGCCTACCAAGGTACTGGACCACAGGGACCCATATAGCTTGGCTGTACAAATTATGGCTCTGGTCAAGATCCTTGCCACTCCAAATGTGTGGATCGACTTTTCTCATGTCGAGTGGCGCATTCGTCTGGGACAGTTACTCTGGAGCGTTCCGGGAGTGAGCGAAGGAGTGGATTTCTCCCAAGATCGGCCAGCAGAGGCGGCAGCCGATTTCCAGGAGGAGAGGTACTGGCTGTTACTCCAGATTTTGCTCGCCTGTGAATTGCTCGTCAGGCTGGATGCCATCACAGAGGGCGAGGAGCTTGGCACGGAGAGCATTAGGCCAGCTGAGGTCCATCGGTTTGAAAAGGAGGCAAACAAGACGGTGAAGTGGTCTCTAATTCTAGCCAGAGTTTGGCTTGAAAATATCGAGATCGTAAAGAGCGAACCAGCTGAGCCAGCTGCAGCTGAAGAGAAACCGTCTGGTTGGCTTGCAACACTCACCAAGCGCATGTCATTGAGCCGGGATCACGACTCGCATCACAGTCGCCCACCCACCTATGAAATCAGGGGAAAGCACATCCAGCGCCAGATCCGTGGCCTAACTCACTTTGCCAAACGTCTTCGTTGGCCAGGTATCGAGTCTCATGCATCACAAATCTCGCAGAACTGCCACGCCGTAGCGGAAGGTATTCCTATCAACACCTCTCTTTTGGACCCTTCTCTCAGTGACAGCCATCATGCACTCCATCATCGTCATTCGAATAACTCTCAAAGCCAATCAAAGCATATTCGGGCCCGGCGGAGGAAGATTGCAGCTAATCTTCAGGAGGGCGGGTGGCTTTCCAAGAGCTACCTCTCTGGTATGATTCTGCCGGGAGAAGCTCTGTGCCATTTCTTGATGGCAACCTTACTTGAGAACGATCCGGAGGCAAGGTCGAAACTAGGGATTATTGCAATCCTTTCCGGAGGGCTTATTTATTCAGGCAAGAGTTTCTGGAGCACTTCGTGTGTTGTGGGCCGTGTCCTCGCTGCTGGAAAGGGCGCCGTCGAATGCATGGGTTGGATCTCCAGTGATGTGATCCCCCAGGGTCGTGCTGATGGATGGGTTGATATTGCAGCTGAAGAACTTCAAGGTAAGTGAACTCTGCCGCTTGGCACAAAGCTACCTTACGTGCTAACTCGGATGCAGAGGATAAACTCCAGATTGACAAGAAGGCTCGACTCTGGGCCAAGCAGACCATTGAAAGAGAATCCCATGTCCTCGGGAATGCTCGGTCTGATCCAGCTGGTGTTTTGCCAGCTGATTTCGTCATTCCGACCGAAAATGTCTACCGTGATAAGCTTCCTCCTGTCATTGACATCAGGCTCACTAAGCTTACGTTGCATCCTGCGACCAATGCTGTGTCGACCACATCAATAGAGCGGTACGGAATCGCGCCTACAGGGACGGATCAAGCCCAGGAATTTCAGACCTATGCTGCTTCCATTACTTTCGAAGTAACCGATCTGGATTCCGGTGACAGGGCAAAGCATACATTCTCCTTGTCCAAGGACATTTATTTTGTAACAGCTCATCCATGCGTGCCCTCGCAGCATGTTAGGATCATGAAGTCACCATCCAGCCCTACAATCCGCCAAGTCGATCTCGATGGCACTGGCAACCCGGCTGGAAGAACTGCTAGTGTAGTGGGTAAGTGCTGATCGCTAAAGATGTTTTTTTTTTGAATTCAAACTTAACAAGTCGTAGGCCATCCTCTCCACAAGTACTACACGTATACAGTATTCCATCTCTCCGAGCTCCTAGTCAAACGAGACGCCTCCCTCGACGAGCTTTTGGCCAGTTACTCTTCCGCAACCCACCGCCCCACCATCACACCCGTCCCTGCCAGTGACGCCGCCAAAGTCCTCGTCATCGATTGCATCACTAACTTCCAGCCTCAGCCACAAGAGCACGAGATTCCTCTCTCGCCTGTCGTCAGCCGGTCAGATTCTGGCTCTACTATCCCAACTCCTCTGAATGCCGGAGTCGAAACCAGCAGTTCGGAGCCAAGTGGCAGCAACTTTGCCAGTGTTCTCGAGAGTGCTTCCCAGAAGATGCACTCCGAGACGAGGCGTAGACAATTTGGATCGGATATGGAGGTTCTGGCGCGGGCGATCTGTGCCGAGAAGGGATGGAATGCATTGATCAGCCGTCGCAGGAGGGGATGTCTGGCGTGTGCGATTCGGGAAGCGGGAGCGCTGGGATGGAAGGTAATTATTCGGGTTGACTGAATGGGGAATTGGCTGGGTCTTACGGTGATTTCAAAGTCTGGGAGGAGAAATAGGGTCGCTGAACCAATTGTTTTCTATGTCTGGATGTGTTTTGTTTGATACCCTCGGTGCCAATTTCGGTAGCCAAAAGTTGTAATTGAACTTTCACATGCTGAGCATTTCAAGTAATCTTGATGGTTTAAGGTATGATCATTAAGCCTAACGAGAGCATCGAAAACAGGCAAGTAGTAAAAACTCGGAAGAATGTAATCATACAACCTGTTGGCCATCCTTGATTATACGCTTACCAAAGTTATGCGAATCATGTACTTGAAACCTTGAATCATGACCCAGACAATGCCAACGGAGCTCAATCATGGATGCAACTCAAGACTCTAGAGGTCGCTCGGAGCCGACCATTCCTTCCATCCCTTCTTCTCGCCTGGAAGCCTTACCTTTTCCCACTCCTTGCGAGTAACATTACGCCTATCATTGTGATCAGCACGTTCCTCATCAAAACTGCACAAGACAGAGAAAACGGGGAGCTAGCCTTGACTAGCCCACAGAACACCCAAGTTAGGCCACTTACCACTCCTCAATGGGGATCCAACCGATATACGCCCGGTCACCGAACCCGCCAACCCAATAGACATGCTGAACGACCATCCGGACAAAGTGCGATTCATGCACTTTGTTGCCGGGGAGCCAATACTTCGCATCCGGATGGGTCCGAACAAAGCATGACGCCAGCTTGCTGCCCACTTCGCCCTTGAGATCATCACCATCGGGGATCGGTTCCAGATAACCGATGAGAGAGAAACGCGGTAAGTTAGCAGCTGAGTAAGGGAGAGATGGAGAATGGTGATGATCATCGTCCTCCTCATCATGTTGAAGATGATGATAACTCTCCCCGTCCAAATTCGAATCGGAATCGGAATCATACTCCTCATCATCCTTTTGGGTGCCTAACCCAAGGTAGGAAAACCATGACTTCCTCTCTGACCTGATGCGCTTCACCGGAGGATGTGGCGGCGTCCATTGCACAGCCAAGCTCACGTTGCTTCCGGCCGCGACGTTGCGGAACGTAGTACCGATGGTCACGGCGAGGATGGTCGGGTTGCCTAGGTCGTCGTCCTCGCAGTCTGCGATGTACTCCATGAGGCTGTAGGGCATACCTCCGAGGCCGGCGGGGCTGCGCTCGAAAATTGTTTCCGAAGGATCATGTATGTTTGTGACCTTGCTCTCGTCTGGGGGGAAGACGGTTGAGATCGTGCCAATGGGAGTGAGCGCCAGGATGCGCCGGCCCAGGACGGCGGATTCATAGGAGGTTGGGATTCGATATCTTCCTGAGAAATTGGGAAGCACAGCGGCGGTTGCCATTACCGCACTAGAAAGCAGCATGCCGGTGATAGTCGTAAACTTCATAGTGAGTTATGGTGGTTTGTAGATGGTGGACGTGTTAGAGAAGATAGGGAGATTAAAGGAAGAAGCGGAGAAGAGAGGAAGTTCTGCTTTTAAGCGGTCAAGAAGACGGTACTCTGCATGCTGTCCTCCAACTACGGAATATGTATCCGTAGCGCGTTCAACTACCTATGCGGTGCACTAGTCTGTAAGCAACCACGTCGTGATCACGGGTCCCCAATCCTCTGGCGTAAATCATACCTCCGCCAGTGCGCTCGGGACCCTGTTGGATCAACAAGAGCCCCCAGCGCCGCCAAGACTTTTTATCTGATCATCTCTGTTGATAAGCTGCGGGGATGCTACGTGTGCCCCGTATTCTCCCATCTTGTGGCTTGAGCGAGCAATTGGCAAGGCCTGGATGTTAAGCTCGCCATTGAAATGTCCAATGATTTGGCTGGAATTTGGTGCTAAGTTAGCATGTGTGGTTGGTATGTTCACTGACAGCCCGCAGTGATTCTGATCTCGCAAAACACCAGCTGGACTTGGGATTTTGTATCATGTGACTGATCACGTGAAACTTGGCAGTGCTTTGACCACACATTGTCGAGCCCCAGGTCAGCCCCGCTGGGCTCCCACAATTCTTAGGTAATGCAGGTCATAATCCACGAGAAATCATTGCCCCCAAGCACAAGTCACCGGTCGCAGACTCTTTTTCGCCGTCTCCGCCTCCTGCATCAACGCTTGAGAACTCTAGCGACCAAAACAGTCATTCAAAATGGGCAAGGTTCACGGAAGGTGAGACTTTTCAGCATACAGAATCTTTCTTGGGATATTCTTTCGACTTCAAGGAGATGGATTGCTGACTTTTCCACCCCCAGTTTGGCCCGTGCCGGTACGTCTTCCACCACCGAGCGATTGCTGTCGAGATCGTCGATGCGAACGCCGGGTTTAGCGATTTCCTGAAGATGGGCTCTGATCGGTACACATAGGCAAGGTCAAGTCTCAGACCCCTAAGGTCGAGAAGCAGGAGAAGCCCAAGACCCCGTATGTCCAACCAGCCCACGAATCGCGCGCTCGACGAGGCATCGCCGTCGGGCAGTCGATTGAAGTAACACAATATGCAGAGGTTCTGACAGCCGAATAGTAAGGGTCGTGCAAAGAAGAGGCTCCTCTACACTCGCCGCTTCGTCAACATCACTGTTGTCGGCGGCAAGCGCAAGGTTGGTGCAACTTAAGCCTTGGGAAGAAGGACGCCTGAAGCTGACACGAACACCCTTTGCAGATGAACCCCAACCCTGGCAACTAAATTCGCGCTCAACTTATTCCGGCAATCACCCGCGGCCCGATGATAGAATATTGATCAGTCGCGGGAATCCTTCATGTTTGGGGGCGCTCGGGATCAGGGTCTGGTGATGACGATGGTCGGTCAGCAGCAGGGCAAAGGCTGGCTCTGCAAAATCACCAGACCGGTTTGATGACACTGGCTTTATGGCATGGGATGTCATTTCGGACTCTGGGAAAGGAAAACGGGTTCGGGGTTCTGGCATTTTTGGCGACGCGTCATTGTATTCCAAAGACGCTCGATGGACGCTCGTCAGAGCTGACATCAAACATAATCCTGCATTCCGCAGGTTTCCAACATGAAGGACACGGGTCGCCGTGGACGTGAAGACAAACGTGGGGTCCGTTTTGATGCCATAATTATTGTGAGTGAACTACTTTGAAGTAGGCTGCCAGTGACACCCTCCCCTGCTTGTCTTGGTATGTTATAGGTGTCTCCTTAAAAAGATCTCTTAAAGAGAGCGGCGAGCATAGCGTCATTATCACGATATGGGAAACGATCATCAAGGTCCTGCCATCTCCTGAGCCCCTCATATGCCGCCTTCCACAGTTGCTCACTTTGGGTGTCCTCGGCAAGCGAACGGTTCTTGTACTTTTGTTTAGCCATGTCCCGCTTTTCCTTCAGAAGAAATTCTGGCCAGGTTTCAAAAACACCCAGGCGATTGAAAAGGCGAAACATAACAAGTCCAAGCTTGTCATCTTGGGATCGCATGAAGTATTCATAGCCCCGCTTGGTCAACTGGTGATAACACGAGTTAGAAGAGGCTGGGACAGTCACATTCTGCCAAACATTTACATACCTCCCAGGTATGATCAGTAGATAACCGTGCCCCTCCACGGATTAGCCAAAACAATAATTTTGCTTTGCTCCAGTCTGGTGGTCCACTAAGTAAATGTAGTGGGATGTCAACCTGAGGGTGAACATCAATGTATGTAGAGTGATTCCACCATCGTTGGTAATGATCACTTCCTGCATCGCTGATATGAAAACATTTGATGAAAAAAGTCCAGTCGGTCTCGAAACAGACTGCCACCTCTTTACCATGATCAAATCCTCGAGGTTCTGATCCAGCACAAGGATCAGGAATAACACATGGCCCCCACATCCTGGCATGATCGAAATATCTGCCCTTTCCATGTCTGTTGTACCATTTCTGCTGAACCTCGAGGATAAGATCGATATCTACCCATGGTAACGCAAGGACAGATGACTAGGAGTGTAAATGGTCAATTGAATGCTTGATCAGTGTTAAGTAAAGCAGAAGAAGCTAGATTGGGTCATACCTGAAAAGCGGGATCTCCTCCTATCCGATCATCATCGTCACGGTATCCAGAGTATGACTTGATCTGGTACTGTGGACATCCAAACCACACCTCCCAAGTGGGAACAAAAGCCTCCCAAACAATTTTTGAGAGGAATGACCTCGATGAGAAGCGATAGCCCAATCGTAGACTGCTTCGCAGAAAGTTGAAGTTTTTCGACATGAAGAAGATTTTCTCTAAAATTTCCGACGGAAGCAGTTCAATGGATGCTGGAGGCTTCCTGGTCTTGAGTCGCTGAACACGGGATCGTTCTTCATTTTCATCACCTTCTTTATCTTCACTCCGCGGACGCTTCAGAGGGTTTGCTGGGACAGGTGGCCTCCAGACCGGCTTCTTCCCCTGCCCACGCTTGCCTTTGATGTGGACCGGAGTCAGTTCCATCCTCTGGAATTAGAGTCAAGATCAATTGAGGGCTATGTCGTTCACAGAAAGGCAGAGACGCAAGCTGCTAGGGCAATATCAAGGAGTCGGTGGAGTGTAAGTGACCTTTTGAGCTTGGCCAGGCATCCAGGAAAAGCGGTGGGTGAAAATTTGCCCTTTTCTATCTACATTTCTTTTTTTTCAGCATCAGCTGTGTATAACAGTTTGATATCAGAGAAGTTAGTGTAAACAAGAGCAGCTATCGAGGCACGGGCCTGGTAAATCCATATAGCCTGAAGGACCAAGGCAATTAAATTTCTTTTCATTGAAGAATCTTGAGCGTGGGGGTGAGAGTGCCTCTCATCTGTGGTTGAAACTCGATTGAAGCACGGACGCCAAACAAAAAGGCTGTGATAAGATCACCCCACACCTGCACTAAAGCCACGCCGTTGGACTGTTGATCCCACCAAAAAGATGCTGCAGCGAGGTGGGTGTCCACAACAAACACTGCATCCAATGGATACGGACGTGCGCAAGCAACAATTCTGCAGACTTCGACGCCAGGAGTCTAGGACGACACTGACGGGAAAGAGCTCAATTGCGACCTCGATACAGCCCCGGCGTGTCCAATCCCTTGCCTGTCTGCAATGCCTCCGGCATTGAAACCTCTGGCGCCGTCGCGAAGGCTCCTCAGATTTCTACGCGCACAGTCTGAAGGCCTCGTCTTTGCGGAGTGCACTGCAACCCTCCCTAGCCGTTGCCATGGCTGCACCTGTTCCCGATCGAGGTTGTCGGGCCTGGGGAGAGCCTCGTTGACCAGACGCCAGCCTCTGCTGCGGTCCTCATTTGTCGATCTCGAGTCTGTCTTCCCAGAATCTACATCCAGGTACCGTCCTGTAGGGGCGAGTGCGAAGAGTCAATACGACTTTGCTGCGACTGCAGGTGGCGCCAAGCGATATTATTCGTCAGGATTCTCCTCGGAGGAGAGCAGTGGCAGGTTGACATGGCGCGAGCTGCTGTTTGGGTCCGGGGCGAGGAAGCAAAGCGAGGCCATGAAGGAGGAGGAAATTATGATGCGTTTGCAGGAGGACTCGGGTGCCATCTTCCAGCGCCGGTCCTTGACGTCGAAAGCGGCGCTTGACCCTCGACTGCGGTGTACCGAAGTGGATGGGAATGGCAATGTTATCATGGTAGACGGCGAGCTAAAGAAAAGCGAGTTGATTGCTAAGGTACTTGACGGCTCCTGGCATTTACAATTAGCATCTGGAATGTATCTGCTGACGAGTTGTTGCCCTTGATATAGTATGGCCTTCTTCCTCGCGATCTTCGCAAAATTGATTCTTCCAACCTCCCTCACATTCTTGTTCGTCCCTCTGCCATCCTTATCAACCTGCTTCACTTAAAAGTCTTGATCAAACATGACCGCGTCCTTCTGTTCGATGTCTATGGCTCGACTTCTTCTTATCCCCAGTCAGCATTCATGTACGATCTACAGGGAAAACTCCAACAGAAGCAAACTGGTGGTGCGAACAGCCTTCCATATGAGTTCCGGGCCCTTGAAGCCGTGCTCATGTCGGTGACGGCTGAACTGGAGGCTGATTTCGAGGCTGTCCGGGACCCTGTCATCCGCATCCTGAGCGAGCTCGAGGACGATATCGACCGGGAAAAGCTTCGGATATTGCTTGTCTTGTCAAAGAGGGTCAGCACGTTTGAACAGAAGGCCAAGTTGGTTCGTGACGCCATTGAGGAACTCCTGGAGGCCGATGACGACCTGGCGGCCATGTACCTGACTGAGAAGACCCATGATCTCTACCGTGGGGAAGATGACCACACTGAAGTAGAACTCCTGTTGGAGTCGTACCACAAGCTGTGTGATGAAGTGGTTCAGGAGGCGAGTAACCTTGTGTCGAGCATCAGGAATACGGAGGAAATGTAAGTTTCTTGGCATGTGTGGCACTGGAATATTCGGATGCTAACAAATTTCGCCAGTATTCGAGCCATCCTGGATGCGAACCGCAACTCCCTCATGTTGCTGGACCTCAAGTTCAGCATTGGCACTTTAGGCCTAGCCATGGGTACCTTCCTGGCCGGCCTATACGGCATGAACCTTGAGAATTTCATAGAGGAGACCAACTGGGGCTTTGGCGCCATCACTGGGCTGTCGACATTACTTTCCCTTGTCGTCTGCTGGTATGGGCTGGCGAAGCTGCGCAAAGTGCAGCGCGTGAAGATGAACGGCGCCGGGTTCACCAGACACAACCACTGGTTCCGTGACGATAGCACCGACGTCTTGCTAGATCCAAGCAACCGTGAACGGCTAAGGAAGATTAACATGATGAAGAGTCATGCCAAGCAGAAGACTGCTGCTGCTAAGAAGTGGCCTCTTAACAAGTTATAGAATGAGGGGACTGCTTGACACAATTTTAGGGATGGTAGTTGTGGTCTTTGGAGTTAGGGAGAAGAAAAGGATGGCTTCATCAGGCTATGGGAGCAAGAGCGTGTTGTTGTGCACGGGATAGATGGCGTTTTGGGCGTAGTTATTCTCATGCTTTTCTGGAGTGGGGAGTTAATGTCAAAATCTCAGCTTGCTCTTTTGGGGCGCTATGTTGAGTTGCTCTTGTGCCATACATAGGGATGACAGCTTTTTCTCTTCTCCATTGCTCATAAGAGCACGAGATACATGATACCAGGTTCTCTAGATGTAATACGACATAGTTGGTGGCAGTTGTTGAGAAGGTTATGGGCAAGGCTGTGCGGTGGCTCGTTCATCCCCCCTGATTGCAAACAACTGGTGGCGTACGGTGGACTGGTATTCATACTCACTAGATATGAGAACATAACCTCCTTGAGTCGCTTCCCGTTATACATCCCGTACTTGAAGAGAGAATTTACAAGATCCGAAAGTCGTCCATCATGATTACTATGTCCCCTCTGTTCGAATATATTGGCAAACAACAGCATGGGAGGATATCAAGTGCCGCCCTGCCCCTCCCTACAGGAACCTCAGCTCTGTTCCTCCAAACCTCATTACCTCAATGGATCGGACATTATTTGAGATCAAGGTTACCCATCCCCTGTTCCACGCCCTCTGTTGGCATCATCTACTGGGCGGGGTGGCCTGGATGTGCCGGGGGACCTGCTTGGCGTGCATTGGGATCTAACTCTGCCACGTGTTGCGGGTAGTGTTGTGCACTCTGCTGTGACCAGGCTTGGAACTGGGGCATCATGTGAGCAGGAACCTCCGTCTGCGTGTGAACAGTGGTCTGGCTGGTCTGTATAGAGTAGATAGGCATGCTCTCGGATTGAAGGTGCTGCTGCTGCTGCTGCTGTTGTTGTTGTTGTCGTTGTTGTTGTTGCTGTTCCTCTGGGGGAACCGGAATACTCTGGACACCAGTGTTGGTGCTCGGAGAGACCTGGTTGTTAATGGCATAACCCGACTCGGAGATGGCTGTTCTCGAAAGATAAAAGGCTGTTGATGCGCCAACTGAGTTTCTAAACGCCTCCGTCGTTACGGTCTCAGGGGAGAGATTGGCTTCTTTCTGGACAATGTGGGCATTGGGTGGCTGTGGTCGATTAACCAGAGGGACGTTATTGTTCTTGCCGTCGTTATTGGACGTCGTCGCACCAGTCTTGTGGAGACGGCGGAGAACAAAGAACGTGACGGCTGAGGAAATGATCATTCCTACGGCCAAACCACCCACTACACCACCCGCAAGAGCACCAGCGCTGATACCACTGCCAGTATTGATGATGGTAGGTATTGGGATAGAGCTTGATGGCAAGGTGGCTAGCGAGGAGGTCCTTTGTTCGGACGGAGAAAGGTAAGGCTGAGCGACATTAACATGCTGGGAGAGGGCAGCATGGTGACAATGGTCGAATCAGGGTTGGCGGTACACATATAGCCTAGCTTGGGGCTCCGAAGCCCCGGCCATATCAATGTTAAGCAATATTGATAAGCAGTGCTCCGACTAGACTATGTTAGCATCGGTAAAGCAGTTATATATGGATGGAATGACTCCAGCATAGGAGATGAGTTTGAGGATGGATACTAGAGACTTACCAGCATTGGGTAGAGCCTGTACATGGATCATTCCTATAATAGGAGCTAAGAGCAAGCCATAGCTGGCGATCGATACATGTCTTCGCAATATTTCCTCCACTTGTATGGCATTGCACATAACCTGACACTGTTGCACAAGTGAACGAACCAGTGCATGTCCTTGGATCAGCTGTGCATGAGAATCACTAGTGAGTACGTGCAGTGTAAATGATGGATAAGTAGATGGCAATGCAGAGATGACCTACAGCCGGTGTCACCGAACCATCCGCAGGTGTGTGAATTCATTCACTCATTTCTCCATCATAATTATCCCAGTTGTATTCAATTTGCAGCTCATCCCTTTTCTGCAGCAGTAAGGAGCCTGATAGCGCAGGCCTCGGAGCTTTGGTTGGGTTAGGAGTCCATCCGGTTTCTGGATAGTCGTTAAAAGTATGGAGTCTGCTTTGCGAGCAATCCGTCGGTAAGCTGAGGCCCAGAAGAGGGCCCAGGGGACGTGGGAAGATGACCTCCTTTCACAGGGGCAGCGCATGTTGCGAAGAGTAGCAGAAATATCATAGCGCGCTCACCGTTGCTACTCCGACTCGATGTGCAAAGCAGCAAACACTTTATTGCGAATGTCATTGCACACGACAAGCCATTAATCATGTTATAATTTGGTGACGGTTCAGCCCAGCAGAGGGATCAGAGCCTCGACCATCTTTTTTATAGAGCCAAGCTTCTCGCTTTGCGCGATTGCAGCTCTACCCTACATGATAAACTTATCCTTACTTGGGCACCATGCACTCAGCCACCTTGAACTATGCTATATAGGATAGTTGCAGCTAGCGCACCTGTGCTTCGACATCGGTAAGCGAAAAGATCAAAGAAGTGGATGAGTGTTATAATTGTCTCATTGGCTCTAGACATAACTCAAATGTCCTGAGCTATGGCATAATAAAGATTTAGACTTGGGTGGTATACCTCAGACATGCATCATGAGGTCATGAGAATGGTGGCTTAACACCATATTGTATGGCATGAGGACAAACCGCTGTGATCAGTTTTCACTACTGGTACAATATTCATGAGAGGATCATGTTTTTTTACTAACTGCAGTCGACGAGTTATTCCGGCCGAAGCATAGAAAACTCTCATGCCGAATGTGTGCTTCTCACTAAACCTGTCGCACAGCCATGAGTGATCTACAACACTTTCTATACACCAATTCCATGGGATAAAACTGACAGAACCACTCACAATCTTTCATTTTAACTCAGCCTTCAAGAGGCTGAAGCCAGCCTGCCTTGCAACAGCCGTGTCGCTGAGGATTATGTACATATGAGGCTTGAAGCTGCACATTGGCATTAGTCACTTATCTCAGAATCCAACACACTGCTATCACTTTACTGTGTAGGATACGGAATACCACGTTTCATTCCTACTTATTGTTCCTGACTGATTACATCAGAAACGAAAAAAAAAATAATAATGGATAGCATATACCACGATACCCTCAAGTCTTGTTGGTGTATTGTTTGCTAATCCCTACATTGACTAGCACACCGCAAGAAGCGGGGCAAAACTGCCATGACAACGGATGGCCTACCATAAGGCCGAGCTACCAACTCGGAGAAAGCTGTATGGTGCATTTTCTCGACATCCAAACCCATCTCACCGAGGATGCAGAGTCTCTATTTTCCCCTTAGGCCTCTGCAGTCTACATGCGGAGGTGCTCTGCCATGTGGCGCCACAGAACAAGGCAGTGATTGCACGGCTGACGGTAACTCCCACGGAATAACGTAAAGGGCAAGTACACACCGCAGTACATCCCGCGCCAGCAACCTCAGTCACTTGACACTTTCTGCCAGCCTGACATGCCAAAATGCCAGGGACTAGGGATGTAGCTTGCAAGAGCAAAACGCAGGTACCATGCGTGAAAAGCTATTCAAACAAGCAGTATTGTAAAGTTCTCCGCCGCATTACCACGTGTATCAACGTCGCACTTAGTGGCAGAGTGCTTACCTGCCCACTCAATAAGCAACATGGGCATTGCTGGGGAGCTGTCGGTTCGGTGTTTTACCGCCGAGAGAGCCATGTTTCTTGGCCCGGTCCCAAGCGATACATCAGGCGGGCTGACCAACGAGAGGGAAAGGGAGGGGGAGGGCAAAAACCAACCAACCAGGCAGCGATGGCCTTGTCAACGCTGTCATTGGCTGAATGCAAAGGACGCGAAACCTCAATCAACGAGACGGAACAAAAAAAAGGAGGGGAGGGACAAAGGAGGTGTGGATGACTCACTGGACACCGGATCAACAACTCCGTTCGTCTTGCAGTGGGCTTCCAGAAGGCTGGTTTGATGACACCCAGAGAGCACCTATGATTTGGTTGCCCAGCAACGAAATTGGAACTTTGGACTGCAGGGGACCAAAATCAATAAGCCCCTGACTGGCAGCGACATGACCAGGCTGCAGCGGCATGCTCTCTTTGCCAAAGCTCTGCTCAAGATGTCCTCAACTCCAGGATCTGCAGTTGGCCAGTCTCCTGAGGATCAGTCAGACCGGCACAATCGATTGGGAGAAAGCTTGGGGAAAGCCTGCTAAGTCATCAGCAGAGTATCAAACCATCACATCATCAACCAGTTCCACTCCCCCGGCCATGATCCCTCGAGGAAATGGGCTGGCTCCTAGCTCATCAGAACGCCACTCAGGTGTGCCGAGAATGTGATGGTAATCACGCTCGACCAGAGACACTGGGTTCGCAGACTCTGTGGAACCATCGCAGACACGAATTGTAACTCCCAAAAGACTCAGATGATATTGCGTGCTTCAACTGCGTCATTACAGCTTTCTCTCCTAATTGTTTTGCTGCCTAACAGGTGGAAGGTTGCTCAACTCTCTGATGATGGTATCTTGTCCTAGTTGCTAGGTAGTTAGGTAATGTAGATAAAGCGAGTAGGAGGTACGAAAAATCGGATTTGTTTCAGTCCGACTTATCCGGAGCTTTTGTCTGTCCTTGCAAGGGGCTTGTGCTTGATGGACTTGAAGTCTTAAATCTCGAAATAATCCCGTTCAGATTCCAAGTGACACAAATCAAGGCCCAGAAACGGACGGGAAGTAGCTGCCGTCTGCTGCTGTCCTGCCTTGTTAGCCCACGGTTCCGTAGGCATCTCTAACGAAACCTGTCTTGGTCTTCCTTCATTGACCGGGCCCCATTTATTAAAGATTTGGGGAAAAAAAAGTATCCCATTCCTCCCCCACCTTGAACGTCCAACCCTTCCGGACGTCGATATTGTTTTAAAAAAGGGTAATTGCTCAAACAAAGCACAAAAAGCCACCCCAGAAATCGTACACGAACCCTCTTCATCGCCAACTTTGACCAGGTTTCCCACACCGTTACCCGATGCCAGTTACCCGAAACCAGGATAGATGCATGAAAAAGAAAAGGAATAACAAAGAACGTGGTATTGCCGGTCCCCCTGGCTGTCCATATTGAACCATTCTATGAGCCAGATGCCTCCAAGGTTACCTAGTTGAAATCAGGAATATTGAAACGCTTGATGTTTAAGGAGCTCCTCCGCGAAAAGCAACAATACAAGCAAACAGGGTATTATCACAAACGAGCTGTTGTTGTTGTTGTTGTTGTTGTTGTTGTTGTTGTTGTTGTGTGTGTGTGTGTGCATGTGTGTAAAGCAAATATGTATGCATAAGTGGTTAAAAATATTGCAAAGTGCCTTAATGGTTTGCTGTTTAAGTTTTAATTTAAAATACCTTCCCACATCCCTGGACCACCAAGCCCACTCACAGCAGGGTGAAGAGAGGGAATCTGGAGAATCTGAGAGGCTTCAGCAGAGCAACAAAGCCGCTTATGGCTCCCTGGAGTGCTAATACGAACGGGCACCTGCTGAGGAACCCTCGTACCGTCAGGACGAGAACGAACCATAGTTTCAGACCAAGACCGAGCGCTACCATAACGGCCAGCGAGGATGTCGCGAACATCGTCCTGCAAAGTATCCTCAACTGAGAAAGGACGGCTCCTTTTCAGTCCTGCTTTGACCCCAATCACGGGACTGTTGCTACTGTATTGCTGCATGTTTTGAAGAGTACGAGCGGCATTGTCCATCTCGCGTTGTGGGCAAGGCATGAGCATATTCAGCGTCAGGTCGCACATCTCTTGGCCTACGGCAACCCCGTATTCCTCGGGAGATGAAGTTAGGCAAATCGGCTCATTATCCTCATACACCGGTTTCATTGGCAGTCTCGGACCCAGCCTGTCATAGTTTGATTTCGAAGTGCGATACCGCGCCTGAGAGTCCAAGTTGGACGATGGCGCACCAGCCGAAGAAGCTGACGAGACTGAGGACGAGCGAGAAACCTGAGATGAGTCTGAGATCATTGACTCCGGCGAAGAGGCGCTGCACACGGAGTTGGCAAGGGAGGAACGACGTGTAACCGGAGCCAGAGGCGATGATCCCATAGACGCAGGCCACCGATCGGCAGATTGGGCGGCAGCTGAAGCGGATGCCTGGGCCATTGCAAATGCCATTGACGAGCTGCGCGACGGAACTTGGGAAACAACACTCGCTGCAGGAGTGATGAGTCCAGTGGGCTGAGAAGCAAGCCGAGGGGTAGGCAGAAGCCCAAGAGCCGGAGCGAAGCGGCTGGGAGCACACGTGTTTGCAGGCGTCGGCTCTAGAACCACTGGCACGCTGCGAGACTTCGGTGACCAGCTCTGCTCCATATCAGAGCCAAAGGTACTGAAACGCTCTGCCGAAGGAATGCGGCGGACAGTCCGAGGGGATGGCTCGCGAAGATATGTCAAGGTCGAAGACCAAGGAGCTAGCAGCTCCTCCAGGTTGCTGAGGTCGGGGGACAGGCCGAGGATAATGCGGCGGAAGTTGTAGCACTGTTGCTCGTAGACTTGCATGGAAACACCGCCAGGCGAAGGAGGCTGAGATGGTGTCAGCTTGGCCACACACTCGCACCAGCGCTTGTAGACCTCCTCCGTAACGTGAAGCTTCCAGTTCACGGCTAAAAGGAAGGTCATTTCGTTCTTGTTGATTTCCTGAGTGTTGAGACCAGAAATCTTGCTCCAGGCACGAGCCGAGTAGTTACGGTCCTGAAGATACTTGGATGCCAGAATCAAGGCTGCAAGAAACATGCGACGGCCGCACTGAATCGCCTGACTGGAGTAGCGATCATCAGGCTGTTCAGTGGTGAAGTCGTGGGTAGGGACGTGAGGCTTAATCAATATCAGGTAGTAAAGGGCCACCTGCAAGGTAGAGTAACTAGTCCGGGAGCGGCGCAATGTCTCTTGGATAAAGGTACGGAGCGGCAGCACTGAGCCCGTGCCATTCTCATTCCGAGGAGGGACAGATGAGGTAGGCCAAATCGCCTCGACAATATGGGTTGAGGTATCTGAAAGGGTCAGCCCTGGGCAACAACCTGGCTGGTGTGAGCCGGTGCTTAGCTTACCAACTAGGTTATCCACAAAGTTGACCTTTCTATCATCCTGGCGTACGAGCGACGGCGGGCGTCCGGTACGGGAAGTCACCGAATTGTTGGTCCGTCTCGGATTCTGTCGCAATTCCGGGGGGGCTTCGACCTGAGGCTGTGTACAAACTGGCTGCCTGACCCATGGATCGTGGAGTTTTACTGCCGGTTCGTAAATGCTTCCGAGTGAACTGACTGACTGTTGGGAGGAGGATGGGGCACGCGAGAAATAGCACGAGTCCGAATCAGAGGTCGAGATGGAATCGTCCGAATGCTGGGAAGAAACATCGGACCAGAAGGAGGACGTCGAAGTCAGGGAAGTGGTCGAGGAGGACCACGAGGAGTTAATTAAAAGTGGGTTGCTATGCGCATGGCGAAGGGGATGGAGAGACGAAGTCAAATCGTAAATGCCCGACATCATTTTGGGTTAAGGTGGGTGGTAAAGGAGATTCCAACGCTCTCCAGCCACCGTCGCGCGGTGTCTACCTGTTAGACCGGGTGAAAGGTTCCGAACGAATCGTGAATCTATCGATATGTAAGTTCGACGGCAAGCCACATGGATTGCCGTAGAAATATGTATGTCGAAAAGAGAGACCGGCCCCTAGTACAAGGCGAGCAGAGCCGGGTTTCCACGAACGATCAGACAGGTAGACACAGCGAAGACGGCGACTGGAGTAAATACAATGCTCCTAAGAGGCATTGTGTGCTGGTTCGTTAAGTGTTAAATTTAAGAAAGGCCGTTGTCGAGGTTATATGGCAGTTAGCACAACACCATACGGACGATCAGCGGCAAGGGATTTGGAAGGCGGGCGAGGGGCGATGGAGCTGATGCTGCGGCGTGGTGTGTGAGTCGAGGAAGGGCGCCAACGGTGAGACCAAGTTCAAGCTAGGGTATTAAGTCGAGTATTCAAGTATTCGAGCGATGACGAAAAACCGTGGACGGCGCGGTGATGGATGCTGCGAGGAGGTAAGGACGTTTTGTAACTGTGCATGTGGTGTTTTGGTTCTTGGTATGGGCTGGCAATGGTCACCGGACGGCGGCGATGTGACTCCTATTGCGGTGGACGCGCGCGTCGGTTGCTCCTAGTCGGGATGACTCTTCTAACAAGGGCTGGTAGCGCAGGGTCTTAGGTGGCGAGGGGCCAACAGGTCACTACCTAAAGTAACCGACGCTGGGACCGATGGCTTGCCGCTGGGGAAACAGGTGGCTCCAACTGGCAGGCGCAGCGTTATAGCGTGGTATGACAAGTACCAGTCACGGGAGCTGGCAGCCTGAAAACGGACTGGGGGAGGGTTACTGGCTTTGTGAGAATCGGTGGGCACCTGTGGCGAGTCTCCTGTCCACCTGGTGCGCTTGCGCGATGAGTCTTGCGGGCGAAAAAGGAACGACAACCGTCCAAAGCTCCGCCGTTCTTCGATAGAAAGGCAAATTCCTTGTTATCAGGATTCAGGCTGGTCTGGAGCCTAGATCGGTGATAGCTCGAAAGCAGGGAGAGTTCAGGTTTGCCGCACTGGACTGGCTCGAAAAGTCGGAAAAGAGAGGAATGATACAGTTTCGTTTAAAAAGCAGGAGGCCGCCCTGGGTTGGCGAGGATCAGAAAAAAAAATAGTCGTTGAGTGTAGCTAGCTTTAACGGTCGTGCCTGTTGGTCTTGTTTTCCTTTGTCGCGACGGCCTGTGAGTGCGTCGCGAGAAAGGAAACGTCCTAGACAAACAGACAAGCAATCATCTGGGGACTGGGACGAAACGGGAGAAAATGAGTCAAGACACAAAGATTAAGGCAGGCGAGATAAAATTAAAGTGATGAGATAAAAAGCAGTAAGATGAGTGTAATGGCGCTGCGACGCGACTAACTCTGAGAGGAGATGGGGAATGATACACACAGATCTCGCAAGCTGACCGCTTTGTAGCCGCTGCGTCTTCAGATCGTGAAGTTGAACATCGTCGTTCCAGTTTGCTTGATGATCGGGAGAAGAGCCGGTTTTCACCGCAGAGAGCACCGCCCAGCCGCACTGGGGCGCCGGGCATGGCTCTTCGAGACCCGCCAGCTGCCTAGAGGCTGGGCCACAGCTGCCGCCTACAATGCACCCTCGCGCTCCCTCATCATCCCGCATCGCAGCGCACCCTCCCTCCACTACAGGAATCCCTGCCATTGGTGACCGTCAGACACATAGAATCCGGATCGTCCGCTGGACTGGGCGTCATTTTGCTCGCCAACCTGGAATTTATTTTTATATAAGCATACTCCGGTCCTCCGTAGCCAAGAAGCTCCCAGCATTCGCGTGTAGTCTGCCTGGACCAAGTCTGTACAATCAGGCAAGCAAGTAGGTATCCGTATGAAAATCAGCTTCTCTTTCGATCGGCCCTGTCTGGGGATGCTTAGCTGTTGTCATTGCGCCGCATATCTCGCCCGAAAAAGGAGACTCTCGTGTAAGGCATCACCAGCATCATCATCATCATTACGAGGGGGTCTCATCCCGACCAGCACCTCTCTTGCACCCGCTTCGGGAAACCTATAATGATTCGCTGTGATCTAGGACAAGGTTGCACACTGCCATGGAAAGAATAAACGGTGCACTCTACGGCCCTGGCCTTGGCTTTTTCCCTCTTTTCGCCCCGTCATCAACTTGGACACTTCTGTCAAGACATGGTCGCAGTTTCAACTCGCTGTGCGACAGGAAGTGTGAGAAGTCTGCCCGATCTTGATTGGCCCTGCTGCATGCAAGATGGCGGGGCAGGAATCTGTGTGTAGTGCTGTGGCCAGTTCACTCCCTCCATCTGCATCACTCTGCATCACCGTGCCCAATCCACCCCTTGTCTTCTTTCTTGGCAGACAAAAGTGGCATAGTGTGAAAACGATGCGCAGACTCGCATCAATCACGCACGACGCAACCACTTTGTGCTGGCATTCTCCCTCACGCCAGCATGGAGCCTTGACATCCGAATTCCGAACTTCAACCAGGATGCGGGGAGACTTCTCACAACGCTACTCTCATGTCATATCAGATAATGGCCAGCCTGTGAAGTTAAGAGGAAGTTGGATGTGAAACTCTGCCTAGCTTAAGGCCGATTTGCTTCAGGTTAAATCAGGCTCTCACCAAACATATCGATGAGCTGACTCACTTGAAAGAGTGATTCCATCAATTCCTACAGTACTCCATATAAGCTGACTTTAAAGAAAGCTCAATAAGAACTGCTTCCAGAAACCAACGTCTAGTAATCCGTAAGCACCTCAGCCGAAAGAATCATGGTCCTTAACAATCTCCATGTTGCACAAGCCACATCTCAGTCACCACCATGTCAATCCCAAGCCTCGATTCGAAAGCTGGTGACTAATGATAAACAATCACTATTTTTCAAGAACCCACACTGAATTACGATGCATCGCGATGGCGATCTTGTACATTCTGAAGCGTAGGTTTGATGCAAACCTGGCTGTGTTTCGCGGAGTGTCTGGGACCCCTCCGTTAAAAACTTCCCCTGGCACAGCCCTCTTCCCTCCAGCTGCTCAGCACCTTGCACATATCTTGCTCACACCATTACGTGATCCTGGGGGTGGCTTGTTTTAGTCTGAGCCAAAAGAGCAAAGGACTTCTGCTGGTCCAGATTCGACTCGCAACATGTTAATCAATGTTGCTCTCCGAAGCCACTGCCATCAAGGTCCGCGGGTGTCAGAAAAGCATGAGACGGGCCACAACATTCTTTGGCTGCTGACTCATCTCCACGATCTCTCAAAAAAAATAACTAAATAAAAAAAATGAAGTCAAGGCCTTCCAATCTTCGACAATGGATCCTGGGCGGAAAATGCAATGCACAGATGCACAGCAACCCAATCTTTCCCATCACGCCGATCCAACGATCACGAAGATGAGGAAAACCAGATAACCTCGTCGACGATGGCTGTGAGGACCAGCCAATCACGTGTTCAAGTTGTTAATGGGGTGCCAGTAGCACCAGGCGGTCCAGCCCAAAAGCAGGCTTTTGATCCAAGGCTGTTCAAACTCTGATGACTCAAGCGGAAATTGCCTACCGAACCAAAGTGCGCTTCGCGATATCGGAGGGAATTCTCTTCGATGAGGCCAGCGACTTTGACGGGATATTGACGTCAGGCACCAAACCATTTAGCATAAACGACTCAAAAAAGCAGGCAGCTGAAAAAGCCATGTCGATAGGGCAACCTCTCCGATGTTGCATGCCCCTGCCCCTATCCGTACCCACTACGCGCTTCAGCCTCAAAAATAAGGCTGAATAGACCCCTGAAAGCGTGCATGGAAACACATTGCTTAGCCAAAATGAGCTGAAAAACCAAGAATGTCGGTGTCTGTTGAAAGCGACACCAAAAAAGCCAGCTTGCGCGTTGGCAAACATCCTCCAGCCTCGTGTTTGTCGGACCATAAAGTTTTCCACGGGAGTGTCGGCGCGAAGCGGATGCGAAGATCGGAACACGGCGTTGCCGGCCGTCGGATACGGAGTGAAGGGCGGCTTGTCCGAGCAAGGCTGCCACTCCACTTGCTCTCAGCTCATGACCCAGGCCATGGACATCGAGAAGAATACCTAGTCATAGAACTTTATTGTCTTGTGAAGCTTCTGGTGATCCAAGGTCCGCCAAACTACATCCGGGAGTCGACAATATTGAGAATGGTGTGGGCGATAAGTAAACTTGCCGATAATTCCCCAGACACAATCTCAAAAGTTCAAGTATCTACCTGCCTTTCGGTGTTCTGGAAACTTTCAAAGTTGGGACTAATTGATCAATAGTGTCTTGGACAGCCCGCCAATCCGCCGGAGTTTCCCGAGGGCAACGCATTGGCAAGCTAAATTAACCTGGACGGCGCGATAAGCTAAGGTATATCACGTTTGTCATAGGCTCCAAACCTGCCCGGTTACGTGCTGTGTTCGTTATCCATATCTCAGAATGGCCTGCAATTTAGCGAGATAGAATACCTAGTCTATCACTATGACCATGGTCAAATCCCAAAGTTCAAGACTACCTGGCCACCACGCCTTGGAAACTGGTTGTTGCTATCATCCCAGATAAATAACGTCAAATCTGTGAAACACAATAAGATTTGGAAACTGAATGCGTGATGACAAGTAAGGCAATTTGTTGAGCCAGACGTAAGACAAGCTATGATAACCGGACGCATCATTTGGTCCATCCCACGTGCTGTCTTGGGGAGCATCCTTCCAGGTTTGTTCGCCTGCCAACAGTTCTCTCGTGCCTACTTCGGCTCTGATGTACAAGAAACATGAGTAATCTGAAATATTGGGAGTTAGCATCAGCCACAAACATCCTCGCCGTCTCATAATTCACCTGAGGTTCAACAAAACAATGGCTCAAAGAACAACACCCAGAAAGTTGGGAGAAAGCAAAAGAAACGGTCACCAAGGTTCTCTCCTCAGCTGTTCAACGAAGAAAGTCATGGGCATTGAGGAAATGGTGCAAACACTATTACATTCTCGGGGCGATTCTGTGCCTCAACGAGCCAATGCTATCTTACACTGCCTTCCCCGACCAAAATTATGGCTCATCATCCTCTCTCACTAAGCCCCCCGATGCAACACAATAGCATATCAACCCAGCCTCTTTCTAGGCTCCGCAGGCTGCACAGGCAGACCATGCTAAGCAGAAAGAAGGCTCTGGCATCCTTCAAGGCTTCAGCTCTGCCAAAGAGTGGCATTGCCCAGCAACGAATGCAAGAGCAAGACATTCCCAAGCACAACCAGCCGAAATGATCTACACTCATAGGCACACCTCATACATATCGCGGATGACTCTCAAACTCCCATGGGCCCCATCAACGGCTGAGAATGGCACATGAGAGGAAACACTTGTGAATAACAAGTCACCGGCGTAACTACCAACAAGATGCGAGACAGCACCATTCGGGATCAGGGATTGCCCAAGCCTTGCCCAGCCTTGATGGATAGCAAGGCTCTATCGTCGTCGGTCGAAGGAATGGCGATCGTTGAAGTCGGCAGGACAAAAAAACTTGGCAATTACGCACACACTCACACCTCTCAGGGGAGAGATGGAGATTGTACGGAACCTACTTCGCCACAAACCAAAGTAACCGAGTGGCTCAGACAGAAATGCTCTTGCCAGATTCGATGGTGCTGTTGGCTGCAAGTGGTTTACGCGGAAGATCGCACACGAAGAGTAAATTGAAAACATACTTGAAAGGGTAGATTCCTCCTAATAATTGCTGAGGCCTTGGAAGATTAAACGCAGAAGTAAGCATCAATCATGTATTTTGGGATTAAAAAAACTGGGCCATCTTGCCGCAGTAGGTCTTTGTATGAAAACAATCTAAGTTTCATTGATACATAACCCGAGTTGAGTTAAATCGCTTCCACGGCAGCAGAGCTATCCCAGTTACATTGTTATTGTCCTGTACGATTTTTGTCGAGAGCAGCTTTTCCCATTGAGTAAAAAGTTTGGTTGTCGTCCGACTACACTTGACAGTAAGGAACGAAAAGCACACCATCGAAATCAACCCCAGAGATCAACGCAAAACGGAGCCAGAACCGCACCGGAGTTAAGAACCCTACCCGAAAGAGCAACTCTTCGATTGTCCCAGTTTACGAAGCCATGTAGGTGGAGGCGTCGACGCCTTCCTTAGGGAACTCACTGTTTCGACGAATCAGCATTCCATATCTACGCGAGAGCATAACACACAAGGGATGACGTACGGAAGAGCCACTTCGAACCGCTTCTCGATAGCCTTGAGCACCTCCCGATCCTGGTCGGAGCTAACGAATGAAATAGCGAGACCCTTGGTACCGAAACGACCAGCACGGCCGACACGGTGAAGGTATGAGTCGGCATCCGCGGGCATGTCATAGTTAATGGCGAGGTTGATGCGCTCAATGTCGATGCCACGACCAAACACGTCCGTAGCGACGCAGATGCGTTTGTTGAACTCCTTGAACTCCTTATACCGGCGAATGCTATTAATGAATGTCAGTGCTCCTGTGGTCAAGTCGTGGTTGCATTGGATGATCATACCGCTCCTCCTGGCTGATACCGGAGTGGACTGCAATCGAGGGGAAGTTGCACTCGCGCAGAAGCTTGTCGAGCTCAGTAGCACGGAGAGTGCTCTTGACAAAAATGATGACCTGGTTGAACTGGAGCTCATCGAGCAGCTCGTTGAGCTTCCGATTCTTCTCGCGCTCCTCGAGAGCAATGTAGTACTGCTGCAGACCGTGCAGCGTCAACTTGGTATCCTCATCGACGTAGTGCTCGGTCGGGTTCTGCATGAACTTCCTGCAGATCGGCTTGATCTCATCGGACAGAGTGGCCGAGAACATCATGACCTGCTTCTGTTGAGGAGTAGCACGGAAAATCTCCTGGACATCGCGACGCATGTCTTTGCTATGTTAGCTTGCAGGAAACATACAACGCTGGTAGACAATCAATCTAAAAACTCACCGATCTGGTCGAGCATTTTGTCGCATTCATCGAGGACAAACATCCGGACGCTTCCAAGGCGCAAATACTTCTCCCGAACAAGGGCGTTCAGACGGCCGGGAGTGCCGACGATAATGTGTGGGTGGGTGTCCTTGTTCTTGAGGATCTCGGCATCCTTCTGGATCGGAGTTCCGCCGTAGAAGACGCCAGTCTTGATCTCTGGCATGTACTTGCTGAAGCGGTTGTACTCGTTGCGGATTTGGAATGCCAGTTCGCGAGTGTGGCACATGACGAGGACAGAGCACTCGCCAGGCACAGGCTCGACTTGCTGCAGGGTGGTCAGAACGAAGACGGCCGTCTTGCCGAGACCAGACTTCGCCTGGCAGATAATGTCGCCGCCGAGCATAGCTTGAGGAATGCATGTCTGCTGAACTGTATGTGGGGGACCGGATTAGAATCGGGTACGCAAAGTTTGGACGGTGGCAGGCAAGGGTGTTGAAAAGAGAGGAGAGGCCCGTCCATCGTCGCAGCAAAGACAGAATCAAAACGTCAGCTCTTTGGTGTCCTATCCTCCCATCCAGCCTAGTTTGCTTCGACACCGGCTGAGACAGAGTGGGCATACTGCTGCTCGACCATGATGGTGAGCAGCATCGCCAAGTATAACCGAAACTGGCTCTTGGAGTCGGTGGCAAAACGAAACAGGGAGCATTGCCCCTTGATTGAAGCCCACGAAGGAGCTCAGTGCATGGGCTTGCAGCAAGCCATTGAGCAATCGTGTCGCTTCTCAGAATGCCGACTCAATCCAAGTATGGCAATGAAAGCCATATGCGAGGGGTTTGCTCGCGCCAGAACTCAGCGGTGTCTGGAAGCATGTGTGCCCCAGCTGGGACCACACAGCCTTTGCAGACAAATCCTTCGGCAGACGGGGATTGATCACCTCGTTGCCGTCTTTCCTTCAGTGCAGGCCCGTGCCGACAACCGCCTTCTCTTTTTCTATGTGCCCGAGAATTTGTGCAAAAGCGTGACTTGTGTGATTTCTTGCTTGCGAGATGGACGGACCCGTAGGAGGGGCAGGAGGAGGATGTAACGATAAGCTGGGGATGGAACTTGTCAAGACTAACCCTCCGACGGATGTTCGAAACCGCAATCGGCAATGGCGCGAAGAAGCTCGGGCTTCAAGAGAAAGTCACGGAAACCCGTCGAGTGGATGCCGACATAGGAGCCCTTCTTATCGACATTCTGTGTGGACGCAGCCGCGTCGGCCTTCTTGCCATTGGCGGAGGGGCCGGTGGACTCGTTGTTGAGCTCGTCATCCGAGTAGTCGATCAGATCCTCTTCGGCCGACATGGTGACTTGATTCGGATTTGGCGACTAGGTGACGCGACAATGACAGGGAGGAAAAACAAAAAAAGAGATGTCGTGACGACAAGAGGAAAATAGACAAGATCGCGACTCTAGGCGAGGGTGCGAAACAGGTTGATGAAGAAAAACACGCGACTGCGCGTAGGATGATGAGAGAAGGTTGACGATGCGCTGACCGCGTGTTGTTGATGGGAAGCGCGAGGCGTGAAGAAAAGGAACCGTTGGAAGCAGGAGGTGAAAGATGCGCTCCCTCTAAAACCTGGCCGCAACCAGTACTAGCCAATCATGGCTTAGCTGCAGGGCCCCTGACAGAAAGGTGGGTCCAAATCTGTGCACAGACCAACTTGCTGGCATTTTTGTTGGCTGGCCGCTGGCTCTTCAAAGGCCACGCCAAATCCCGTCAGCCTGACCGCCCAACATAAGGGCTTTTGAGTAACCGCCGCGTGGCAATGCCGCATCGAAATCTGCCTGGGAGCTTCAGATAATGCAACACTGCTCGCGATGGCCAAAGGAAAAGGCAGTGGTGGCGGTGGTGGGGTTCAGAACAAGGCCATCTATTCACGAATCTCCTTCCTCCAGCAAGCAGCAGTAACTCTGTCTTCGATCCACCTCGAAGTTCTTGATTCAGGGGCTTCCGCTTCTTCAACTGAGTTCTCAAAATCTTCTCAGCATGGAGCAATGTCCGAAGGCCCGACTCTTGCCAAAAGCCCGTTGCAAGGGATGAGCAGGCGACTGGCCACCGACTTGCGTGCCGTGTCCCTCAAGACTAGGATACGTCTTAAACCAGAAGTTAAGAGGACAATCTGCAAGTATTGCGACTCTGTGCTTATTGATGGAGAGACTTGCACAGCCATCATAGAAAACAAGAGCAAAGGAGGAAAGAAACCTTGGGCAGACATTCTCGTACGCAAGTGCAACACATGCGGAGGGGAAAAGAGATATCCAGTCAGCGCGCCGAGAACGAAGAGAAAGACAGAGCGTGGTGTTGGTGCTGTTGATGGTACCTCCACGAGTATCGGGCGGTAGAAGACTTGAGGCTCCTTTAAGGCGGCGAGCCATCCTCTGATGAAGTTGACTTCACATTAAACCACGATGGCGACCCTAGTCTTGAACTTGCTTATCTCATCAAAAATGACCGAGGCTGGTATAGATCGAGGTCGTGGACCGCCATATGCATAAAGTCGACTGGCCTGTATTTCATGATGATCTGATCGTCATACCCCTATCCGATGAGTGGGTTGACAGGTTGTTTAGGGGAAAGCTGGCTATACGGCTGATCTCTAATTGTCAACCTACGACGACGACCGAAATGCATTCGTCTTCTGAGAATTTTCTTAAGGCCCGTCATCACTCTTCCACAACACTGTCAGGATTAAGATGGCGTGATCCATAGTGAAACTTCCAATCCGAACATATTCATTTCGCTATCCGTTGATGGCGTACTCAAGTTTGAAGGTCAAGTGAATATCTGATACTGGGCCAACGTAATTAAGATGCTTCCGTAGACTCTTGAGTCCAAGGTCATGATGCTTAGTTGCCCTGCTGATTTTGAACCGACTCCTCTCCAAGAACCTTGCTTGCAGCCATGAAACTATCAATTGTCAGCCACAATCTTGTTCATTACAGACAAGATGAGCTCTTACAGTCCTGCATGCCAGCTTCCAAGACCTCGCATAGCTTCAGCCTGTACTGCTGTCATACGCATCAAGTTTTCTGTGGTGGCCAAGTTGTGAGAAAGCTGGGTCAGCTGTGAGTGGAGATGGGCCTGTTGTAAAAACGTTGTTGGTTAGCATTTGTTGGGCTGTGGTCTGTGATAGTGTTCGGTGTTCAAATGTTGGAGATGTAAGATGTAGTCCTTTGAGACAGATTACTGCTGTCCCATCCCAAATGTGAGCATCGGTGATGTTCAGGGGGTGCGTGTAAACAGACCAATTGCCTCGCCTTGACAGCGCCGCCGGAAGCGGTCATCGATTGGCGCGAGGCTGCGTTTGCGCCAGAGCCGCGGCTCGACATGAGTCAATGGTTTTCTTGTTGTTCTGGGAAAATGTAAAAACTGATTGATACGAAAGAGGTTGTTCTGGGTGCTTGCGATAGTGTTGCTCGGCTCTTTGCGTGGTATGGGAAGAAGCTGAGGACTAAGGCGCCCACTCACAAGCCCAGCTTGTCACGGCAACAGAGGGGCTGTTGAACAGTTGGCGGGGTTGCCCATGTTTGATGTCTGAGCAAGCAAACTACAAACACCATCCCTCATGCTTCCGCCTGTTCATCATCACACTTAGCAACACAATAGATCATCTTGGTTCCTTCCATTTACACCAAGACGTTAATCCGGTGTAACCCAATGTGAACCCAATTTTCAGGCATCCTTCAAGCTCCCTGCTCAAATTTCCAGGCAACAAGTAGGCCCATCAAACCAACAAGGTGACGAAGCGCTGGCACTCTGGAGATTTATTGGCTGCTGTGGAACGGTGGTACAAGAGATTGTTTTCCCCCCCAATGCATGTGGTCTGAACCCATAGCTTCACAGACTTCTCACTCCTCCAGGACGCCCCAACTTCGCACTTCTCCCTTCACCGACATGCTGCCTTCCCTGGGTATGACACCGGATACCGACATCCATGCAATGCCAGTAGCCTAATCCCGCTGTTGAGAAACCAGCCTTAATCTCAGATGCAGCTGATACGAGGGAACAGCCTGGAGGTTCAAGAGAATGGTTAGTTACAGGGGGATTGTCTGGTAGTGTGCTTCAAGGGGTCCAAGTCAATTTATGGTGAGATAGAATGTACAATAACACCCTAACGGCAGAGAGCAAACAAGCTAAATGATAAAGCTTTTTATGTACATCTGTCTATCCATAATCGTGTTCAATGGACCGCTTCAGACCTAAACCGGAGCGGTGAACCCATGAGACTCCGGGACCCTTCCTCCACTGCAAAAAGGAATTATGCACGGGTCATGTCATCACCAGCGGCTGCCAGACGGCTCACGATCAGTTTTGCTTCTCCTGCCTCTATCGCTCTTAAGGTCCGGGATGTGATGGGGCACCACCTCAGATACCAGCCCAAACCAAATGCTTCAGAGACCGACGACCAAAAGTATGGCAGGGCCATTCGGCACTGGAAACATCAACACCACCGAGACCGCTTTTCGTGATGAGCCGCTATCGTCTGACGGGTCACTCAACGATTTTGCACAAGCTGGACTCCTGACAGGATCTCGGGCAAAAAAAGCTTGCCATGAGGATTATGAGTTATAAGGACGCGCTGAGAGACGTAAGAGCAACAGGAGAAGGAGCGACCTTTTATGGGGGGACAGAGCAATGACCAAGTGACGTCAAGTTGTGTCGAAGCGTGCCTGGTTTCTCCAGCTGCTAAGAGTGTTCAGGCCCCTTAAGTGTCTGTTCTGCAACCATATTCCACATTGCCCCAGTCGCGATCCCACAGTGGGCGTGGCAATAGTACCCTGGGTTGAATGAGGGGACTCCAAACACTTTAACACAATCAGGGAGATTATGACTACGTACACACAAATCAAACTTCTACCTTTGTGCCAAACAAGCCTCATCGCATAGTGGGGTATTGAAAGGAAAAGCAAACAGGTTGTGTGATACCGACCAGAGTACGAGAGAGAGGAAATGGAGATCCCATAGTGTTAATGTAGAAACAAAAAAAAGGCTATGTACCCCACGTGAGAGGCCTCGAGTCTTTCATTCCTGGAAGAAGTAGAACCTCTCGAGCCTTGAATAGAGACTAGAATTATGTCTTGTGTTCCGCCGGAACCTATCCCTCCTTCACCTAGGTTGACAACCGAGTACACCAAAGAGAAAAATAACCCGTTCCTTCCTCTGTTTTCTGTTGTTTGCATTCGCTTTCTAGAGAAGAACACAAACTGGAGAAAAAAAAAGCAATAGAGCCGACCCTGATGCATCCTGCCCATATGAAAATGTAGACTCGACATCGGCTTGCATGCTTCTCATGCTTGTTTGTATTTCGTCCGCCGACTTCCTTCCAATCCAGACAATTATCAAGGGAAATTTAATGTAGGGAAGGAAAAAGGAGATAATGCTATGTAGCTTCCTTCTTTCTCTAAACCAAACAATACACGCCACGAAAAAAGCAACCCGTGATGCACAGTGGAATTTTGGGGGGGTGGGGAGGGCTGTATGGTTGCGTTATAAAAATTTGAGGAAAGGAAAGGAGAAGTTGGGTTGTGATCTCTGACCTCTTGATCAATATTAATCCCTCTCTTCTCATTTGCCACACTGAAATCTGATCCCCGAATAATTTTTTGACCGAAGACACCATTGCACTCCTCAAAGCCGTTGCGAGGAGTATCGCGGGATTCTCCTCGATCCCACCAACGCCTAAGTCTCGCTGATTTATGCTCAATCCAAACGCTCGCTCATTCCAAATTGAAATCGAGAGATGGGGTATCTATCTACTCTGCTCGAGGACTCCATTGGACTGTAGGGTATTCCAATAGTACCCCTCAGTTATAGACTAAGTATTTCTGGCTAGTATGCGCGGACGACGAGTCGCGCTGGTTCGGCGAAGAATCACCACTGCCCGCGCTGGTACTCGTACTACTTGTTAGACTCCTAGTGCTCTTATTTTGCTTTTGAATAGGTGGGAAACGGGAGAAGTTACTCACCCCTGCATATTGCTCAACCTGCTGCGGCGCCACCATATTGCCTTGTCCCGGCGGGTACCGAGGCATTGGCTGTCTGACGCTGTCCGGAGGTGATGGCCGGCCATTCATGGGTTGCGGAGGACCAACCTGTCCGGGAGGGGATGGGCGTCCACCAATCGGCCCACCGGTAATCGGTGGACTATAAGGGTTTCCGGGGGATTGACTCGACCGACGAGGGCCATTACCGTTCAAACCGTATTGCATGTCATCGAGCCGCGCAGCAGTAAGGGAATTTGCCCTAGAACCCACTGCCTGATGAATAGCCCCTCTATCTACATTGCCGTACCGGTTAGAAGTGAAGCCGAGAAGAGGGTCGTCCATGATGTCTTGATGCAGGCCGGGAATAGTATTCATGATCTGCTGACTCGCTCCACTAGAACGATGCCGCCCGAAACTCGGTCTGAATCTGCTGCGGGACTTGTTGATTTCCTCCTCGGGGTTTTTGCGGAACTGCGCAGGACTACTCGGCACTCTCCGGTTCTTCCTCGAGGTCACACTCATCATGTCGAAGTTGTCGGGGTCGATCATCGGCGCTGGCGGGAGGTCGTTTGGGTCGACATAATCGTCTTCATCATCGTCATCGTACATATTGCCACGAGGAGGGGGCCGTCTCGGGCCAGGACCCATGCCAGCCGCAGCTCGCCGTAACCTCATCTCCTGCTCCCTCAAAGCAAGCTCTCGTTGACGCAGCTGCAATTCCCTTTCCCTAATGGCCAGCTCTTGTGGTGTAAGCTGTTGTTGCGGGTAGCCGCCGGCTTCACCGCTTTCGGGGATATCATCGTAGAGTACAAGGTCCCGAAACTCCTCCAAATCGCCCCCATCCATCGAACCTCTCCGTGAAGGGTTGCGTGAACCCATACCGGTAGGGGGTCGGCTGTAGCCGTTCGGGCCACCATTCATGCTAGGAGGGGGGCGACGCATTCCTGGGCCTGGTGGTCCCATTGGGCCTCTCGGCCGCGGCCTGCCTGGTGGCATGCCGTTGCCATTTGGCATGCTGTTGGGCATAGACATGCCCTGTGCCGACATTCGTGGAACAGGAGTAGGAGCACCAGAAGGCGATCCTGGTTGGCCAGACGGAGGCTCTGTGACATCGGCTTTGGGTCGACTCCTGTTCACCAGGTTAAGGTTGTGCAGGATGGCATAAAGAGTTTCGATCCGTGGCACAGTCACGCCCACATCTTTGGCCAGTTTGATAGGAGAACCAAGATATGTCTCGACTTCCATGGGACGACGGGCGTTATAGTCCTGCCACATGATATTCTCAGTGTTCAACCGTGCGAACTCGTCAATTGTATTCTTCTTGAACTCGGCTGGGAACTTGCAGCCATAAGCTGTTGCCAGCGCAAGCAATTCATCGATGACGTCGGAAACTAGCTTGGACACTCCTACTTTGTCAAGCAGCGCAGCGTAGTTTGGGGTCTCGAAGAGCACAGTTAGGGGGTTGAAGGCAATTGGGCTAACAACTGGGTTAGTTCCATGGCTCTTCTTTACCAGGCTCAAAACGCAAAACACAGCCAAGAGATTTGACCTACCCAATGACTCGCTCAAATTGTTGCTGCCGGATGTTGGGCGAAACCTTGCAATCAACTTGACCAGTGCTAAGAGTCATAGCCAGCGCTTGTGCCATGTCCTCTTGAATCGAAGCTGGAATGTTGGCATTCTTGTTGGCGGCACCAACCCATAGCTCAGTCGACCGCTTGTGCTCGAATTCGCTGGCGCCAAGTTGGGCGATTTCGGCCCCGCAGACGAGAGACAGGACGACATTGGTCGGGAACCGCTCCTCTATAGCAGACTCCAACCCGAGGGCCTGCGTGGTGTTGACGATGATGCAAGTGTGCTGGGGTGTAACGACACTATCTATCACCGACGCCAGGTCGTAGATATCGGGAAGTGCTTTTATGCAGAGAATAACATAGTCGTAGGCACTGTCCTTGCGCGCGGCAGCCTCCTCTGGTGTCCGAACCACTGTATTCTTTCCCGTCAGCACCTGCTAATCCGATTTTCATTTCCAAGTGTTCTTAGGATAACAGTAAGTCGGCAGCGGGACTGGATGTGGGACGAACCATGCCGGGGCTTAAAGCGCTCGTTGCCATAGACGGGCGACCTGTACGCACAGTCCGTTAGCACGGCCGACTTCCCGCTGTTGACCTTAAAATCAAGTTTAGAATCTTTATTGAGGGCGACTAGGAGACGTACTTGAAGGAGATTCCATATTGCGCCACGTGCTCGTAACCTGCCTTCCACACGAGGGTGACATCGCAGGCATTCGTCGCTTGTAGGCGCCATGATAAGAAGGCCGAAACTGGGTTTCCACCCACTGTGACCACGTTCATTAGCTCATAGTCCGACATCTCTGGCAGTGCTACGCGAAGCCCAGCGCAGCAATTCCTCCGGTGTTTTCCTCAGCAAAAAATAAAGCCGACAAAGGAAGGTATGATAAAGGGGTGGAAAAAAAAGAGTGTGATGGCGGTGGTGGTGGTAGTGGTGCGATCTGCGCCTGAGAAGTTGTCCAGACGAGGGGCCCAAAGTTTGAGCGCGCCAAAACCGCAGCGATGCCCACTGGGTTTGGGGGGCCTCTGAAACCCAGAATCGAGAGTCGCACTAAGCTGTGGGCGGCAGAGGGACCCAGGCAGCGGGATTGTAGGGGCTATTAGGGCACAGGTGACAAGAAACGAGTGAGGAACGCAGAGAGGGGTAATGAGCTAGTGCGATCTGAAGTGATGCAGCAAACTTCAGCTGATCGTCGGTAGCGGCTTACCTGAAAGGAACTTGAGTCGGGGCGCCATGGGTGCCGCGGGCAGGGCCCGTACCGGGATAGCGGGTCGGCGTTTCGAGACTGCAGGAGAATCGGCAGCAATTCTTCTGACAGGAAGAAGCGCTCGACCGAGATTGGTTGTCCGTTTGACCTGTGGATGTTTTGTCTTAAGGTGCCGGCGTTGCCGGGGCTTGTGGCTGTTCAGCGGACACTCAGCTTCTTCAGGAGTCCACCTGGATTGCAAAAATCAACTTTTCTTCTTTTCCGATCCTCCTTTTTCGGCCTGCGCTGTGTGTAGGTGTACTCCACCCCCACAGGCCACGAATAGCGGATATCAGATTGTGGGAGCAGCCTCTTGCTGCTGGGCGGTGACGTTGACCGGCTCCTCCTCTCCTCCAGCGAATGTGCCCCCCAAGTCGGGCTGTTACGAGGCTTGCAGATCGGCGAAGTTGTTCACAGAATGATTGACAGATAACGATAGCTGCACACAGACCCCATTCAGGGACTGGTCACCCTGGTCAGCGAATGGTCGAGAGTGCTTTGCCCAGACTGTTTCACACACTTTGACTGGCACCGAGAGGGGTTGGTTTGAGGGCTAGCACACGTCTTGCAGGAGACTGCGCAGTGCTGCGGCAACTCTCTATGGGTCAGCACCGATGCAAATAAGTACAGATATCGTCCAGCGGTCCAGTAGCGTGCACAAGCAAGGCCTGATGAGCGCGGCGCTGCGAGAGAAAGAGTATGTAACCGTCCCAAAAACCTGGGGTTCCTAGGGCCCAAGGGTTTGTTCCAAGAGTGGCTGGCAGACCGTTCGCTGTAATCTGTATCGTGTCACGAGCGGACAGGTTATCGTCGAGAGGCCACGCAGGATGCAAGAGAATCTCTTGTCCTTCGTCTGCCGCGTGGTGCTGTTTCACAGTTGCCCACGGGGAAGCACAGTTGTGCGGACGTCCAGGCCAGCAAGAAGGAATCAGGTAAGGATCAGGTTGGGCAGGCTATATGTCGGTTGTGAGCGCGAACTGCCGAGGACTTCAAAATAAATAAAAAAAAAAAGAACGACAAACAATGATGATGCTTGACAATAACGAACGGCGGGAGTCTCAGTTGGATACTGCTTTTGCAAGGCAGGGCAGGTAAATTGCTGACACTCGATACGCAGTGATCGATGGACAGGGTGCTGCCAAGCGTGGTCGTTAGTGATTGCAAATCGATGCAAGTCGGCGCCGTGGTGCCGTAGGCCAAAAGAGGGAGCCGATGGTTATCTGAGGTCGCGGGGATCCAAAATATGACCTGTGGATCCTACGTGAAAGAAATCAACAACAAAATAAAGACTAGGGAGGATGTGAGAAAGTCGCAAACGACTAAAAACAAGGCGTGCTGGCGTGCTGCCTGTTGATGCAGAGAGATGTTATCCCAGGCTAATAAAAGGCCAGGAACAGATTGGATTACTCTTCCAGGTTTACAGGACTGCTGGTGGTGGCTACTGCTGGTTGAAGGGCCGATGCTTGCTCCAGCCAATGGACAGCAGGCACAGATTGAAAAGAAAATGGGCGAGGCGTGGTCACGAACTGCTGTTCTCTCCCGGACAACAGCAGCTTTGGGCTTCCATCAGATGGAACAGGAAAGAATAGATGGCCCTCCACCGCGTCTGGGCCAAGAATCTCCAGTTCGGTTCAGATCAAGAGGGAGGGGGGGGGGGTGTGGAAAGACGGACGACGCAAGGGTGGTATTTGGTGCTGTTCTTGCCTACCTAGTAGTTAAATCGCTGCAAACCCTATGCCAATCTCACTGCACTTTGCATTTTACGATAAACGTTACACCAACAGGAATATGTCTGGATTCCATCGACCTTCCTGCATATCAAGGGATGAATGGATGCGATGGTAAGGTTGTGTGGATTGACACGGAGCCAGACTCGAACACCAGGAACCCAACGTTGAGAATGGCCCGCGTAGAAAATGCGCCAAAAAACTTGCTGCCCGCGCCGAAGGAGGACCCACTTCAGTGGACGCTAGATCGACGGCTAGTCAGGCCTGGACAGTTATGTGGTGGATCGGAATGCGATGAGCAGTGATCAGGGGCCCTGGCCTGTGCCTGATCTGTGGTGACGCAGTTACCGAGTGGCTTGGACAGTTGAGGAATCCACACTTCGTTCGGTGCATCGGTTCATCGGGTGACATGGGGCTGCAGTCGAACAACGTCATCCTCAAGAACAGTGCTTATCTTCAAATCTCGAGACTTATTATTTTGCATGGAAGCTTGCGCAAGTCCGGTTTTATATGGGGATAATGTGGATTTATGATGTATGATAGTCCATAAAAACAATACGAGTTCAAAGAAGTATTTTAAAACCCGGAGCCAAAATCCGAACATTAAGACAAACGATTAAGTACTGGGTGGGGAACCAATGCTACGACATTTACTGATAAAGTTGGACAAAACATTGTCTCGACTTCATACACTCGCATTAAAGAGGGAGCCCATGCTTCAACTAAAAAGAGGCATTGGTCTTTTGTGCGTAGCATCGTGGTTGTCCTTGCTTGAAAGGTTCAGAATCCCCAATGTCGAAACACAACCGAAAAAAAATTCCATAGGCACACCATTAACTTTCCAGGAACTCTCAAATTGCGTTATGTGTTTGGTCAGCACATGTACAGAATGTTTATTTTTTTTAAAGACGAAGTACAAAGTGACGCATTGAGATCCTCTCAATGTTCTTACAAGTCATTCATTCTCCAGAATGTTGACAATCCAGATTGAGATAAAAACACTGTTTAGCTTCTCAGAGAACTGCATAACTTGTAAGTCAACCCAGAGCTATACTGGACATATGGATCATAAACTAGCAGTTCCGACAGTAAGTGAAGGAAGTACCTGAGCTGTAGTGAGCGAACATTTTGCTCCCAAGCGAACCAGAAGTTAGAATTGCAGCTAAAGCAATTAACTCTTTAGCCGAAACATTTACAAGATACATGAGCTGAGGTTTCAAAGCACCAGTTAGCACCATTAGATCACATATCCAAGGACAGAACGTCTTAACTGATTTTCCAAGCTCCTATGCTCTTTCTTTTCGAGGGAAGGCCTTGCTCGTCAGCGTGGACTGCCCGGAAGTTGGAAAAAATTGCTGCCCCTGTCGAGCTGGACAAACCCCGAAAGCTGCATCTGCTGGATTGTCTTGGCAGCAACGGCGGCACCGACTTGCAGCCCCGGGTCTGTAGGCCAGGGACGTGTCTTCGAATGACGCGCCCTTGTGGGGAAGACACGTCTGATGCCCCACCGCATTCTCTCAGCTTAGACTCGTGAGGATCCAAGAAATCAGAAGAGACGAACCCCGTCCCATGCTCAGCGGTCCATGATGACCGAAGTCGATCATGAGATGTTGGCTCACTTGTTGATCCTGTGAATCTGAAGAGTTAGGAAGGATTTCAGCACTCAAGGAAGTCATGTTTAATAATGGGACCTCGGGTACCCAAATTTTTATCCAGCAAGTGCGGTTGCCAAGCTTACAGATCAAGATTCCGTTGCTGTTTGCGCACACATTTGCTGTTGCTTCGTGGGATCTGTTCTTTTGCAATGTTGGGGTGTACAAGTGATTGTTTACTTACTGTACTTCGCATTGATGACTGGATCCTATAATGATGTCCGTTTACTTACTTGCCGTCTGGTGTATGATTGGGTCCCGCCCCCTGATGCCTAGGATTCCGGATCTTCACTGAGACGATGTATACCCAGGCTAATAAGTATCAGACGAGATGATTTGGCACATAGATGACCGTACTTGTGGGTCTAGCTGGAGTTTCAAGACAATATCCTATCATATATCTCAATACTTGGAACTCTTCTTTCCAAGATTGGACATCAGTTAATGGTATAATTGTGCGACTTTCCCATCAAGCAGAAGAAATCTGTGAAAGCTTCTTAGGAAACCAGGTATGTCCTCATCCTGGATGAGCTAGGTTTCATACAAACACAATGCATAAACTAGATGAGCTTTGGGTTATTCTCTCTATTCCTGATTCAAATATTTAGCAGCAGTTCTCATGCCCAGAGAGCTATTTAACACCGCTCTTGAAATGGACAAGAAGAGCGCAAAATACCTAAGTAGTCAGCGCGAAAAGAGGACGAAAGGCCTGCAAAACCTCGGGCGAGTAGCAGTAGTAGGGAAATTCCTCACTTACCTGGCATCCAGTTGATGCAGAATACCACATTCCCGTATTCCAGTGTTTCACAAAGCCATGTGAACGGCTTCTCAAAAAAAATTCCAAAAAATGCACACTAGAAGGGGGGTTGAGGTCGTGCCATTGCGTACCAAACTAGCCAGTAGTAATTGGTTTCAACGGCTCCAACCGAGCGTTGCACCCGCCCGTGTTGCTTGTGGCGCTTCTCTTTCCGGGATAATACAATGTTGACAATATGTTTTTTTTTTCGTCTTGTTTAAAGATAGGACTCCCTATGTATGCTCGGCTAATTTGCTCAACAGCCGTCAAGGTTACATAGGCAGAAATCTTACTGAGAGCCAACGGTTAGCTCATATTGGAAACGCCTTCTATTTTCTGTTCGGTTGCCTGGCCTTCAAATCTACCTCGTATCCGATCCGCCATTTGCTGAATCCTTCCCGTTGCTGTTGGTAGGCAGCGGGCACGGCAAGGCTTTATCGGGTGCATTATCGCGGCCAATGTGAGGCTGAACAACAGAGGATTGATCGACAAGCGGATGGTGTTGTTGAGACAAGGCTTGAGTTTCCGGGGTGGGTTGCACAAGCACAAAACCGAGATAGGAGAGGAGATACTTGTCAAGTTACTTCCACGCAAACTCGCATAGCCAAATAGCGGGATAGAGTTCGTGGCCATGAGCCAAAACCCAAGCATGTGGCTCTTCGATAGAACTAGGATTATTTTTTTTTTTTTTCAGTGGCTTAGCGCCCCGAAATACATTACCGATGTCCCAACTCTTTAGCGATAGCAGCTGACTTTGAATTGGCTTCTTCAACCAAGACGCATATTTCCACGCTTCGTTTTAGCTTTGGTTGGGGAAGATCACAATGCTCCGAGCCATTCTGTCCAACAAAGATTCTTGTCTTCCAATATCTGTGTAAGACCTGGGTAGATTCAAGCTGCTGTGGGCAAAAAAGGGGAATAATCACGAAATGTCAGTATCAAAAGGACACTTGAACTCTGACACGCCGGGCTCTGAGAAGCACAAAACTGTGTTAACTAGGTGGAATGCCTGAATATTGTGGGGTATCGTCAAATTTGATTGATACAGACATGGTTTACAGAAATATGTTTACGGGATTGGTCTGTTGGTAGCAAATCCTTGGCGTTGGCCATCAATCAATGTTGAATCTGGCTGGCAGTATGATGTCCGAGGACACTCATTCTCAATCTTGAGCAAGATTTGCGCATGCTGGTGTCGTCCAATCCATTGTGCCAGACGACAAATGTTGTGAGGAATGAACCAATTAAAGTGGAAGTTTGATGGGGGTCACGGGGGCAAATTCGACAAATGCATAACTGGTCGATCAGCCTTTTCATAGCCATCGGTTCCACGATATGCTGCAGATGCAGCAGGTCAACCCTCCTCATCTGGGACCTCCTCCATGGTGACATTGCGCGAAGGGGGAAGCGCGTTGGTCTGGGTCTGGAATGATTGCTGGGCCGTTGGCATATAGCCTGCTTTTTCAAGCTCGTCCGCCTCTTCTGGCTCCAACAGACGACCTTGGCCTTTAGTCTTCTCAAGTTTCATCCGGACGGCGGTTGGCATGAAGGCACTCACGGCCTCCTTCCGTAGGTCCCTAATGACAGGCTTGGCTTCATAAACGGTCTTGGACTCGACAACAGGCGCCGCTGGCTTTTCTTGTTGCTGTTGTTGCTCGGAATCGCGCTCCTGGTTCGCCATCCTCTTTGCCCTACGCTTTGCATACCACTCATCCAAGATTTCCTTGGGAATGGGCGGTGGCGTGTCGCGCGGCATCGGGATGTTCCTGACGTCTTCGGGGATGTCGCTGTCGCTGCTGGACTCGTCGTCCTCAACATCTCGTCGCCTCTTACCAAGCACGCCGTCACTGCGAGTCCCCTGACGGGGTGGTTGAAACTGCGGCGCCTTGTCGCCGAGGGCTTCTCTTGCTTTCAGAACCGCCTTCAAGTCTTTTTCGAGAGCTTCCAGCGCTTGCTCTTCATGAGCGCTAAGCTTACCCCCGCGTTCTTTGATGGCCTTCAGTTCATCGATTTGTTGCTGGATCCTGTAGGGATTGCGCTTGGCAAGCTTTTCATTTCGTCGCGCTTGTTGTTCAGCCTTGCCTGCGCGGTAGCCAGTGTCAGTGGGCGTCTCTTTCAACTGCGCAGCTGAATGCCAATGGAAGGCACATACTCTTTTTGATGGCCTTTAGCTTTTCAGCCTTGCGATGAGCCTGTACTGGATTGTAATTGCGCTCTTTTGGCATTGCGACTGATGGTTGAGAGGACGTCGAGGGCAGCAAGACGAAGTGATGTCAACGTGTAATCCTTCCACGGCGCGCGCTTCACCAGAAGGGTTGGAAGTGGAATCCCGTCCCGTTGGAGACGTGGGGACGCAGCTAACTCCAGGTCTTAGAGTGGAGCATTTTTTCCTCCATCTGCCGGGGTTTTGCCGGCGGTAGCCACGCGGTCTGGATCCTCCTCAGCCCTGCCAAGCCAAGAAGCGCGAGAACAGGCCAGGCGAATTCCGTGGTCTGTGAGCGCTGAGCAGGAGGTACCCTTGGTCTTACATGAAAGCTGCAACACCAACACGCTCCTTCATGCAATTGGGCGGTCCTTTGGAAGATGAGCTGACGGGGTCATGTCAGATTGCACTTCCAAAGCTGCAATTCAGGAAATTCATCGTAGGCATGGAAATAATCGCCGTGAAAGTGTTGAGGGAAGGAGCTCGCTCGCACTGTTTGTTTACATTTCTCCGTGCTCTGTATACCTAAGGGCAGCAAGGCATGTGATGCCAAGCAGGTTCCAGCTCCTTTGTTTCAGCGCGCGTCGGCCCTGGACGGCAGCCACGGCAGCCACGACCGCGGCGTAATGCCATTGGATTGCTGTCCCAACCTTCCTGTTGACGCCGGCTACCCCGCCCCCACTGCCACCCAATCAATCGGTAACTCGAAAGCTGTTTGGTTGCTCTGGCACGCGGAGCGTTGGGCGGCGTAATTTCAGCTTTCTCTTCAGTACGGTTTACCAACTGATTGCGCGACTCTCCGACTGCAACACGAAAAGAAGTACCACTTACGAACTCTGTCATACAAACAGCATCAACATTTGCCCTACTACCAGTCGCCCGGTGCCGCGTCGCATCTCTCGGCCCAGCCTCCCTTTTCCTTCTTCCAGGTTCTCGCTTTGAAGTAACTCGACCGCCTGCTACCGACTTAGGTGGCCATCCGCAATCCACTCTGCTGCTAGCGCACGCCAGCACGCAGAGGCGGGGAGCCAGACGAGACGTGCATGAGCATCGCGAACCGCTGCCACTCCTACTGACCTAAACCCCACCACAACTGTGACTCGTCGGACATCATGGCGAGCTTCATGGCCAATCTCTTCCCTGGAGGGCGGGACAAGGCCGATGCACGCCCTTCCACTCCCGTTCGCAGTACCGCCAACTACAGCTTCACCACCCCTGCTAGCACTCCACAGGGCAGTCCAAGCAAGAAGACCGTTCCTCCGGGCGCCAGAGAACTTCCCAGCGCCTTCCAGAGTCTCAAGCTTAACCAGCAAAGCGCCTTCGACAGCCCCGTCAAGCTTGGTCGCCCACAAAGTGTCATTGCCCCGCTGTCTCCTGGTAAAAGCAATATCCAGGCTTTCGAGGAAGGCCATGCAGTTGACGACAGCGTCCTCCGAAAGGGCGCAACACATAACCGCGCCCGTAGCCCACAGAGGAATCACGGCCAGGAGAACACTCCCCCCGTCCTCCCTCGTGACCCGTTCACCGAGCCGACATACCAGCCTAGCCATGCTGCCGTGTCGCGTCAGGAGTTCTACCAGCATAGGGAACGGCCGTCCACGAGGCGCTTCAATACCCAACGGGGACTGACCCCCGAGGAGCGCGAGCTCCTCAACAAGCCAAACGTCAAGCGGTTGGTTAACGTTACTCAGCTCTGTGAGTCAGCCCCAGATCCGTAACTATGTGGGCGGCCCTAACCAGCTGTACAGACTTCCTCGACTACTATTTTGACCTTCTCACATACGTCAGCGCAAGACAGAAGCGACTTGCCGCCTTCAAACAAGAGTTTCCCCCGCCGCCTGCGACCGATGAGGAGACATACAAACAGATGTGGACGAAGTATACCGGCAGAGAGCGGGCTAATCTTCGCAAGCGGCGCGTGAGATTGAAGCATGCCGACTTCCAGATCTTGACGCAGGTGGGTCAGGGCGGCTACGGCCAAGTGTTCCTGGCACAGAAGAAGGACACCAAGGAGGTGTGCGCTCTAAAGGTCATGAACAAGAAGCTCCTGTTCAAGCTGGATGAGGTCCGGCATGTGCTGACCGAACGTGACATTCTCACAACGGCCAAGAGCGAGTGGTTGGTCCGTTTGTTGTACTCGTTCCAGGATGAGACGAACATCTATCTGGCCATGGAGTACGTCCCTGGCGGTGACTTTCGCACCCTTCTCAACAACACAGGCGTGCTGTCCAACCGTCATGCCCGCTTCTATATTGCCGAGATGTTTTGCGCTGTCGATGCCTTGCATCAGCTCGGTTACATCCACCGCGACCTTAAACCCGAGAACTTCCTCGTCGACTCGACGGGTCATGTCAAACTCACAGACTTTGGCTTGGCAGCTGGTTTTTTGGCCCCTTCGAGACTCGAGTCAATGAGGCTCCGTCTGGAGCAAGCATCGCAGGCTCCTGTCCCGTTTGGGAAGCCCATAGGAGAGCGCACGGTGGCTGAGAGAAGGGAGGGATATCGCAACATGCGTGAGAGAGAAATCAACTATGCAAAATCAATTGTCGGCTCACCAGACTACATGGCACCTGAAGTACTGAGAGGAGAGGAGTACGATTTTACAGTCGACTATTGGAGCTTGGGCTGCATGCTTTTCGAGGCTCTGACGGGATTCCCTCCGTTTGCCGGCGCGACCGCTGATGAGACCTGGCGCAACTTGAATCACTGGAAGGAGGTGTTGAAGCGGCCGGTCTGGGAGGACCCCAACTACTTCCTGAGCAACCGGACATGGAACTTTATCACGACGTAAGTGCCCTATGTAATCTGTCAGCGTGACTTTTATCGGCTAACGACATACAGCTGCATCAACTCCCGGTCGCGGCGGTTCAACAACATCAACGATATATACAACCATCAGTACTTCGCCGAGGTGAATTGGAAGCACCTTCGCGAGACGAAGCCGCCGTTCGTCCCAGAACTGGACTCGGAAACGGATGCGGGCTATTTCGACGATTTCAGCAATGAAGCTGATATGGCCAAGTATAAGGAGGTACATGAGAAGCAACAGGCACTCGAGAAGATGGCCGATCGTACCGAAGAGATGAGCAAGAGCCTGTTTGTTGGCTTCACCTTCCGCCATCGCAAGCCGGCCACTGATGAGCCCACTCCGCGCAAGCCGATTCCATTTGATGACGATGATGAAGACTTTGGTACAATGCTGTAGGGCCAGCAAAGACTGCGGCAACTCGAGTCATCTAGGTCACCCAGGTCCCCTTATTCGCAATCGGGGAAACTTCGAAGCTCCCGGTGGTTTGGGGGCTATGCTGAGGCTCCTAATCACAGCTCCAACAATTGTGACACTTACTGAGATATGTGGGGATAGGTAGCTGCGAAGACTCGCAGGTCGTGTTGGCGTACTTGTTTTTTGTCTCATTTTTTTTTTCGTTTCCCGGTTCGTGGGTCATGATTGCTGGTGATGGTTTTTTTTTGTGTTGGGAGTTATGCTATGAAAGGGTCAGGAATGAAAAGCTTTTGCGAGACGGCAATGGAAGGTGATGGCATGGCTGGCTAGGAGTTTACTGAGCGGTGCTGCGTTGTTAACTCAACGGGACTTCAACTACGTAACTACAGTGTAGAACATTGTATCAGACTACTGGCATTGCTTTACCTGAGATACCAGGGTTACCTAGTACTGTAGGCAAAAACGCGTCGCTTGAGACGTCTTGCAACTCTTGCTTGGTTTCTTTTGTAGGTCAAGCGGTGTCTGCTCCCCAAATTGGTGACATGCGTATTCGAGGAGTCTTGTCGTGTGTCACGTCGTCATCACCAAGCGTGGAGAACGCCAAATATCGTGAACCGGAAAAAAAAAGCCGGAAGCTTCCCAGGCAGATTGGGCCCCTCCGATGCAGAGGGATGCATGGATTGCTCGTGTGAGTTGACGTCACAACTCTTCATCTAGAGGTCTCTCGATCTTGGCTTCAGTAATTTGTGGACCTTTCCCCGCAAAATCCACATCAGCCTTGTATGGGCTTTCTGTACTTGTATTGTTGTCCCCTGAATCTCTCGATAAACAAGACTCAAGGGTAATACTTTCTAGAGGGTGATGTGCTGTAGGATGACGCATCCTTTGGCCATACAACTATGACTATGGTGACACAGCCTGGGGTAAACGCCGGCAAGTGTCTGCTTGGAAGAAGTCTGTTGGGGGAAAAAAGCCAGGAGCCAAGCGATACTATTTTCCCTCAACGAGGCCTTGCTCCCTAACTGTCGTCGGTGATTGGGGTGAACAACGGTTGAGAAGACGACAACGGCTAACTAACAATGTATGCTTGATGCTTTTGTCAATAATTGAATGGAATTCAAGTCAATATTCCGGCATTCCGATTCCTGGGGGAGCTGGGCTTGTTGTTGTGGTTGGCTCGTCGGACATCCCCTCGTTTCACATCCGAGCAATGACTGGCGGCGACACAGGACCAGTTGGTGCTGCCAAAGTCAGTGAAATGAGAATCTCCAATCATTGATCTTGAGATATCTCCATGTCTCCATCGTTAAGCTCTTACTCATGGGTCCGCTTTCAATCTCTACCCTGTGAGCTTGGGTGATAACTTTGGTTTGGCGAAGTTGGACAACTAATAACACAAGCAAACTCCATTAGCAATTACTCCGCTTTTACTACAATGACAGCTGAGAACAGGCTACGTCAGTCCAGGACAGCGCCGCCTCAGGTCTGCCGCCTCGGTCCCGAGGGGCTGGGCACTCGCGGACTGAGCCGCTCAAGGCCCGCCATCACTGGTGCATCTTGATGTTCTATCTCAACAAGCTCGGTCATTTCGGCGCATATTACACGCAGAGTGACGCGGCTTCTTGCTCTCTCCTTCTTTCTGAAGATGGCGCTGCTGCGGCATCCATAACATAACGAACATCGAACATGCAGCCTGCTGACTGACTGATCAGGTCTCGTTGTAGTGTCACTGCGTTGCTGCTTGCGCTTCCCTGCCGCGTCGATGGTAGCACCTACCGTAGTGTCTGTGCCCCTGTGCTCTCACGTTCGCTGGTGTCTTTGCGGGCAGTGCCCGATGATGGAGTGAGATCTGAGAGCCCGCGATGCAGGGACGCGCGGCATCAGCGCGATGCAGCCTTCCATTTGTGCTCCTCCCCTGGTTTACCGGGCAGCTCCTGGCATGGCAGAAGCCTGCTGACCGAGTGTCCGGATCCCCGAATCGCTGACGTCGTTGTTCCGGAGATGCATCAGGCGTCATTGGGGGATATCTGAAGTTGTGTTTTCTATTTCGGTTAGGATGAGATTCGGGCACTGGGAGCTAAGGCCCTGCCGCTTGGGTATAAGTCTTCGCATTGGTCCAGTTATAGAGTGCTCAGAGGGCATCATTCTTTATAAATGACAGTGTGTATCTAAGATATTTCTGCCATCAATAACATCAGACTTTGTTCTTTGCTATCCAAGATACACGAACATTAAACGCAATCATGAGGACAATCGCCATTCTCGCGACTGCCAGCATTGCCTCTGCCGTCCAAGTGTGGTGGGGAGGAGCCCCTGAATGCGCCGTTCGTCTCATCCTCTACCTTTTCATCTCTTTTACAACCACTAACTCGAGCATAGGATGACTGTTTTTCATCCTTCTGGTCTTCGGCTAGCACCTGGCCCGCACCATTTGAGTACTGCTCTGCAACTCAAGGTCCTGATGTCCTGAATTGCCTCAAGTCCAAGTGCTCGGCCACTCCAACAGCCATCACATCCTACAGCTCTCTCTCCTCTGCCTTATGCGCAAACTGGGCCTCCTGCAGCGCGGCCGGTTCGACGGGCGTCTATACGGTTTCTCTCCCGGGTATGAAGTCATGTTGCATCATTGTGTCTTTCCTTACCTGAGCCCACACTAACTGCCACTTTTCTAGGCTTTACTGGCGCCTGGGGCCCAGGTCATTCCGGCCCTTATCCCGGCGGCCGTTGGGGTGCTTGGGGTTACCCCCATCCCATGCCAACATCCGCCCCCGATGCCAGTAACCCGGCCTATGATTGGGCTGACGGCCGCTGGCACGACTGGACACGCACCTGGTCTGGTGGCGTCTACACAGTCACCGGCTGTGAGTGGGACGGCAACCCGTGGGCTGGCGGTCCAGGTGGCTGGGGACCAGGCGGCGCTGGTGGCTCGCCGTGGGGTCCTTGGGGCAAGGGCTGGAAGTGGACGACAACGACGGAGATCATCACGCGCGTGGTGACCAAGACGGACGATGGCACGACCTCGCTTGTGACCTCTGTTGGCCCGGCAACCGTTGCTCTCGCTGTTAGTGGAGACATTACCAGCACGAGCGTGCTTAATGCGCAAGAGACTGACTCCTCGGGTTCTTCGGGTGGCTCTGGTAGCTCGTCGTCCGATTCGGGGGCCGCCGCTGGTAGGGGGGAGCCGGCTGCTGGCGTTATGCTTATGGGGACCCTGTTGGCGGGCGTTGTGGTTGTTGCTGGATTCCTTTGAGGGGTTGGCGAAACATAAGTTAACGGAGAAGCACGACCTTTTGGAATGAATTGCTGAGTTGTTGGTTCATGGTGGCAGAAGTGTGGAGTTGCAATATTCGAGGGAGGGTGGTTTCAAGTCGCCGTTTCTTTCCTTCTGACTTTTCATTGCAGTGTGCCTCTTACTCCAAGTTTCCCGGCGGATATCTTGTACTGGCCTCATTGATGTTCTTGGAAAAGATCCAGAGATGACAATGGTAGTGCTGAGGAAGAGTTGAGATTGCTAGACAGTCCTTGACGTATGGTTTCTCGTCAGTACAAGAATAAGTTCTTGGTCTAGACCGCCGTCACAGTATGATATTTATCTCCTCAGAAAGTTGTGCATCAACTATTTGACAATTTGAAACATGAGGAATAAGTTTGATGATATGTGACTTGCTACCCAGGGAAATATGAAGTTGACATGTTTAGTTCACTTAAACAATTGTCAGCTATGTCGAGGCAAGCAAAGACCTTAACGGACAGTCGGATTATGGGGAGCAATGGAAATGCAGAGGTTTAGTGTTGTGATATCTTAAGCTTAGGCTGTGTACTCCGTAGACATGAAGAAAAGCATAACTTGACAATCAATTACCTTCGCTTGTGATTCTTGCCATGTACTCAAGAGGTTGCACGGTATTATGTGTTGCTAGTGACCAAGTTCTGATCCTCTTCCCCCCCCCCCCCCTTAAAAACAGTAGGTGACTGAGGGCTCACGAAAACCCACAGCTGCATGGAAATGCTGTGTGTTGGCGTCTTTTTTGTTTTGTTTTGAGGCAGCAGAGCAGACTTTGTAATCATTCCAAGGGTCAACAACTGTTTGGAGCAGGGTAGTAGCCATATGTGTCAGGTCGATTCCTTGCTCTTATCCTGTCGACATAGTCCAGTCTTTTCAAGGAATCACGAAGCACTGCAGCAATGTATGCATCGTCTTCGAAAGATAACAATCAGAAGCCCTGCATGTCGTGCGCCGTCTCTTGTTGCACCTGTCAGTCGAGTTCACAAACACGTGGTTGTTGTAGTAGTGCCAGCGAAGGTTCACAAACAAGTTTTTGAACAATGACCATCAAAGAGCGCTTATAGCAAGGACTTGATGAAGGGTGACTGAGCCTACTAGTCACCAGATGGGCAGTAAAACGCTATGGTTGACCAACCCTGGTTACCATTATACATTGCACTCTCTTGCTTGGAAGATGACCCTGATACCGGTGGCCAAGAGGCTGTTTCATCAAATTCTGGTTGCCTCTCTTTGAGAAACCAAAGGATGGCTCAGCGATCCCAGGGCAACCATTCGTAAGGGTCGAAAGGGTTATGATCGCAAGGGTTGTTGATATCGTGGGATTGGCGTGATCAGGTAGTACCATATGCTTCGGTCACCACGACTAAACTAAACAGAGTCTTCCCCTGAGACGTTTGTCTCCTGAAGAATCGATAGCTTAAAACGGTCAACCCGGCCAAACGTTCGTCGATCCGTCTTATTCCGGGAATCCACTTCTAGGCTTATCGGTGCGCAAATTTCTCAAGTTGGGCATTGTCGTTGAAGGTTGAAACAAGCTCGAGGCTCTCCCATTTAGAACTTTCAAGCCAAACAGCCATCAGCTGAAGGGAGCCAGCGCACTTTTGTAGTATTTGATCGCTATCCGTGCAACGCAAAGCGCAGAACACGGTTGCGATAACACCATCAACTTCAAACAGTTAGGCAGCCGATAAGGGCAAATCCGTTGCAATCTGCCCAATGTGCGAACCGAAGAGGGCCAATCCGCCCCCTTCTTTCTTTATCAGTATCAGTCACCTGGCTCATTCGGAGGCCCCGTAGCATGCCACGGCCGTCCCTTTCCTGCCTGTCGGCTTCCTTCCGAGTTGCCCAGCCGTTAGCTCCAGGCATGAAAGAATTTCCTTCCAAGTCCAACGCCACGGAGCAGCACGATGGTGTCCGGCTCCCCTCACAACGCTGGGCGATGTACCCTGATGACCTTTCGTGCAGAAAGGCGCAGGGGTTTCGATGCATGCTGTACATCCAGGCTGGAGATTTGCGGCTGCTTCGTGTCAAGAAGATAAAGTTGCACGCGTGCGTGGCCTTCGTTGGGCGCTTGGGAAGCCACCTTGATAGTGACTGGTCTGCTTGTCAGATACTTAATCCCCTGAGCCAGCCCACCATCGAAGGGGCTCTGAACGCTCTCACACACTCTCTTACACCTCTCTTTCGCATTCACATTCTTGCTACCTATGCTGGCCGGTTAGTTCTATGGCCTTGTTTTCAACCAACTCATAACGTTGGAACTGAATCTCGGTCAACTTATGGCACCCTCTGCACGACGGTTACCGCACCTCATCCCTTGGATCACCGACGACGCAATCACGCACAGAGTTCCCATCATTGCCACTCATCATGCGGGTCAAGGATTGTTTGGCCTCACCATCTCCTGAAACCTTTCCTCCCAGCTTCAACCCCCCCTTCTCCTGGTGTTCGTCTGTTGTCGACCCCTAGTGTGTTAGGGTTAAGGTTGTGTCAAAGCCGAGGATATCTGGGGACGGCGACGATCATTTCTTGACGTTGCAGTTACCACGAGTCAGGCATATCCTATTTGTAAATCGCGAATTCAGACAATCAATTGCTATTATCGAACAAACCACTGGGCTCGGGAGCCACCCCCACGCTCCCCTGCCGTCCATGGCAGCAAGGATCAAGACAGTTTTGCCCCCACGCCTTTTCCAGGGCTTTGATTGGGCTGAAAGGACCTCAGCGACGGATCAAGCGCCCGAGAAATTCCGTAGGCAGTTTGGAAAGGCTGGGCAGGTTTCGGTGCGCTGCGGGTCGTATCCGTAACGTATTGATTGAACATTACCTAACTTTTGTTCACCGGGGTTGTCGTTGAAGGATGGAGAAGCTTTCATTAACGGACCAACGGATTTCCGTCCTCCCTAGTACGTACCTACAATCCTGCAGCCCGTTCTTTCTGGTTGAGTTTTCCCAATTTCGGTTCTTCGTTTGCCACAAAGAAGGTGTGTTTTGGTACGGGAAGTTAAGCGACTCGAAGAGCTTTCACCGCCTTCGACGACTGCGCAGACGGCAGAGCGGAAAGAAGGTTTCATCCAGCAACGGTGGCAGGCCAAGTGGAAGCAGTGGGTCAAGTCCAGCCTTGCGAGCAAGGAGGTTGGCATGACATGTGATTGCGATCTGGCGGTTGCGCTTCGACGTGGTCTTGGTGCTGATAAGCCTGTTGATCGCGCTGATAAGAAACATGCCATTGGCGAACGAGACCTGTTGAGTTGAAAAGCTTCTCGAAGCTCGGAAGCGGAGCAAGCAGCGAAATCGGAACCAAGGCTCACACACAGCATCCGGGACCCGGAGGGTTTCATGCTGGTATAACTGGACGAGAACCGCATTCCCGGGCCGATTCCGGGGCGTGCAGCCCAAGACGGGAACAAGCTTGGCGAGTGGAGCGGTGGGAACTGCAGCAGCACTGCAGCCAGCGCAGTTGAAGCCCAGCAGAATGGAGGAATGCGAGGGCAACTCAAAGTCGACAGGTAGACCGCTGTCGTCCTCCCAAGCGAGCCCTCCGGTCGTTGCTGTGGCTAAATTGGACAGCGGGGACCAAGCGTCGTACCGCACCCGAAATGTCTTCGCTTCGTCGCTGGGGACAACAGTAAAGGCTACAGGACAGCAGAGCCGTGGCAAGCCGGCTAATGCTGCTTTGGTGCTGCGTAGTGCAGCGTAAGACCTCGCCCGGCCGCTCAGTGGTTGTCGCCGGTCGGTTGCTACACTATGTGCGGTTTACACTACCGCGCAATCCATACGAACGCCGACCTGCTTGCCATCGCTATTTCGCTCGTACAAACCCAGAGTGTTGCAGATATGGTTGCTTGTCTTCGGAAAATGAAGGGAGCGAGCTCCACGAAGCAGTAGTGGGCCAAAGTGGGCTGCTAGAGCCTAGCAGAAAGCTTCACTTACCAGTGCGCATCCAGGCAAGTAAATGGTAAACATCCAGCTGGGGTTTTGATGCCACGGCTGGTTGTAGTTGTCGGATTCCGAAGACTGTACAACCCGTTGAGTATTGATGCCGGACGCTGCGACGTTGCCGTGACGTTTTTATTTTTGACGGTTTGCAAGTTATGGATGCAATAGGAAGCCCACCCGTCCCAGCTTTGCAGAGAGGTTCAGTCGGGAGCGTGAGGCACGACGAGGCTCCACCAAGCGGCCCAAGTGGGCCCAGGGGAGCCAAGGCTGCCAAGCACATGGCGAGACGCTAGTAATGTGGCTGCCGGGTAAGGTAACATTACGGTCCCTCCCGAAGTGTCCTTAGAGTTGGAGGAACGCGCGTTCTCAGCCAATGTGCTGTTGAACCGGAAGAAGCAAGTAAAAATATACATCAACGTTAAAAAGACGGCGTTGTGATAGGATATTTGGAAATATGATAATCTCAAAATGAAGACAGTGAGAAAAAGATGATGAGTCTACCCTAGCTCACCTTTTGGTCCTTGAAAGCACACGTACGGAGGTACTGTGTAATCCAACCTTCTGTTACGGGCTCCACAGCTAAGCTCCACTCCCTGGAGTGGGGGTTCCCATGCAGGCTGATGCAAGTGCTCGACACATTCTAGGACCAAGTACGGAAGATGGAGCGCAGCAACATGTCTCCGTACCTAGCGCACTTTCCAGCTCCATCTTCAGTTCTCGTGGAGGTTATTCGGGAAAACACTAGGCTATTTTGCTGTTATGGCCGCGTCGATCTAACGACACGAACTAACGGGAACAGCCTTTTTTTTTGCATCGAGCTTGCACTGATTAGGACGCATATGTTCTGAGAATACGGCCCAGTGAAAGCCCGAAGGTCGAGCACTTGTCGCCGGCACCTTCTGCGTCTCGGTACCTGTGTCGGCACCCCACACGGACTGTAAGCTGTAAGCCCTCAGTCCAAACTCGGGAAGCTCCCCACGCTCTCACCGTGTCACACGAATGCCTCGCGCCAATGTGCTCTTCCTCTGCTCTCCGAGGACTGGATCTTATAGCGGTTGGCGGAAAGACGGAAGTATGGATTCGCGGAGCATCTCGACACTCTGGACTTATACCAACAGGTTGCAGCTGCTTGAAGAAAATACGAGTGCAGTAATTGTACCATGGACTCACGAATGCTCTCAAACAGGCAACCGCATTATATTGCTTTGGACAGCAACTCAGTCAGGATATGTCTGGATAAAAGTAACATAGACCGAAGACCTCAGAGAAGCGTGAGCCTTGAGGAGAATTTGGATAGGTTCTCAGAACCCGGGTGCCCCGCATAACGTTTCTGCGCAAGGGCTGCCACACAGCCTTCCGGGACGTGGCAACCTGGAACGCGGGATGGCAGCCTTCCAGAGGGGATATTGTCCGTTGCCGATACGTATGTATGAACATTGGAAGTGGCTTTCGGCTTGACCCGCCTTGCTTCTTCCCAGCAACGAGTGCGACCCTATGAAAGGCTTCAGATGCATAGCCTGACCAGTCGAACCCGGGAAACACTGCACAAACATATGTCTGGCAACAGTCGTAACTGTCTGCTCTTCCCGTTCCCATAATTCTCCAATACTGGGCGGGAGCACAGGGTTCAAAACGCCGACGGCAAGTCGGCTGGTCGAATCCCTCAAGGCACGCATTCGCTAAGTTTATGAACGGTCCCCGTGGTCAACCGTGGTACATAGACCGGCCATCTCAGCAACCCCCCGTCTATCTGTCCAAATACAGGCTAAGGCCCGTTGACGGGCCCAAATAGACCCCGGCCCTAACACTGTTCGCACGAGCAATCTTGTCATCTTGTTATAGCCGCTGGAGAGACATGTTTGATGAATCTGGTGGCGATTTCGATCGTGGCAGATCTAGATTGGAACCGTGCTTTTCTTCACGTGTCAACAATCGCGGCAGAGGCAGCTACAACAATTAATCCTGAGCATTGGTTCTCAGCCTTGATCGCCTTGCCACCATTCACAGACAAATGGGAGGTTGTGGTGGGTCTTTCCGCGTGTCTGCAGTGGAGTTGCTTTACGCCGAGACTCTCCGCATCCCACCCATGCAGGCATGCCACAATCCCACCTTTCCTTCGGATCCACTAAGCGGGGCAGAGAGGTATGTACACGGCGGGAGAGTGGACATGGCCAAGTACTCGACTTTTCTTCGCCAGGGCACTCGGCACTTTGAGAGGCTTTGAAAGTGCTGAAGTCATGACTTTGTCGTCTCCTCAGACAACATGACATACGGCCCTCATACTGCCATTTGCGCATCATCCCATGGAGATCAAATGTTAAGATATCGTGGGGGAATACAACAGTAACATGGATCTCCTCCCAGTCCCCACAAATCCGCAGATTATTGTTCACAGAGGTGGCAGAACAAACCAAGAGGGGGGCAGAGCAAAGGAGCTGGTTTCTGCGGCCAACCGCCCATTCGAACTGCATATTAATAAGTAAAGGGAGAAAGATTATAGTAGCCCATTATGGACGAGAATGCAGCTGATGGAATTTCATCTGTCACGATTCAAGCAAATACTCCAGTACAAGTAATTTCCAGCTCATCCTTTGAAGGGCGGTCAGCCTTAAATGGGCGTAAGACGGGGGCTCTTGGAGTTCAACGTCTGAAATAGACTCGATGGACTTTGAAAACATGCTCCCAGAGACTAGTCTGTTGATTGTAAAGTAGTCTCCAGCAGAGTTTCTGGGTCCGTTCAGCTACGTTTATCTGAGATACATACATTCATCGGTCCCAATTCCCGCGGTATGCGGGCTGGCTGTTGGCGGGGTTGACTCGAGCAGCCGCCATCAACTCAGCGGTGGACAGTGGACGATCCCCACCGGCGGACAAGAGGCCCCGGCTATCCTCGAGGTTGCGGGCGATCGGCGCGCTAAGCACAGTTTTGCAGGACCAACGCTGCGACGCTGCGAACGCAGCTAGTTCCCAATACACGAGTTGGAAGACAATTCCACTTGCAGAGGGCGCAGGTGGGCCCCATTGGCTTAATTGGGGGATTTCAGGCCGGCTGCTGAACACAGTGGGCTGGCCCCTCCTTCCGTATGCTCACCCACCCTAAAATCTCATGTCTTGAAAACACGTAAAAGCAAAAAAGGCTGACGTAGCTGTTTTACCTACTACACCTAGCTCTGGTCTTTTGGCATCTGCACATCTGCCGAGTGCAGTGGCGTAGTGGGCCTTTTGGAGCTTGACAGCGAGGGCTTGGCTGCCGGTTCTGCCCGGAGCGCACAGGGAACGCGAAGCTTTAAAGAAAGCGTCCACGACACGGCCAGTGTGTGTGTGGATTGCGGCTGTCCAGTGTCTGAGTGTGCGCCTGCGTGGCCGGGTGAGCGCTGCTTCGAGCCCTTGCTTTCGTCCTGAACACATTGAAGGTGAGGCGCCCTGCGGACCCCGATCAGATGCCCACTGTGGTCTGGGCATTGGTGACTCCCACCACTGGCAAGGTTAAGTGGAAGCCAAAGTGGAAAGCGGGCAACCAGGGCAATCCACCAAGCTGCCCGGTGCCTGCCCAGCGCCACCAAAAGAGTGTGCGTACCCGCTGGAAACCCCCCCGGCTAACGACCTGGAACCCCCAGCAGACCTGTACCAAGGGGGCCTGTGCTGCCACCCGAACGTGGGGAAAAAGTCCAAAACCGGCACAGTGACGGAGGCACGACGGAGCCAGCGCTCCTTTGCCTCTCTTTTGCGCCGAGGGGCCGGGTTCCTTTTTCGCTTTCGCCGCCAGTGCTTCCAGCTTTCTCTCTCCCCTCCATACCTCGATCGAACCTGAACATTGAACACTCCTGGTGATCAGACTTCCATCATCACATCCCGTCTTCTCTGCATTGCACCGTTCGCTGCGCAGCCACTTTCTGGCCCATTGTCACCACTCACAGGGCAATGGCAGCGACAGCGGTAAATCCCTTCCTGACAACAAGTCCGCTGGTCTCAGCACACCATCCTACCACCACAGAGCACGACTTCCGCTTTCCACGCAGGCCCGCCAACACCATCGCCGCGACCGGGAGCCGGACAGGCACAGGCCCAGGTACAGGCGAACGACTCAATTCCGGCAGCCAGAACCAACCGCCTTTCACTTCAGTCACATCCGGGATAACGTCAACTACGACGACAACTGCAACGCCGATGGCAACAGTAGCGACAGCGACAGTTAACGGCGCCAGCCGACTGGCCAGCAAATGGCCCGCGCACGATCTCGCCTCAGACACCTCCCTGACTCACAATCTGCTGCGCACCTCCACTTTTGCCCCCTTCCAGCAGAGCGTCGCCCGTGCGGAGCAGAGCTTCGACGAGATGCAGAAGAACGATCCGCTGGCCCTGCAAATATGGAAGTTTTATGCAAAAACGAAGCAGGCCCTGCCGCAGCAGGAGCGCATGGAGAACATGACCTGGCGGATGATGCACGTCAAGCTGAACAAGGCCAGGGCTGCTGCCAGTGCTGCAAAGTAGGTTTTAACCCGTGGTGCGGGTTTTTGCCTGCTCCTTCCGATTGTCTCGACTGTCCTTGACGTGTACCTTGCTGGTTATATAGCAAGGCACATTGCTGGACGGATTGACCCTTATTTTTTTTTCTTTATTTTATAAACCCATGCCTTCTTGCCTTTAGCCAGCAGCCTGCTGACTCGGCCAATTATCTAGGACACAGCGCGTTTCCAGCGCTGCAGCCGCCACTGCTCCCAGCGGCATTGCCCAATTGCGCAAGAGCTCTGAGCAGGCTGCGCTGCAGTCTGATCCGATGAATCTGGACGACTTTATCAACAGCGACGACGCGGGAACCCCGGCTGGCCTGGGGCATCATTCTCCCCTGGACACCTCCCAGCAGGGAGACGAACGGTCGAGTCATTCGACGGCCACGGCCATCCCCATCAAGGGCCGCAAGGAGCCTTTGCAGCAGCACTTCGTCCCACAGTCGGTGCCGGTCGCCGCTCACCAGAGAATGCAGGACGAATTTGGCTACATTCCCCGGCATCAACGTAAAACCAGCATCGATGAGACTGGGCAGCGGGTAAGTGTGCGTCCCTCGTTTTCATTCTTCTGCAGCTTCAAGGTGTCTTCGTGGCCGAGGGGCCGAGGTCGGGCTTGTCCCGGCTTGCGTTCCTCGTTACGTGAGCGCTTCCGGAGCCTGCTCTGCTTTGCCTTGTGTCAACACCTTCTCGGCTGGCGATGGCGATCTGATATGGCTTTGCCTTTTAGCAGACCCGGAAGCGCCCAGCAAACTTTTCCCCTCATCTTGCCGCCGTCAACAGCAACAACAGCTTTTCAGGAAATGGCCTGGATGCTGACTCTGAGCTTCCCGAGTATTCTCTTGATACTTTGCATCACCAGCATGGTGTGAGCCAGCCGCCAGCCAACGGGGGCCTTCCTTTCCAACTAGACACCTTCCGCATCAACAACGACACCATGATGGCCGGTGCGGGTACTTTCCAGACCGGTTTCTTCTCCCCCGTCACCTCTCCCTTGGTGCCACATGACCCATTCTCTGCCATGTACAATGGCAACAACATGTCTAACAACCTGATGACTGATTACTACTCACCTCCTGGCTCTGCTCACCAATCCAACGTTTCTACTCCTCACCCCCTGGGTGAAGGCGATAACTTTTACTTCGGCTCGATGGACATGCGCCAGCAACGCCAGCAGCAGCCGTACAGAAACGGCCAGCCTATTATGGGCAACAACGCTATGGGCCAGCAATTCCCCTATGGAAACAATGCCAACGGCAATTTGATGTTCTCCACAGTGACACCTACCACGGAGGCCGCTCCTACGTTTAACACAACCAACACCTTTGGGCATATTGATCCGACTCAAGTCTTCCAGCAAGATCATCGTTCTCCTGGCATCAGCCTTGGCCAGGAGAGTATTTTCACTTTCGGCGCAGACTCTGATGAGGAGGATGGTGGCGCTTTTGCTGACCGCAACCTTCCCCTGTCTCAGGAGTTCTCTCCTCGCAGCGTCGATGAGAACAATATTGACAACTCGCTTTCTTGGGATCCGTCTCTTCCTGGCAACTTTAGCACCCACGCCGCAAGATATCCCGCTGGGCCTCCCCGCAAGCAGGTGACCATCGGAGGCACCACGACTGATTATGTTGACCCAGCTGGGGACTGGGAGAACGGAGGCTTGAACCGGACGCAGTCACAGCGTTTCCGTACCGCAAACAGCCGTCCAGAAAAGGTTCCCAGGCCGGCGTCCATGGGATCGCTGGCCATGGCAGGCCAGAACAACCAGTTCACACAGCAGTCACGTACTTCACCACCAGTCGATCATCGTCAGGCTCAGGGCCAGGGTCATTCGTCTGTGGCGCCTAGCCGGCCTTCTTCTCCTCATCCAACCTCCAGAAACGCCTCGACGACCAATCTGCAAGCTGCGGGAGAAACCCAGACCAAGAGCAGTGGCAACAGCAATGGCAATAACAACAACGGTAACCAGCCGACGACTTGTACCAACTGCTTTACTCAGACAACCCCTCTTTGGCGCCGCAACCCAGAGGGCCAGCCCCTTTGCAATGCCTGCGGTTTGTTCTTGAAGCTGCATGGCGTTGTTAGGCCGCTGAGCCTGAAGACAGACGTTATCAAGAAACGCAACCGCGGTTCCGGATCCGGCGTTAACGTTGGCGGCTCTAGCACTCGTTCGAGGAAGAGTGCCAGCTCGGCTAACCTTTCTGGCGGTATCACCAAGAAGAGCTCTTCTCTGAACGTTTCAACTCTGGCCAACAACTCTCAATCCAACCAAGCGAGCACTCCTCCTGCTACTCAAAACAATGGTAATGGTAACGACAGCCCATCTGGTTCCAACAATGCCTCTGGCAGCACTTCCACTGGCTATACTGGTGGCAAAGGTGTCGTGCCTATTGCTGCTGCTCCGCCCAAGAACACCCCCGGGCCCGGAGCCGGTTCTCTGTCGCGCTCTGCAACGGTCTCTGGATCTTCTTCCAAGCGCCAGCGCCGTCATAGCAAGAGTATTCTCACCGGCGAGCAGACTACTTCGGCTGGCGGTTCCGGTATGGATATCGACAGCCCAGAGAACTCGACTGGTTCGAACGAGGCTGCTGGTACTTCGTCCACGATCCCAGTTTCTCGGCCCTTGGCATCCAGCACAGCGCTGTCTGGCCTTGGTGGTGTCACGAGCAGCAGCTTCCTCAGCCTTGGCACCAACGCATTTGGCGCCTCTTTACAACGGCCCAGTGGCGGGTTTGGCTCTGGTATATCCGGCTCAGGCGTGAGCATGGGCATGAACTTGCAAACAAGGTCCGGCCCGCAAGAGTGGGAGTGGTTGACGATGAGCTTGTAGTCGGCCATTTCACAGGCGATCAAGCTAACCAACCTTTTTTGCTGAGAGACTAACCTTCTCATACTGCTTGCTTAACTTTGCAACACATGATCATGATATTGGGGGGATAATTTTTTTTTTTGGGGGGGGGGGGAGGGGCGGCGGTCATCAGGGGAGGTTTCACGCAGAAACCAGTGGATGGACTGGTAGATTGATGGATGGTTGGGCGCATGCATGGTTTTCTATTTCTCACTTTCACATTTGATTTGTCATTCATGCTCGGATTATACACGCATGGTCGGATTTGATGGCTCCATGTTTCTTCGTTTCTTTCCTAGTTTATGGCCTTTTTTTCCCCACTGGGTCCTGGTTTTCCTTGATAATTTTTAGATGGGGCGGTTACTATTACTATTGGGTGGATGGGTAGCGACTTAGAGACACACACTCACACACAGAGAGCCTTTTCACTACTCTCTTTATTCCGTACGGATTCCACGCTGGTTGTGAAGGACGGACAGACGGGAAGGATACCCCTCATACTACGCGAAGACATACCCCTCATAGCACAAGAGCGTGGACGCTAGGAAGCAGACGCGCATGTCGCGACGGAACGATTTGGTCCATGATCACAAACGGGAGGCAGAAAAAAAGAATCACGGTTTGCGAGATGGGGGACACAGAATCGCTTAGCGATTAGGTATTTACCTAGCCGTTCGCGAGGAATTATTACATCTGTTTAAAAATTCTATATATGTACTGTGATGAATTTATGCGGTGACACGTGCTTCCAGCTCCTCTTCCTGAAGTTCCATTCATCATGTGTCCACCACATGAAACTCAAGACTCAACATTCAGGGGGCCGTAAGAGATATTTCCTCATGATCGTCGTCACATATATTACTATAGTATTAGGCTTAGTGTATACGTCTTCAATTTCTCCATGCATGTTGTCCACACATTCCTTGCGATATTGCAAGACACAACCAAATGTATCTACTCAACTGTCTTGCCGACTCCCGAAAACCCGTAGACTTTCCTGGCTTTTATCCTTGCTTCACCCTCTCCATACAGCAATTAGCTGTTCTTCACAATCCCCAACACACCAGCCAGCTTTCCCCAAAGCCCCATGGCATAGCCAACCTCCACAATGCCCTTAGCAAACCGCCAGCTGCGCTCTTGGTCCACGACAGGGTAACGCATCGGCGGCGGGATGGCGGTGCGCACGCCAAGCCACGACATGCGGTCCTCGCAGACAGCCTTAACGTTGCACAGCCCGCGCAAGCCCTCCTCGCCGGCGAACCGGCCGTACCCGGACCCAGCGACGCCGCCGAATGGCAGCTGCACCGCGTAGGTAGCGGCGAAGTCGTTGACCGAGATCATGCCGGCCTTGATGCCGCGCACGATCTTGGGAATGCGCGGGTCCGAGTCGGCGCCGAAGACCGAGCTGCCTAGGCCAAAGTCGGGAGCGTTGGCGACTGCCAGAATGTCCTCTGCTGAAGGGGACGGCGCGCGCATGATGACCATGATCGGGGCGAAGCACTCCTCGTTGGCGATGGCCATGTCTGGGGTGACGTCTACGAGCAGGGTCGGGGAGAAGTAGTGGCCATTGGGGTAATCCGGGTGGGCGTAGCGCTTGCCGCCGACAAGCAGACGGGCGCCGCGAGAGACAGCCTCAGCGATGAGGCCCTCGAGGCGAGCGAAGTTATTGTCAGAGATCATAGCCCCAACATCGGCGTTTTGGCCGAGACGCAGGGCGCGGACACGAGGTTCGAGGAGCGAGACTAACTTGTCGTAGATACCGGGAGCGGCGATGATGCGCTCGATGCCGATGCAGTTCTGGCCAGAGGCTTGGAAGCTGCCGCGCATGAGGATCTCGACGACGCGGGGGAGATCGCTCTTGCTGACTGTATCGAGGATGATCGAGGCGTCCTTGCCGCCCAGTTCAGCGACCACAGGAATCAGAGCCTTGGCAGCCGAGGCAGCAACCTTGTGGCAGACAGGGCGTGAGCCGATGAAAGTGATGTGGCTGATACGCGGGTGTGAGGTGATGTGGCCAGCAACCTCGGGCCAGCAGACGACGGTCTGAACGAGACGGGGATCGTGGCCGTGAGCAATCAGAGCGCCGCGGATGAGCTTGGTGAAGTATTGAGAGCTCCAGGCGGTCTGCTCAGAGACCTTGACGAGGATACCGTTGCCGGAGAAGATAGCGCTGATGACGGGACCGATCAGGTTGTGGAAGGGGTAGTTCCAGCTGACCAATGCAGAAACGACACCCAGGGGCTCGTAGCGGACAGTGTTTCGCTTGTAGGTCATGAGCAGGTTAGTAGGGCGGCGCTCGGGCACCAGAGCCTTCTCGCCATGCTTGATGGTCCACTGGAGCTTCTCTACAGTGACGAGAACTTCGCCGAGCTGCGCATCCACCATGGTCTTGCCACTGTCAAGACAAGCAATACGGCAGATCTGCTCCTGGTTGTCCAGAACATGCTGGAGAAGAGTCCGCAAAACGGCACGGCGCTCGTTAAACGATGTGTTCGCCCACTTCTTCTGAGCCTCATGGGCTTCCTCGATGGCACGGTCAATCGTCTCTGGTGTTGCCGGCTCCACGTAGCCAAGAAGCTCGCCAGTCGCGGGGGCGTAGCAGCGGATCGTGTTCGAGCCTTCGACCTGTATGTTGGGCACAAGTCAGTCGAGGACATACCAGGAAGCCATCGAATCGACCAGTTTGACACTGGAAATCAAAACACACCTTGATGGATGGCTTCTCGAGGATCTCTGGCTTCTCAGGCCGCTCTGGCGGAGAAACCTTGTATGGGATCGGCCGATTGCTCAACGATTGGAACAGAAGCCAATTCGAATAAGCCAGGACAATGGCAGCCAACACTGTGAGATAGGTCTCTGGGGAGTTCTTGGGGCTGGAAGAATGGTCAGCGATACCTTATTACTTTGCAATGAAAGCACAAGGATGCCTCAACCGACTCACCTGAATTGCTGGATGATGGGCGGCAGCTGGTCGAGCAGCTGCAGCACCGTGTCTACCACCGTGGATGCCATTGTCGCCGTCCTCAATCCAGACTGCACTCTCAGCAAAGAGGAACACCGGTTTTGGCAAGCATTGACGAGCCGGCAAGGAAGGATGTAGGAGAAGATGATGTGGGATGAACGGTTCACTTGTACGCGCTGAGGTTGAAGTGCGCGTCGTGGATGGGACGAACGAAGGTCAGGTCATTCTGTTATTTTTTACTGGCCCGCCTGTTCCTGGGGAGGGTTTGTACTGTGCAAGGGTCTAGCGAGCAGGCTAATCCCAGACCCACTCCACACTGGCCAGCTTTGGTGCTTGGACACAACATCGAAAAAGGGGATTCAAGACAAAGTAAACAACAAACATCCAAACACCAAACGGCGACTTTCACAAGAACAAAGTACAGATCGGGCAGGGAGGGAAACCCATTGAAGGCAAAAACTATATACAAGATAAGCCATTGTATTCTAAAATACAACGTGTCATCGTGGTTAGTTCTGCTTCGCAACAGTGGTGACCTTCCCGGTCGTGCAAATGCGAGTCCCATTCCACCCCAAACGCCAGTTGTCAGGTTAACTTGTCTAAAGCACCTCAACACATCCAAAAGAGGGAACAGTCAGTGCCAACTCCCGTACCACTCTGCCTGTCCCATTGAAATAGGGGCAAGCAGAATGGAACAAAGCCAACTTTTACACCTCACCAAAATCTTGATGGCACAACAGCCATCACTACCATTATCGTACCACTCACCATGTGACGATTGCCTCTCCCTTCCCAATCAATCCTGCCGACAATCACAAGCTGCCACCCTTTTACAGTAGCCACGTACATCTTCAGGAAGATATCATGCACAAACAACTTCTTCTTTTCCCCCTCATGTATGGGTGACGACAGAACGCCGCAAGCAAAAAAAAAAAAGACCGGGATATCTATCAACAAAAAGATAAACAAGAATATGTGATCTCAAAAAAGAACAAAGAGTCGATGAAGACGGGTGCCGTTACCATGCCTGCCTGTCTGACAATCCAATATCGACAGACAGCCGTCAGCCAGCCTCATGCAAACATGATTACAAAGTACTCCATACAGTATCCATACAATCAAAGTACCCGCCCATATTGTTCTCCAATCATGACATTACACAATTCACATTGGCGGCTCGCGCGGCGGCTCCCCCTCCGTGGTATCAATGCTCTTCTTCGAAAATGCTGACAGCCCTCTCTTCCTAACAGTGGCGAGGTTAAATCTCCGCTGCCCCGGCTCCTGTCCCTGTTGGGCTCCCGAGGATTCGCCGGCGTAGCTCTCCCTCTGGTGGCTGTATGTATGCCCGAGGGACGAGTGTGTCGACTCGATTCGGCTCAGCCTTGCAGCCGACGTGAAGTCATTGCTGGCCTCAAAGCTGGGCCGCACACGGTCGATAGAACGGCGGATACGATCATACGATGGACGTGTGCGCTCAATGGATGGCCGGACGGCGGGCGTCTCCTCCTCGCGATCGCGGTCGAACGGCATCTCTTGTTGCAATTCAGTTGATGTGCGGCTCTGCATAATGTATGTGGTGCCGTCACTGCCGTTCTGCGCGCGGGTGTTGTGCGTAGCGATAGACGGAGGATAGATGGGCCGGCGGTCCTCGTCCACGCTGGCGTACTGCTGGTGCTTGGATTTCTTGCTGCGTCCAGAGCCCTTGCCTGAAGATGACAACGAACCGAGTGATTCGCCTTCGACCCTTTCGGGACCTCCAAGAGCCGCCACCGCTGCTGCATCGGCCGCTGCAAAATCGCCGCGGTTGGCCTGCTCGCGAATGATGTCCACGTCATAGGGGAATCGCTGCTTCTGGATGCACTTGACAACCAGACGTGGGAGCAAGCAAAGAGCAGGAGTCACGATTAGGCACATCCAGAATGTCAGTTCCTGGTATACTTGTGGCGCTGCCTGGTAGAAACCAGCGGAATAAGTTGTCGCCGTGTAGACACCGGTCCAAAAGAAGATAAAGACGTCGGAAAGCACGATGCTCAGAAGCATCAGCCAATCCCAGCGGTACGTATTGATCAAAATGTAGCCGTTGATCGTGATGACAGCCGGATGCGCGATGTATGCGCCCAATCGTGTGCGTTCAGACACATCAAGTCCGTTGCCGGCAGCCGTGGGGGTGAGGACGACGAAGATGAATGGAATGAAGAAGGACATGACCGACTGGTAGACACCATCAATCATGTACAGCCAGAACTTTGTTTGCGTCCATTCCTTCCGCTCAATGCCACGCCTATAGAGCTGTGGAACGGCCAACGACACGGTGTCCGATACGTCCTGATCCAAAACGCCCATAAGGATGACTGGGACCGACGTAAAGAAGAGGTTGAACATGAGGATATAGGTGTACTCGAAGATATAGGCGATGTCGAAATTGCAGTAGCACTGGTACCAGAAGATGGACCACGTCCAAATCATGTTCTTGTAGAAGAAGTTGCTGATGGTCTCAGCCAGTCGGCGATATGACCACCTGCCATGGACAAGGACAAGCCTCTGCAGGAAACGGAATTGACCGATCGCGAAGTCTGATGACATGACAGCTTGCCGGCCTTCCTCACCAGCAATGCCCACGCCAACATCAGCCTCTTGGATCATAGCGACATCGTTCGCTCCATCGCCAATCGAGAGAGTCATGACATCAAGGCCATTCTTGACCATCGACACGACAGCTGCTTTCTGAGCTGGACTGACACGGCAGCAAAGCACCGATTTGCACTGCTTGCACAGCAGCAGGAACTTTTGCTTGAGTGAGTCGCTGAGCACCCACCGCAGCGTGAAGCCGTCGATGACAAGCGCGTAAGTCGGGGAGGGAGCGTTGTGGTCTTTCCTAGCTCTCTTCAGCTCTTCGTCGTCGCCTGTCATGTTGAACCTTTCCAAGTTGGTCTTGAGCTGCTCTTCAGCGAGCTGAAGATAGTCGTCCTCGGTGCTGGCGTCGCTCTCATTCACCTGCAGACGAAGCAGATCCATGTCGTTATTAAGCAGGTTACATGAAAAGCCGATATTGATGGCCGTCTCGACCTTGTCGCCCGTGAGCACCCAGAGCTTAATACCAGCATCGGCCAGGAGGGCAATCGTATCGGGAACGCCATCCTGGAGCCGGTCTTCGATTGCGGTGCCACCAAGCAAAGTGAGGTCGCGCTCAATCTTATCAGCCACCTCTTCGAGCTTCTCCTCGCGGTTCTCCAGAGCAGTAGCAGCGAGGTCGTGTTCCCTGCGCCACTCACGGTATTCCTCCTCCGAGAGCTCCCTCTCCGCAATACAGAGCGTCCGAAGACCCTCAACGGCGAACATTTCGAGATGCTGCGCGGTCTCTCGGCGCATATCGGCCTGCTCTCCTTTCTTGAGACGCGAGTAGATGACGCTATCAGCCCCCTTGCAGAAGAGCAGAATCCGGCCGTCTGGCATGCGAACAATCGTGCTCATCCTTTTGCGGCTCGAGTTGAACTCGATGATGCTGAGCACTGGGAAATGCATATCCTTGCCCATAACATTCACATTGATGCCCCCGTCAGACATGCCGAGAACGGTGAAGCCCATGTCGCGCGCGGTCGCAACCAAGGCGGCCTCATCAGGTGACTGCGCCTTGAAGATCATCTTAGGAGGGTCGCCTGGCTGCTTCTCGGCGACGACCGTGTGGCAGAGGGCAAGCGCAAGCATAAAGTGCTCGGTGGCTTGCTGCTGCTCCGGACCATTCTTACCGGCCAAGTCTTCGACGAAATCGGGGGCGATGAAGGTCATATCCTCGTCGTGGAGATATGGATTGTCGTGCAGTTCCCGAAGGCCGCGGATGGCCCTCACCTTCGCTGCTGCGATCTCTTCTCGAATCACCTTGGCTTCCTCCTCAACATTGATACCTCGTCTCCTATCCATGCCGGCCTGTGCCTCAGTGTAAGCTTCGCCATAAGGTTGACCGTTGATAGTCGCCTTCTTGAATTCCATGACGTTCTGTGTTAGGGTGCCGGTCTTGTCCGAAAAGATGTACTCGATTTGGCCCACATCGTCGGATATGTTCCACGATTTGGGGATGCAGGGCTGGTCGATCTTTTCGTAGTACATGCCGACATCGCTGTAGATGAAGAAAGCTTGTAGTGTCCGCACAATTTCCAACGAGATGTAGAGAGAAATGGGCACCAAGTTCTGGAAGACGATGACAGCGGCCCAGAACGTGATAAAGCCAGTCAGCGCCGGAGTCCCTCCAATCGAACCATACTCGAACCAAGCCAAGGAAGCGTCTGTCTTTCCCCACGCGATACCGTTGGCAATGGCGGCGATCAGGCACATGATTAAGAGGATACCGAAGTTGCAAATGACATTGAAGTTAAGCTCCCGAGCAATGCGCGCGCGCTTACTGGGCGTGATGCCAGCATTCATCATGATCTTAGTGTCATGGCCAGTGAAGACAACCACGCCGAGGGCCCATTCGGTGTTGCGGAGATGGCAGCCACGCAGCAGGAGGTTGTCGATGCCAATGGGCTCAGACATTTCCCTAGGTTCTCCGTGGGGATCCCAGGGAACCCTCTGCTTCCATCTGATAGCACCATTGTACTTGTAGAGGTTCGGCTGAGGAGGCTCGCTCTCAATAACGAACTGAGCACGCTCGCAGTCGCGAGCATGCTTGAGCGTTCTCCCGCATCGCAAGGCCTGTCGCACCTTTAGGTTGGTTTCGCCATCCAGGTTCTTGGTCTCAACATAGCAAGCACCATCGGGGTCTGAAGTCGCCAGGATGATGATGTCGGCGGGAAGTTCGTCGTCGTTGTAGATGCGTACAAAGTCACCCACGACTAGATTCTTCCATGCATCCTTGTGGAATCGCGCTTTGCCAGAGACGGGGATCTCGTGGTTGATCAAGTCTCCCTTCAAGTTCTGGAGTAGCGTAGCTTCGTTCTCTATCGCAGACGATACAGTCGGCACGTCGGGATCGTGAGGAACGGGAGATGGCACTGGGGTCATCTGGATTTCTTCCGTGTGTGAGGCAACCGATCGCCGATGAGATGGATCCCACGGTGCAGTCCTTGTCTCAATCGACATGCGCGGGTCCGCAGAGGCAAAGCGTTGACGCATGGACTGAGCATCCTCCTTCCACAATCTTTCAATGAGATGCCAGATGGAGCCGAAAAAGCGGGAGTTGGCTTTTTTGAACCTTCGCCATAATGAAACGTTGTCCTTCTCTACATTCACGTTCTCCCAGCCCTGTAACCGGTGAACAGGGGCATTGTTGAGCTCGATGTCGAGAATCGTTCTCCGGTAATCCTCAATGGCATCCTTGATGGCTGTGACAGTGATAATAACTATTAGGGGGACGGAGTTGAGTCCAGGATTAACTCCGCCAAAGATAGGGAAAATCTATGGTTAAGGAAGGTCAACCGAGACAGTTCAAACGAGGGAAAAGGGGGGGATGAAGCACGTACAACTAAGATGACAAGGAAAAGGAAAAAAATATTAGCGATGTTGTGGAACTGGAACCATAAATTCTTGGGAATGAAGGAAAGCGGCGTGTACTTGGCAGTACGGATCTTGTTGCGCGGAAACTGCTGTATTGGGTGTCCCTCTTCGTCCTTAAGTTCAGGGGGCAGAGGGAGGTTGAAATAGAGTTTTCTGGGCGCAGAGCCCCCGTTATTGCTGCTGGAGATGCTGCCTTCTTTCTGATCACCATCTGCAGCAGGGGAGCCATCATCTGTCACTCCGGACTGCCGTTTTTCTGTCGCCGAGTTCTTTGCTTGCGCCCTCGTCATCAACGAAAGCCGTTTCCTAGCGCCGCTCTTAACGGTCAGCCTTCGGGTGGCCCATCTCGACCTCTGCATGGATAGTTCTGTCCCATTCCCGCCGCCTTCCTCCTGGGGAGGTGCCATGATGACGGGAGTTGCGGGCAAGGCCCGATCACCTGGGGATGCGCGCCAGGTTGATCCGGGGTCGTGCTAGGGCGCAGTTCCAATCCCGCACCGCAAGGAGTCCAGCTTGGCAAAGAAATAGATCGCCCCGTATGGCGCGGGCGTTGCGGTCGCGGCGATTTGAATCAAAGCTAGCCGCAGTCAATTGAGGAGAGGGAACGACGACTGGAGGCGATGTTGTGGTCAGATTGCAAGGTAGCGAGAGCGAGGGCGTTCTGGGTCGATGGCAAGATCGTGAGGCAGGCTTTCGTGGGATGGACAGGACATGCACAGTGTATCGGCGCGTGCTGTGTGTGTGGGCGGCCGCAGGGCACGGATGCAGCGAGCAAGACTTGGGGGTCGGGCAGCCCGCGGCGAAGCAGATGTTTCGTTCGTGATGCTATGGAGAGAAGCTCGCGATATGCTCAGGGGAAGAGAAGTCGAGACAGCGAACGAAAGCGTTAAGGAGCGCGGCAACAAGTTGGTCGCAGAAAGTGGAAGCAGGCCGGAAGTGTCGGGGTTTTGCAGGCAGCGAGAGCGGAAGGACCATGCTAGTGTGCATGTAATCCGTACGGTGTACGACCTAGCGGGCAGTACGGATACCTATCGCATGTACTTGTAAGTAATCCGTAAGCCACGGATATCAGCTCGTGCACCAGGGCTTGGAAAAGCCGCTCAGCAGAATCTCAAGGCTGGCAACGAGAAAGCAAGTCAGCAGGCCGCAAGGCATGCAAGAGGTGTGCTGATGCCTGCGTGCTGCATCAATGGGCAAGAAGGCCGAAAGGGGGAATTTTTGTCACGACGACCTCAGGCTCGCGGAGGCGCTGCTGGGTAAACTGCGACAGAAAAAAAAAAGAGGACAGCAGGGGACAGCTGGGGTCCCGGGTCATGAATTGGTCAGCCGCTGTTCATTTCTCATGGAGTCGCGGCACGACAGGTGGGGCTGCACTGGGGCTGCGCCGGGGTCGCTCGGCTTGGTTTGGAAACTCCCCTTCTTGCCCCAGCTGGTCGTGATCCCTGCAATGGTACAGCCATGCAACGTTGGCCGTATTTCGTGTGATGCTGTTGTCTTTGCAGACTTGCCCAACGCAGCGCCGAAATCGTGGGAGTCGTCCGGCAGCCGTGCTGCTTTCTTTGAGTCTGAATTTCACAGCACGTTTGCTCGAGATTTCCATGACCACATCGGACGATTAACTTGCAGGTTGGTCACTCGCATGTCCATTAGCGCCCCAGTAGCCACATGAATTCAAGATTCGCGCCCCCCAAGAACCTGGTGGAGCTGGCGGAGACGAGACAGGGGATCGTCGCCTAATTGTGGCCTGGGCTGCTGACGGTCGATCTTCCCAGCGTCAGGGGAACACAACCAACTTCACGATCTCAGTCCTTTCTCGGGTTTTGCGTGAAGCCCGGCCGCCGACGCCGCGCTTCCAGGTTCCTGGATTGCAACCTTACAACGTCCTGCGGGTATGCAGTTGCCCATCGCAGTCAAAGTGGATGGGGTGCACACACAACGACAGTCTCCAGAGGCTCCCCTCGTCATCTCCGTCCAACCTGTGGTTCAACAGATTTGAGCAATGAACGCCGCCAATGGCTGCAGGCAACCTGTCCGCCAGCAATTCGTACAGATTCCAGTTTATCCGCATATCTCATCTCCTTAAAAGAGCCCTCCCTACCTAATGTAGGTATGGATACACCTGTACGGTTAATTGATACAAGTACTACCGCAATCGACTGCCACACATTGTGTGACCAGAGATCGTGCCTCGTGGCACTTGAACAATCCCTTACAACGGAAGACCATACATCCTGCGTGGATTACAAGCTGTACCGTTAACAGCCCACTCATTCACTCAGCAAGCTGTATCGAGGATGCCTCCTATGCACCTAGTTGGCAGTAAACCGTACATCAATCTTTTTGGTGTGTACGTAAGTCTCCTTAAAAAAAATGCTTATAGATTACGTCTGCTTGTCATGTTGGCGCTTGATGAGAAGGACGCTTGCAGGTGTCTGGCCAAAGATGTCTTACACACTCTCTTACCCGCTGGCTTACGCAGCGTTGAGAAGAACAGGCACCGGCCTTGTGTCTACCATCAGCAACATTCGGTGAACCAATGAATGATGTTACTCGAAGATCTTGCAGAATTCTCCCAAACAAGCCAAGAGCTTCTGTGGTCAGGGCTCTGATCCGCGATCCACGAACGAGTTTCACCTCCAGATGTTTCCAGGAAGAGAGGTGACGAAACTTGTGCATACCCAAAACTGTAAGTGTTAATATCGATCTTATTTCTATATGTCTTGTCATAGTGGAAGGTTGCAAAGCCACGCTCCTTCTGATACTGTGAACTGGAGAAACGGGTTTTGGTTCCGAATCCAACTTGGTTTGTGATACGTCCTTGATAGAGGTCTGGTATCTGAGGCTCGGCTTGCCGCTTGTTGGTATGAGAGCGAAGCGAAGATTTTTCTGCGTAGAGATACTTAGCAAAGCCGGAAACTTGGTCTCTGCTCTTCGGTGCAGGGCAGAAACTGGAGCCAAGCATTTCAGCCATCACATCAACAACTTTAAGCTTTTGGAAGTCTTGATCAGCAACAGTGTTTGCAAGACGTTGCGAAGTTTTCGGAGAGGTCAGATGAGTGGAATCTTTAACAATTATTAAACATGCAGTATACGCTGAGAACTTGATTGCTCGTCCAGCCTCATGTGCAGCTGTCAACTGATTGGGGTAAGAAGTTTAGAACTGGTACACGATGTTCAATGGAGTACCACCATTCAACACAGAATCGTTGGGACAGGGTTTCCAGGCTGAACTGTCAAGAAATATTCACTGTCTTACCGCAATTACAACTCACATAATCCGTATGTAACAGACCTGGTAACGTACGGAATACGGGGCATATTGGATGGTCCGTGCTCACATCAAGGTCTGAATTGTGAGATCAAGAACGCGCTCTCTTTCAGCGACGCATTTCGAGATACAAGCCATAAAGGTTCTGGGACTCCCGCTGGTGTCAAGTTCAACAGCCTGCATTTTGATCCAGTTCTTTCACCGTTTCGCAAGTTTAGCCACCAAGGCTGTCAAGTATAACTGAGGTGGGAAAATGCCCAAAAACAGCGCCATCACCAACTTCTTCAAGCCCGTGCCCAGGTCCTTGCAGCCAGCAGCGTCCTCCCAACAGCTGCCAGAAACACCCGCTATTTCTCGGGATTCCCCGCCCCCGCAACCACTATCCTCATTGCCTTCCGGTCTGCTTTCTTCGTCCCCATCCTCACCCAAAAAGCCTTCTAGAGATCGGGACGCGGTGATCAAGGGATCAGATGACGAGGATGAGGTCTTGAGCTCTGACGATGACTTCCCTGAACTCCCCGGCCTCCCCTTTGGCCATCGAAATGTGTTCCAGCGAAGGAATCCAGCAATAACCCCAATTCCTTTTCCACGCCAAGGGCAAAGCGGCGGGCAGTAGAAATTTATTCGTCCCCCCTAACAATTAACACAAAGTCGAAGCCAAAGTATGATCTCGCTGCTCTGCGCAAGCATGAAGAGGCTGAGAGAGCCCTCCAAGAAAGTGAGAAGCGAAGCAACGCCCTGGAAGCCCTGGGCTCACCGTCTACCCGCTTCGCCGCAAAGCTAAAGCAACAATCAAGCAGCATCCATGATTCATTGTTGGACGTCCTCCCAGATGCGGAAGGAAGCCAGGACGAGAGCAAGGTCCGGCTGCTCCAGGCCGTAGCCAGAACTGAGGCCACCGTACTCCCGAAGCAGTGGTTCTTCTTTGATGAGTCAAGTCAGACCAGCACCATTCCACTCGAATCTCGGTCCTTATTCCCTAAGGGCATGGCAAAAGGGGTTTGGGCCTTTCTCGCAACGGAAGGTCGCCGGAACGAGGTGTTTGAAGACGGTCTCCCCCTTCGCGTTCAGCGCAAGATGCAGAATCTGCCAGACGAGATCTTTCAATGGGTGCTTCAGGAAGTCTTCCATGAGAAGTCCAAAAAGCTTCGTGATGAATACCTGCGGCTGCTTGGGGCATGTCCAAGTCAGATCAGGCGGCTTATGGACGAAGATAAAATTACGTGGCTGTTCCAGAATGTTGGTGCCTCAGAACGTGCACTTGTTGTGGGCTCTCAACCAGCTGGGGGTTCAGACCTACCCACGAGTCGTGCCCCATGCCCAGAGCAACAGCGAGACCTCCTTGGAGTTGTCTTGCGTATTTTGAAAGAAACTGCCCACTCGCTTGCTTTCAAGTCCCTTACGCGGGCCATGACTCTTCTCCTCCGTCTTGGCATGGACCATCTGGTACGGGAAGACGCTGGCATCGCCACTGACCATCAAAATGCTTTGTCTGGGATAGCGTTGGGCGTTCATAGCTCAGATTGGAATAACTTCGTAGGCAGCCCCTCTCTTCCACCAAAGAAGCCCTTCCCAATTCTCAGGCTTGCTGACTGAATGTGCCCTCCTGTCGTCTAGTGCGGTAACGTCAGCGACTCTCTCTACCATCACACCCCGGAAGCAACATTTCGCTGGAATGCGGTCTCGTCTATCCCGCCGCTTCATCCAAGGTTAGTCGAGCTCCGACGCAGACTGGCACTCGTCTTCGTGTTTGACGACCCGCAACGCGCGTACCGCCGTCCCGAAGACACTTTCAGCATGCGGTCCGTTATTGACCGCCTTGAACATGGAGATGGCTTCGTTATTGACCGCAGCAGCACCGACTTCCTTGAGTTATTTGCACTCACGCAACTTTTGGCAGTCGCTATTGGAGACGGATCGCCACCTCCCGGTATTCCGCAATCAGAAGCAGTGAAGCAATTCGATGCAGAAGTGGATGAGGTTGCGTATCGCATCAGGCACATCTTCTCAATGATACCTGAACAAGGCGCAGCATACATGTCGAGAACTGAAGCACGTGGGTTGCTAAAAGACTTGGAGCACAAGCTCCTGTTTGCCGTCCGGACGCGGAGTCCTCCCAAGACAGATGCCTTTGGGCTTAATCAGCCTAGCGATGGAGTGGAACTGGCCAAGCAGCAGGAGTATATGAAGAACTTTCTTACCCGTAACCAACACTCCTCTCAATAGATTGGATGGCAGTAATCACTCATTCACTTGTCATCGCGATGTCTGTTGTTGTAACAGGCATCCTCATGTGTAGAGGATGCCCATAACGAATGTTTGGGCAATATTGCATTTTTCCTGCCCAAACTGGGCTTAACTTCCCTTTAGCTTATATCATGTATCATACAAATTCTTAGATACCCAGTATTAGCCGCCCTTGTTTGGGCTTGGTCTTGTCTTTGCATTCGTATGATGGAATAAATTGACTAGAATGCTTCGAACCCTACTCGGATTCGCATAACCATGGCGAGCTGCTCCTTACAATGCGTCTCAGCAAAACATTACTCCATACCAGCCAAATAGTCTCTCTCCGGAGACAGTACCCCCTGTCTTTGATCTCAATCAAAGAATTTGCGATTGGGGTTCTTGCCGAACAAAGTCTCGCGTATAGCCGGCAGTGCACTCTCCTTGAGGTGCTTCAACCTGGTCTCGAAGGTGTTGTCGATATCGATCTTGCCATTGCCGCCGACAATGAACACACCACCTGCGCTGTTGAGTGGGGCGAGTGATGTTAGCATCACCTCTTCAGGGTTGAATAGTGATGACATAGCAGTGACAATCATTCTTACCTGCCCTCCGGCAAGTCGTTCCTCTCATCGACTGTTGCGGAAATTTCCTTTCCTGTTTTATCCTTATACTCCTTGACGGCAGCATCAATAGCCTTGCGCACAACTTCACGGTCCTGCTTTCGTGACCGGATCTGAAGGGCTGGCTCGTCCATAGCATAGAACCCCTCCAGGATCAGCCCCTTAAGTATGCCCTCATACCGCACAGCGTCCTTTGTGGGCTCGCCCAGGCGCTGCTCGGCGGCGTTAAAGATTTCGTCCAGCAGCTCCTGGCGCGCAGCCAGCACGCGTAGGCGTGTCTTGTTGGCCAGAGTTGACCGTGTAATCTGCTGGGACATGGTAGCTTGCTTGAACTTCTTCTGGTAAGCTTGGTCGATAGCATCGGTCTCCTGCCTCACGAGCTTGGACTTCTCTATGGCGAACTCTTCATCTGCCTTGATCTCAATCTCACGCGCCTTCTCACTGGCTTCTTGCTTGATGAATGCTGTCATCTTACGCAGCTCTTGTCCGACCTAAGTTAGGAAAACCATGTTAGTAAATTCCGTCCTCTCTCTTCCAAGACCGTTTCGGGTGCTCCTCTTCCCCATCCTCTTCCCCATGGCGGGGAAGGCGGGGAACCTCTACGGCCACAGTGTCGAAGGTGCGAGGACCACTGCGCCATATAAAATCATGTATTGAGAATATAAACGTACTTGATCGTCGGACAAGGCGTGGACTTGTGACATCTTGGGCGGTATGGTAGAGGGCACAGTATGTTAAGGGTTCTGTAGCCTGGGTGGTACCGGTGATGGCGAGCACCAGTTCGAGATAGGGATGAGGGGTTGCGTGCGGAGATGCGCAGACCAACAGAATGCAGGCCGAGTGTTTCCAGAAAGTAATGTGCAGTGTCTATGAATCGATGTTGCTCACTCGGGGTCGTTTGGTCAATGAAATGTCGTTTCGATACTGGGCAATGGGTCGGCGACGTCGAGATTAACCAACAACGCCGTTGACGCAGCTCCCGCTGGACATTGGATGGAGACCTGCTTCTTAGGCTTGGCAATGGCGCAAGCTGCCCGGAGGCCCAAGAGGGGGGTAAGGTGCGATAAGATAAAGACCCTGGACCAGCCTCCACATGTATCATCACCATGCTAAACCCTGGTTCCTGTCAAATGTACCGTCAGCCTGCGTTCTCCTGGAGCCACACCCCACAGTGCAGACATCGTAACGGAAGCGCGGCAATGGCCTGGAGGAGCCGCAACGAGCCAAATGTAAAATGTCACAGATTGGTGCCAGAGACTAGGGAGGCTGGTTGTTTTGCATCTGCCTGTCGCCCTAACCGATCTGCCTCTGTTCCAAAACCTCCAGCTGTTGCTCTCTCTCAAATGAGCAAAGGCCAAGTGTCCCACCCCTTGTCACAGCATCTGTTTCCTAACTCACCCCGGTGTGACCCGTACGGATCCGTACCTGACCTACGCCATCGCCCAGGTGCCAGGACCGCTTCTCCAACCCATCCGCACGCGCAACCACTTCATCCAACCTCAAAATCACATTCCACAGGTTGGACCTTGCATCTTGGCCCAACTGAGAACAACCTCACGTGTGCAACATCTCTGGCCAGGCACAAAACAAGTTACCCGCTATTCCTAGGCCAGCCGATTGCATCATCGCCCAAGAGCAACTTTATCAAGTTGGAAGTGCAATAACTGGCCGGTATACTAAGCACCTACCTAGCGCTACTTGTTTTCCCGACAACGTTGGGCTTCTTTGACCGTTCAGGCCTGCCGGACTGGCTAAGTCAACAGACTTTCTTTAGAAGGCCCTACCGAGTCAAGCCCATCATCAATTCGACCAACAATTCGCTTCTTTTGGGACAATACGTATCGTTCCGTTTGGAGACCTTTCTTTGTCATCTCCGATTTGTCCATTTCATGTGGCTGTGACGACCCGCTGCCGAAGGTTGATCTGCCTCATGTATCTTGGCCACACGACATCATGGGGCTTATTGATGGCATCTCTCCTGGTGGCAGCTTGGCTGTAAGTTGCCTTGCGCTTAATTTGACGTTGTGCCGGCCTTCCCTCCTATCTGTTCTTTACCATCTTGTAACCCATGCCATTCAGAATTCTGGACATTAACATGAAATACAGCTCGGTATTATAGTCGGTTTATTGTCTACAAGTGTCCAGAGCCTTGGCCTTACTCTACAGAGAAAATCTCACATTCTCGAAGATGAGAAATTCCCCCTTGATGCCCGGCGGCCCCCCTACCTGAGGAGACGGTGGCAGATTGGAATGGCTATGTTCTTGATAGCCAATGTCCTTGGGAGTTCGATCCAGATTTCTACACTTCCGCTGCCTATCTTGTCGACTCTTCAAGCGTCTGGTTTGGTTTTTAACTCGATATGTGCCACCCTAATTCTCGGAGAGCCTTTTACAAGGTGGTCGGTTTGGGGGACCTTGTTGGTTTGTGCAGGGGCTGTCCTTATTGCCACCTTTGGTACCATCCCCTCTCCGGCACACAAGCTGAGCGAGCTACTGGAGCTTCTCAGCAGGAAGCCGTTCGTGATTTGGATGTCGTTCCAGGCTGTCATCATTGTTGGCTTGGCCTTGGCAACTGACATCGTCAGCTATTTTACAACTCTGATGCAGGACCATCGATTCCGTCTCACCCGTGGGTTCTCATATGGATTTATCAGTGGCACACTCTCTGCTCACTCCTTGCTGTTTGCCAAGTCGGCAGTGGAGTTGCTCGTGAGGACAATCGTTAATAAAGACAACCAGTTCGTTCATTGGCAGGCGTGGATGATTGTTGTCGGGCTTTTGATTCTTGCTCTGACACAGCTCTATTATCTACACCGCGGCTTGAAGCTGGTTTCGACTTCCGTCCTATACCCCTTTATATTCTGCATTTACAACATCATCGCAATTCTCGATGGCTTAATTTACTTCCGACAGACAGACCTGATCAACCCGCTTCGCGCGTGTCTCATCACCCTTGGCACTGTCATCCTCCTGTCCGGTGTTCTCTCCCTTTCATGGCGCCTAACCGATGAACAACACCCTCCAGCAATAGGACAGTCCACGCTCGCTCCTGGCTTGGGTCTCGTTGAAGATACAGAGGGAGAGGAGGATTTTGAAGAGGACGTCTCTCTTCATTCAGCCTTGCTGGACAATGAAGAACGAAGCAACCTGGATACAGTGCCCTTGCCCAGCTATCAAACTTTTGGTTCTCCGCCAGCGCCCTCTCCAACCATTTTTACACAGCCTACAACTCCAGGTACCCGCAGCCAGACCCTTATGAGCCGCTCAAGATTGCGTAGCACCCCTTCTCGCTGGCAAGATGCCGGCATTTGGGGCGAGCTTGACGATCGCAGCACAACTGCACCTCAGTCTCCAGCTGTCAGCAAGCGCCGGTTGGCATCTATGCCGATCACTACCAATCGCTCCGGCGAAGAAGCAGAGCCTCTCCTTGGAGGGACTAGGAGAAGTCTTGGCGGTGGTAGGCGAAGAGTGTCGACCGGCTTTCTTGGCTTCACTGCAAGGAAAAAAACATTAAGTACACGCACAGGAGGGTGTACAGTTTCTGCTAGTGGGCGTTGGGGTTTGTGGAATTGGTGGCGGAAGAGACAATCACGACCAACACCAGTGCCGCCCGAGTATAGAGATGATGCCAACTTAGAGGACGGCAGAGGGTCTGGGACGAGTCCAGGTATAGGATTAGGGTTGGGAGTTCATAGCGCGCATGAAAACTCCGTAGTCTAATTAGGGGGCGGCTACGTATGACATGTAATTTTATGTATAAAGGTCTTAGCAATAACACTATTACGTGGACTAAACTATCCGAAATACCGTATATCGATATCCTTCGCTATTGGGCAAGGTCAAGAACACAACAGGAGTCTATAATAAAAGCCGCCTTTTGATGTATTGAGATACATGCGAAACTGCATTGAGAGATAAAACAGCTTTATGTCACAAAGTGCTAGCGATTGAATTCACTATGTACTATCACGAAAGGAAACTAGAATAAGGACTGGCATCGTGTTCACCATCAGGAACGTTTATGTCCTGCTGCTCTTCAAACTCCCAAGACTCAAAAGATTGCTTTGTTACGGGTAAGCAGGAGCAAGGTGACCTTAAAGCAAAAAACATTGGCTCTTCCTTCTCACAAGTGTATACCAGCAACCCCTGTGTCTTCAAAACCTCCCGATACCGTTCTTCTCGTCAATATGACGGAAGCGCTCGCGCTCCTTGCGCTCCTTCAGCAGGCACACGGCAGAGAGCAGGAACACGACGTCGATGCCCACCATGCCAAACATCGCAGTGAAAATGTTATCCAAGAGCACATTGATAAAACTAGAAATAGGGGCCACACAGCCACGCATGAGTGCCGCAGCGGCAGGGCTGGGGCATGTAGCGTCGGTGACGAAAACTGGGGCAGACGTGGCGTTAAAGTAACCACAGCAGGAGAAGGTGGTCTGCATCAAGCTCTTGATGTCGTCCGGCTGCACGGCGAAAACCTTGGCGAAGCTGGCGCGCGTCTTGAGGGTCATGATCCAAAGATACAAGCCAAGAATCATGGTGAAAATGGCGCAGACAATTGTTAGATAACCGCCGATCTTGATCCAGGGACGCGATCCGAGAGCGAGACCGGGAAGCGTGGTGATGAAAGTAACGAAAATGAAGACAGAGTTAACAATACCCGCTGTTACCAGTATTAGCTCGGAGTCGGAATTGAGCATTGGCTCTGCAAGGGGTCACGACTAACCTGTCAGGGGGAATTGTTGATACATCAGATTCCGTGCAGCTTCCCTCCCGTTGGAAGGTGCGTTATCCTTGATGTTGTTCACGACGACGCAGAAAATGAGGATGAAGATGCCCATAAGAAGGAAGAGGGCGTCAGAGATGACGTAGACCATTTGCACCTTGCTCGCCATTTTGACTGTGAGAGTCGACTGTTATGGCACTTAGAATGTGACCGTTTTTCGCCTATTTCCCTCTTTCCTCTCTCTCGATTCCCTTATCCTGACCGAATACGATTGACGTCCAGCGTCGTAGGTGCCCTGAAGCCTGCTGGGCAAAGAATGTGGTGAATGAGATTGGCCGGCAACTCGAACACCGAAAGAAAGTAGTCGCGATTAAAACAATACAAAGAGAAGGAGGGCCTCGCTGGAGTATCAAACCATCGAAAAGGCCCAAAGGAATGAGCCCGACGAAGGCTATCTATCCTCGAGACGATGAGGAAGAAGAGGAGGTGTAGAAAAGAAAGCGACAATAAAACCCAGAAAGGCTCCAGGAAGAGAAGGGAATGAGAAACGAAGGTCCAGCCTAAAGGCCAGCAAAGGAAAAGGATTCTGTCCCAAGAGAACGAAGGTACTGAAAAGAGGAGAAAAAGGGAAACGACCAAAAAGAAACAGACAGGCAGCACGAGGGCAATGCAGTGGGCATCGATGGGGCAAATGACGGGGAGAACCTGGGCAAGGGCCTGTTCAGCAGCCAAGAGACCAGGCCCAACAGACAAAGCATACGACATTGCTACTGCTTGTGCTTCAACTATCTTTCTCCAGGGCTTTGGACCAGTCAAAATTCACCAAACACGGCAGAGAACCCAAAACAGGCATGTTTTGGCCAGTGACATGGCAGTATACGAGTCAATGGCCTGCCCCAAGGCGCTTCTGTGTTGTGGCTCGATCCACGGTCCCTGACAGGAGCCGTTTCAGAAGGTGTCGGGAGACTAGGCTTAGCGGCAGTGGTGGCGGCTCGGGAAGCGTCTTGGCATTGGGAGGCGATAAAAATGTCTCCAGCCTTGGCTGTGTTTCGAAGAGCTATGTTGACGCATGGACCAATTTGTCTGCTTGCCTGTTCCGTAGCCGCCGCCGGTGCTCCATCAACGTCAGCATCGCTTCACGGAGGGTTGCACGCTGCGGTTTGCGGGAGCCTGCTCCGAAGCTTTCCACCATGTGGAGAGAGAGACACCGGCATCCTCGGTGAGAGCAGACCGGTGGACTTCGGCAACTGTCCTGACGGATTGCTGAATGCCATGACACCTGGGAAGAAAAAAATGGCTTGCATGTTTTGGTCAATAACTTTCGGTAAGAGTTAGTTTAGTGTAGAGATCACGCAGGTATTTATCGTGCATTTCTGGAATGCAAATGGCTCATTGTTGTTTCCTGCCCTCTTACCAGTTGGTTGCCTTTAGGCTAGGTAACTTATTAGTTGTCTCAGTAAGATAGACATTTTGTACGAGTCGGTGTGTAGGCTACAATATTGGACAGAGGTGGAAGATCATGACATTCCGATCCGCTGCTCCCTCTGCCTAGAAGCCTGATACTCCAATTACCAGGTTTTCATACATCAAACAACAGCCTACGATACACAAAAAAACCTGATTTCACAAGCATACAATATAACTAACAATCTAAATGACTTGTGATATCCAATGGCCTTCCGATCCTCGAACAAAGCAGACTCGATTTTTCGGCCTGGAAGAGAAAAAGTGAAGCTGGCACTCTGTGTGCGTTTCGAGGGCCCACATGCAGGGTTTTGTTCTACCAGCCAATTATAGCCTTAAAAGATGAAATCAAGTGGGCCTGGAAGTTTGTGCATGTGGCCGATGAGCGAGACAGCCAATCAGAACACAGCATGCTTCCGTAAGAAGCAGTTGATCTTTGCGCGCTTGAAAGATTTGTTGGCGGACGGTTCTCTGTGTGATGGGAGGAGAGCATTAAAGTTAGGAGAAATCGCCTTCCTATTATGCTACGAGCGACCACACACTACGTCGACTAGAAATGCCGCATGTACAGTAATAGTTCAAGTTATTGTAAATAACCTCTTTATTGATCTAGATAATGTCCGCATGCTCTTCTAAATGTTAAGCAGGTTCCCCTGAGCTTGGAGCTCAAAAAGTAGCAAAAACAATCCTCTATTTGGTTGTCTCCTCCATATCCATACTTCTGTTGCTCACACTTGAATGCTTACTTCTGTTCTGAGGTTTGGGCTTCCGTATTCCGCTGCTACCGCCGTCGATCAACCCTTCGTCTGCATCCTGGATCAACTTCTCGAGGATACAATGTCCAGACTTTGTTGCTCTGGCACTCTCCAGAAATTCAGATCAGGCACATAGGTGCCTAACTACATTTTTTTTTTATTTTCTATTCCAAAACCCATTGTTTCACTTTTTTTTCGAAGGGTTACTTTCCCAACCAGAATACTTGAAGGTATCCATATAACTATAGCTAGGTCGATTAAAGGACCTTCCTACATCCTTTATCCTTTCATACTGGTAAATCACAAAGTTAAGGCCATAGCTGGACTACACAGGCAAATATAGTACATGTGGCTACGAGGTAATCATCAGTTTTCTCAGGACCTGATGAAAGGGACGGGGGCGTGCAATCACACAATACATATCGCCCACCCCGCTTTTCCTTGAGCAACCCTAGTTACGCGATACAAACCCACCCCTTCCACGGCGACCCTGGTTAGGGGAAACGCGGCACAATGTTCCACGCACCAGTGGCCCCAGAACAGCATCTTTGCTCAAGTTTTAAGATCTAAGATCCATTTCCCGAAGAGACTGCTGAAGTTTCTTTGTTCGCTTCGTTCAAGATCCAGATCGACCACTCTGTCCGTATCCGCGCAAACTAGTGGATCAGCTAGTGTACAACGTTGTCTTACTCTAGTAGCTTCCATCTGGAGCGTTCTATGCGAGTTCAGCCCACGTCCTACGGCGTGGGGCAAAGTTACCGGCAATTTCATCCCGCTATCGATCGCGACTGCAAGCGACATCAGTCGCTGCAGGAGAAAACCGTTCGAGGACCAACAAACATAGTCCCGTCAAGCCTTTCCCACCATCCAGAAGACGAACCGGAATACAGTACGTACACTACGTACGCTATTCTTGCAAGAAGAGATCGACAACATCATGAACAATCACCAGAAGAAGTTGGTGGGGAGAAATTCGATAGTCTTGTTTCCTCTCCCGCACCTGCATCGTCTGATGAGGGCGAGATGCGCGAGATAATCGAGCACGCTCGTCATTGGACAGACGAGAGCTCAGAGTGGCCCTGACCCGTGAAGCATCCCTGCGAGCTGGATGCGCGCATGGAAGGCTCGTCACTCGCTGGGTCGCGGAAGACTGGGGAGACGCGTGAGAACATGCTGAGAATCTGCTGGCGATGGCTGGCTGCCGCCCCTGCAGGTGTGAGGCCCAGCCCGCCAGCTCGCGGTCGCTAAGTCCCCACACTCACATCCTCGGCGAACTGGAGGCTCTGATGCAGATTTGCAGATTCGCGCAGCCACTGGGACTGTTGCTCAGGTCAGACACACCAGTCCTGCCGGAAGCCTTACGCGCAATAAAGGGGTGGCTCCTTCGGACTCGACATTTCTCCGCACTCAGTCCCCCAAGGCTTGCTCTTAAGGCAAGATATCTGCCTGAACATTAAGGTATTAATGCCTTTGCTACTGTCTCTGTCCCAAGTCGAATTATATCCAACAGTTGGCAAAGGCAGTTGCAAAGCTTCATCAAGAGCGGTCAACAGCCAACGGAGTTGCTGTTCCTCGAGGTTCTGCGTGGTCGTTCCCACCCCCACAACGGACAACGGTGGAAGGCACGATTGTGGGCACTGGGCGGAGTTCGATCTTTCCTGCCAATCTCCGGTGTTGCTGCGGGAATGAGGAGGGCACACACAGTGTCTTAACACTAGTTGAACTGTGCCAGCTAGCGCAGCTTTTAGCGCACCAAAGTCCCCACCCCACAGAGGACCCTGCTGACAATTGTCGGATGGGAAAGCTCCCGCTTGCTCAAGCTCCCGGTCACCTGACTTTGGGAGAGCTCCTTCCCACAGAAGCTGCAGGGTCGCCATGCTGTTTCACAAGCCGTGCAGCCACGACTGTGATTTCAGCCACAGTCGCACTAGCGGTAAAACAATTGTTCTGTATTCCCAGGACGACGACGGCGAGGTTGGAGGTTTGAAAACGCCGTTTCTTGAGATTCCTGGGCCTGGCTGGGCGCGTGGGCTTGGCTCGCGAGTGAACACGGTCGCGCTTTCTGGGGCCTGGTTCTGGCTGGCATCGCGCAGGGAGCCTCGTCCAGAGCGCCGTTTACGGGTACTGTATGGCTCCACTTTTGGCAAGCCCCATCCACCGGCGTCCTCGGTCTCGCACGGTGCAGCATGACTGGGCAGGCGCTGGGGGCGCCACTCCCCGCCTTCCTTTCTTTAACTGCCTGGCCGCGGCCCGCAGTCTGCATGCCACCACCTCGCTATTCTCTTTTCAATCATTCCGCATTCACCAAACCCATTCAGTCCAGGTGTGCCCACCTCGCGACTTGACGATTTGACGTCTTTGTTCGTTCCTTACAGGGAATCCTCTCTTGTCTGAAAGGCATCCATCCGTGTCTCCAAAACCAAAAGACCGAACCGCAAACCGTAAACCACAGACTCCCGTGGTTTTTTTGGTTTTCTCGCTTCCCCAGTTTGCAACTTGCCAACTCAGGAGAGAAAGCGAACAGAGCACACAGCCCGCAGGCCCCAGCCCAGAGCACAGAGCACTCATTCACTAGGAGTTTCGTCTCTCGTGTCACCGGGCACCCTGTTCGGCAACTGGCAGCCCTCATTCTCAGGTCACAGCCAGCCAAGGTCAAGGTGGTCGGTGCATGTCACACGTCGATTCGCCTGCCTTCTTCCCAGCAAAATAAAAATTAAACGTAAAATCCTCGCTTTCTTCGGCCGGCACACCAAACTGAATACAGTGCAGCGCCCAACCAGGTCCGGCGACAAAAAGGCGACCTCTCCGCTCAACGCCAGATCCAGTCTAGGCCATCGGCACAACGCTCAAAACAGCATCTCCACCATTTTGCCTTTTTTGTATTTCGTGATACCTGATCGGAACAATGGCCGACATCACTGATCAGCACGACCAAACCGCTCCCAACGAGCTCGATCAGTCTCACACTGTCAGCAATGGTACTGCTCCTGCCAACGAGAACCGCGGCGTCAAGCGTCAGCGTACCAACGATGATGATGATGACGACGAGGGCGAGAAGGGCGGCCGGGAGCGTCGCAAGATCGAGATCAAGTTCATCGCTGACAAGTCACGTCGCCATATCACATTCTCGAAGCGCAAGGCGGGTATCATGAAGAAGGTAAGCCCGAAACCCTTTGAGCGTTGCGCACTTTCATCAGGAACCATCGCGCTCCGCTGCAGACGCGTCATGCGCGTCCGTTGCGGCTGCGGTTGGTTCTCGACGATGCGAACTGACTGCTAACGCGATGCGTTGCGCATCAGGCCTACGAGCTGTCAGTCCTCACGGGCACGCAGGTTTTGCTTCTCGTTGTGTCGGAAACCGGCCTCGTTTACACCTTCACGACCCCCAAGTTACAGCCTCTCGTCACCAAGGCCGAGGGCAAGAATCTTATTCAGGTACGTCTTTGTGACTCCGGACCCTAAGACGCGGTTTCCTCTCCCGTCCCCTACGCGACGCGTCTTCCAACTGACTTTGAACCCCCAGGCGTGCTTGAACGCGCCTGAGCCGCCCGCCGGCGACAATGGCGTAGACGATACAAATCCCGTCGAGGCTCCTGAGGAGCCTGCTAATGCGGCACATCTCCCTCCCCAGCCTAACCGGCCACCTATGCCCCCTAACCACATGCCTCCAAGCTACATGCCAAATGTTGGCATGGACCCACAGCAAGCACTTGCGTACTCGAACTACGTGCAACAGCAGCAGCGTGGCAGTCAGTACATGCCACCGTCCAGCCTTCAGCAACACGCCGGCCACCAGTCATAATCGTCTCCTATCGTCGACATCTCTTATATGACACTTCCGCACGTGCGCCAAAAATACCCACTACTAATGCATTTGTGTTTCGCCATTTTCCGGTCGACATAATTTAGGGGACGGTCTCGGAATCAGCGAGGCTAATATGGTCAGGCGTTGGTGATTGGCGATGTCTGCTCATTCCGTTTTCTCTTGATTTTTCTTTCACCATTTCTGAAGGTTCATCTCCCCTTAGCTTTTGTCGTTGACATCACCTCTTTGCCTGGTCTGCGGGAACAAAGCACGACGACCTAGGTATATAAGTCTGGGTTTGTTGAGTTCCGGTTGTCCTGGGTGATGCACGACCTTTAATATTGGTTCTTTGGGGTGGGTCAAGAGGCTTTCTCCAAGGGTTAGGGTTGAAGGGTTTCTTTGAACTTCTTTCTGGGAGACTGGGCAGTTATCGGCGTCGAGATGGTGGCAGGTTATTTTCGGGCACTGCCTATTTTGGGCGTTTGCGCCGAACAAGGGTTGAGAGGTTGTCCAGGAGTCTCGGGGGGATTGTGGTAGCAAAATGAAGTCAACGACCTATGGATCAATTCATACGACGAATGTTGAAGGCAGGACAGCGTCTAATGTTGGTGACTGATTGTGATTCATGCGAACTTTGCCTCTTAACTTTGGAGAAGCGGTCAGAGCACAGTATTATGCCTGGACAATGACTTCGTATTCTGAATTTCGTCCTCCACTCTCTTGGAGATATCTGCCTGAAGGCAAGGGAAAGGTCAACTTTGGGACAGCAATTTGCTCGCTTCAACAGGCAAGAACACGCTGCTGCGTTATCTACAATGGACCGGAAGTCGGGATAATGCTCAGCGCGGAATGTCACATGTAAATAGTACATTTACTTGTTAACCCGGCAATACCTTACATTGTTAGCTGCTAGGGTGACTTGGTAACGAACCTGCAACATTCCCTCCGTGGATTCTCGCTACCGACTTAGTGGTTCCGTTAACAATCTGATCCTTTCCCTCGGAACCCTTCTTTGGTCTTTTGGGACACGTTGTATAAGACGCCTTCCTAACTTGGCTTACCGTATACCCAGACGGGCAGCCAAGCCGCAAGGCAATATAACCGTATTAGATAACTTCGTAGCCTTCTGAGAGGCGAATGGTAAAGTTCTTGCATCATCTTCCTCTCCCTTCTGATCCTGCACGTCTTTTAAATGCATTCATCTTTATTGCGGGTGGATCGGAAAAAGGGATCAGCGAAGAGGATAAGAAAGAAAGAAGTGCGCATCACATTCGATCATCTTAGAGAATTTCATGGTTAATAAAAGAGATAGGTTAGCAAGAACTTGACGGAAAATCGACGGGGCAGCATGGTACTGCTGCATAATTAGCCGCAAATTCTTAGTATGAAACAGCTATATCAATTTTAACTAGAATTAACTTAGCAGGTAGCGATCTTAAAGCTTGCGGGCCTTCTAGTGTCCACATCCTATTCCATTACTAAGAAACTCTGAAAATAGCAGGTAAAATACACATTCTATGTGAACTACTGGCAAGGCGTAGCCTTGTATATTCTGCTCAGTTGGGGCAATTCCCGGTCGCATTCGAAACTTTCGCATATGCGAGTTGCAGCGAGGACATACAGGTCAAGTCAATCGGCTCTGTACGAATGTTGTGAACACCATCTGACTCGGAGGCATCAATGTTCTCGAGCCGGTCCCGAGACATTTGTGCTCTGACTGAGTAACCATACTTTTAGGTCAAGGTAGTATGCTATGTTCCTTCAGGCTGAAGACTGCTCTCAGGCAACATATTTGAACTCATCAGCTCCAAAGACAACATCTGCTTAGCAGGATTTGAGGAAGAGCATTGACACTAAAAAATTTATCATCTTACGATGGATCATAATCGTAATTTTGCTCGGACATTCAGCAAATCACTGGCAATCATGAATTAGTGGTTTCGTATCGCAACCTATAGGAAAGTAGCAAGAGCACACCAAGATTACAAAGCCGCGAGTACATAAATACACAAATGGCAATATTATTGCTGTTTCTGGCCTAGTAGCAGTTATTTCAATTAGTTTGCATTTAAATTCCAAGTTCTCACTTGTTGCTGATACTCTTTCTTGTCATTTTTTTTGCCCACTGCCTTATGCTCAAAAAGTTGCTAAAGCTCTTCTTTTTGCTTGGTCACGTGAACATTGGAGTCTGTCCCGGACTTTTATATGAAACCAGTCGACTAACTACTCCAGAAATAGGTACGTTTGGAAAGGCCGATAGTTATTCAACGAGCTTGGGGACCTTGTGGTCTCAGAAGAGAGTTGGGTTATTGCAAGTTGTCAGGGGCTGATGCGCTATCTCTCTGACTTTGGAGCAAGAAAAGCAAAGAGGTAGTCTTTGTTCCACAGATTACAGACCAAAATACCGTACAGATAGCTGGGTCACATAACTCCAGGAGTATATTGTAGCGAACAAAACATGAGCAAAGCAAAGGAGGAAAGGATAGAGAATGTGGAAACATAGAAGAGTTATAGAACGAACAAAGGCTTGTGGTCTGTGCGTTGGGGGAGGGGGGTTGCTGAACCCTGTTCGAGACCCTTTGTCTGCCGCCTTGCATCGGGTCTGAGGACAGTTTCGAGATGGTCGGCTTAAAAATGCCGATTAACAGACTGCCGGGACGTCGGAAACCTACTAAGCATAGGAAAGTGGCCCTCAAGATCGAGATTTCCATTTGTCGTGCTCGTGCCTGAGCTCAAATGAAGAACCTCTCTATTCTGCATATTGAGCTCAATGCATTTGCTGGCCTGTCATCTCCCCTGCTCATCCCCACAATTTGAGCACGTTTTTGCGCGGGTTCCCAGCTTCCCGCCGCAGCTGGACTCATGAGCAATATGGCGTCGCAACGGCAGGGCTTCACTCCAACGGCACATACGGAATACTACTTATAAGTCACTCAAACCCGTGCCACCTGGGCTGGCATATCTGATTTCCTCAAAGACGTTTCAGCCTGGAATAATTGCGTATGCTCCCGGTTGCCAAATCTGCGCAGGGAGCATCTGAATTATTCGCGATCGCATACCACCGAACGACTCAGCAACCAATACCTACTTAACTGCCCGGTTGTGTGTGCAAGACCCCACGTTACGGCTAAACAGCAGTGGTCAAACTACCAAAAAGAGACGTAAAGAGACAACGCATCTGTACCACAACACGCCGCTGCTGGACTCGGTTCCGTTGAGTTATACTGAATCCCATCAATTTCCTCGACCACGTTAGCATCACCAGTCTTCGCGCTCTATCACCCATGGACCTATATCAACTATTCCCCCGCCATGACGGCCACTCAACATCAGCCGACGCACACTCCGCCCTGACTATGGACCATATGGATCACGGAAGTGGCAGTTCTTCTTCCCACTCCCAGACCATGATGTCTGTCTTCCACACTGACATGGCTACGTCCTTATTCTCCACGCGCTGGACGCCCTCAAACAGAGGCACTTATGCCGCAACATGCATCTTCCTGATCGCACTAGCCGCCATCTTTCGAGCATTACTGGCCTTTCGGTCCTGGCAGGAGCAACGTTGGCTGGACCGCGAGCGTAACCGCCGCTATGTGGTGGTCAATGGCAAAGCGCCTCTGGCCGAGGCGCTTAGTCGTGATGAGAAGGCGAAGCACATGACCATGGTGCTGAGCGCCAATGGCGTTGAGGAGAGTGTCATGGTTGTGGCGAATAGATCAACTATGCAAAAGAAGCCATGGCGATGGAGTGTTGACCCCCTAAGGGCAGCGTTGGATACAGTAATTGCCGGGGTTGGATACTTGATGTGAGTTATGCGCCTTCTCTTGAGTTTGAATTTAAAACCCGAGGCTAATTGTGGCCACAGCATGTTAGCGGTCATGTCCATGAATGTTGGCTATTTCCTCTCTGTGCTTGGTGGTACTTTTCTTGGAAGTCTGGCTGTTGGAAGGTATATCCCTGTTGGGGAACATTGAACTCTGACTTCAAAGTAAGCTTTTGGATGGTTTTATAAGCCTGGTTATATCCTTGGCATTGCAACGAACTAGAAGCTCGCTCTGGTGTTGTGGCGTTGGTATGGATTGTAGTATTTCTCGCCGAATGGGACTAATCTAGGTTTACAACCCAACTGGAGCTGGATCATAGTGCACTCTTCGATCCATGGTTCTTTATCAACATATGAACGTTCTATAAGGTCACAGTGATTCTTGGTGAACACATTGAGCGCTTGCAAGTATGTACTGGAACTACACCCAAGTGTCCGATTTATACACCCAATAATGTTCCTTTCAACTGGGCACATAGTCTCTTCGTATCATAGCTTTAAGCCCCTAACAGCACAAAAGCCGAAACAACACCCGAAATCTAATTGAACCAGTAGGGGAAATTAGAAAGGAGGAAACTGAGGTAACGGGTGAAAGGAAAGAAAAGCATCTGAAAAGATAAAGAAAAGAAGCACACAAAAAATATGGAAAGGAGAAAAGAGGGTAAGAAGGAAAATAAAAAAGGGGTAGGAGGGAGGTAGGAAAGGGCCAAAGAAAAAAGAAGATGAACACAGTTTTTACCCAGTCTTATTTGAACGGTAGAGAAGATAGGTCAGAAGTAAGGAAGTGAGGCCAAGGGGAATGGAACAGGTTACAAGAGCTATAGTGGCCAAAGAGAATAGAAGCATCGGAAGCATCTAAGAAGCAGACCATGGAAAAAGCCAAGGGGGCAAGGTGCCAGAGAGCCAGGGAAGTCAACGGAGGGCCCGGGCATACCTGGAGCCAATGACTGGCATGCAACCAGCGAAACGCTGAACGTTCTGAGGCCATGGTGCATAATGTTGTCAATGAAAAAAATGAGATGAGAAATTTGGGGTCGTAAGACGGCTTGGCTATGGTTAGCGTTCTTTGTTAGACGTTGAACAAGGACAGAGACTTGGTGCGGTTCGTCGAGAAGCTGAATCAGAGCCAAATTATGTGCAGAAAGGTTAGCAAACCTTACACCCTCCTTTGATTAATATCTTGTTCCTCTCCTACATGACATGAAAGGTTGTCCGCTTACACCCTTCCCCTATGGTATCGTGGCTGACCGTGGCTTTTTGACCCATTCCCGATCCGGGTGGCTTAGCTGCAGTTTGTCTGCGAGATTAGTGGCTCATAAGTTCTGGTATCTTGCCCCCAAATTGTTGGTCTCCCGCGTTAAGCGAAAGTTTATGAGAAAGAGCTTGGGGTATCTGCGAACTTGCCTACCACACCCACCCTGGATGCGTGTCCTTGGTGCTCCCCCCACTCTCAGAATCAGACTTTCCTCGAGGATTCCAAGTATCCGGCATGACCGAGCGGACAGGATGACTTGATCGGATTATAGCGATACACCGCTCGAGGACCGACTAACTAATTAGGGATGAAGTCAATAAGTTACACCCTGATGTCATGGAAAGCTTGCCGGTTCCTGAGAATCAGACGGTCCTCCATTCAACTCACCGTTATATACTGCCCCATGTTATTAAAACGTCGACGTATTCACGCATTCATGGGCGAAACTTAAACATCGTGGACCTCGAGACACAATGAAGCAGAGAAATGAGGGAGGGGTCGATTCAGATACGCTTCGTCTATTAAACAGTACATACATTCACACCTCAAAATATCGCATACGTACCGACATAGGTAATCCAAATGTCCTGATAACTCTATCACTTTGATCATTCCTTGTCAGCACTTCATGATATATTGGCCCCAAAGTCCTACCGAGCGTGAGGACGCCAAATACAATGACTGTTAGAATGCCTATAGAACAGTAGCCGCCATCCATATAAAGGTTGCGCATTAATCAGAGGTTTCGAGGCGTTTAGGGCTGCACGCCAGTCATTGGCTCCAGGTATTCCCTAGCCCTCCGTTGACTTCCCTGGCTCTCTGGCGCCTTGCCCCCTTGGCTTCTATGGTCTGCTTCTTAGATGCTTCCGATGCTTCTGTTCTCTTTGGCCACTATAGCTCTTTTGGCTTGTTCCATTCCCCTTGGCCTTACTTCCTCACTTCCGACTTATCATACATAAAAGAAAAAACAGGGGGGGTGAATTTGTAAAATCAATGCAGGAGGTAAGCACACTGTAAAGTCAAGTAAAGGAAAAGGGAGACGAAAAAGTAAGAACAAAAAAAAAACAAGCAAGTAATGGAAATGACTTGATAGAAAAAAGGATGAGTTTATTGTTATCGCTTTCTTATGCTCTCTCTAGAGTTGGGCCTACATTATTGCCGCCGGGCTGTGGTTATACCAGCTCAACTAGGTCCGTAGTCGGTTCGCCGAACAATCCATCTATTTTCTAAGAGCCCCTGAAATCTACGAGAAATTTAAGGCCCTTCGGAATTCTTCCGCCCCAGGGACTCCTTCCGAGAAGAACAGTGCGGTGACCCTGAGAAGTGGTTATAGTTCTATGATCTGTGAGACGCCCCAATCCCTCGTAAATCATTCTACTTGCTGAGTTCCCGTAAGCTCTCCAGCTTTGATCGTCTCTCCCATTCCACAACCACAGTTCGCCCTACAGATTTTTTAACTCATCGTACTGCGCCCGTATTTTTTGCTCTTCAACCTCCGTTGAGAGCTGCAGGCCCGCAACATGAGTCTTGTTTACGTTCGCGTAGTATTTCATCAACTGTGAGCAGGCGTATCACTTACCAGCCTGTTCGCACTCACTTTCTGCAATATACATATATGAAAGAGCAGAATAAGAGGAATAAGGAAAAGAAGGAATGAAAAAAGAAATGAAGAATGGAAGAAAGGAAAGAGAAGCCCGGAGGAAGAAGAGAGACGAAACAAGAAATCGAAAATTGGGAGACGTATCACGATTAGATTTGTATTAATGTATATATACCGGTCCAGGTGGAGTTCCTCTTGTGTTTAATGGTATCCGATAACCTGAGACACGTCCCGTAACCCCTATCCAAAAACTAGCCAATATCCATACAAAAAAAAAATTTGACCAAACCAATATCGCAGCTTAGTGAATAAAACAAAGAAACAGAGTGATATCGACCAGAACACATCCGTCCTTGCCTGTTTGTTGAGAATATCTGGTCTCCATTTAAACTGTCCCGCGCCCCCCCCCCAAAAATCCTAATTGCCGCTGACCCAAACCATGAAGACAGAATAACTGGTCGAAGAGTATCTAATGTGTTCAAAGAGTTGTATGTGTCAGCAAGACTGGTAAATATGATCTCCGTGCTGTGGGTCAAGACCCCGACAGTGACCCAGCTGTCGCTTGAGTTTTCGTCATGTTAAAAGTTGTCATTCGTCTGTATTACTCTCACTCATTTTTGACCATGTTTGGACTTGGGTCTCTCTTGACATCGTCTCCACGGTTCGAGGATGATGTGTTATTGCCACTTGTTGTGGCAGTTCCCTCAGTTTTTGAGCCGCATCCTTTAACCAGACGATGACGCTAGAGATTTGTTAGAAAAGCTGTTCCAAGACAAAATTGAGAAGCAAAGGTAAAGAACATTGGATAGAAGACTAAAAAGTCTTGGGGGAAGAATGGGGGGGGCCTTGTAAGAAAGGAAACAAAAAAATAGAGTCGAAGCGTGGAATACTCGACCAGAAAAATCTGGAAGAGATCAGAATTGCCAGCAGAGGCCAGAAAACTCACCTTAAGAGCATCCTTTCTACTGAACCGCTTCTCGCAAGAATCACAGCCAAAGGGTCTATTATTTTGTTAAAGAGAAGCTCCCAGGGATGTTCTGGCGGCGGAGGGGGACACTTACTTAACTGCCAAGTGTATCCTTTTGTGTCTCTTGAGGTCATGATTTCTATTGAAGGCTGAGCTGCATTCTGAACATTTGAATGGCCTTTCTCTATCAGGATGTTGAGGGGGGACTGTATGGTGGCTATAGAAGGCCGGGTGAGGCGGCGGCATGGCCGGGTGATGTCCGTACCCGATTCCAGGAGGAATCCCGCCTACAACGGCGAGTGGAGCACCGGGATGATGGATATTGCTGAGTACAGGCCCAGAAATTGTCCCATAAGACGAGTAGGAGGGGATGGGGGGAGGGACAGTGTGGTTTCGAGTTCCTGGATAGGTCAAGGGGGGGGCCATGGGCGGTATCGACGGCAGAGAGCGAGGGATGGGCCCAGACGACGTTGTAGGAGAAGTGACTGGCGAATTCTGCGTTACCGGTGAAGGGTATGGCGGGAAATTACTTTGTTGAGGAGCCGAGGTTGGGGGATAAAGGCTGGTCGGTGTGGGGGGCGGACGGTATGAACTCCCCTCTTGAGATGTGAGAGGTGCTATGCTGTTGCTTTGTTCCGACGCTCCTGGTCTTGAAGTGCTCGAGTTCGGTGGGTTCAAAAGGGGCTGTGGATTTGGTGGTGCTTGTGTGTTCACGGGTGAAGTTAAGGGGGGAACTCCGCCACCGACAGTTCCCGTCTCTGAATGCCCGACAGGGCTCGCAAAGCTCGGCTGATCCTGGTATGAGTGTGATGATGGCTGATTTTCACCATTTGTGATAGATGGAATGCGCCCGGGAAAGTGTTGGACAGAAGGCGAAGTTGCTGTTCCATATGAGGGAGTTCGAGGATAAGGCGGCTGTGTAATCGGCCCCGAGTTTGCAGTCGTCGGGCCGGAGTTACTGTACGAAAATCCACCCAGGGTCGTTCCTCCGGGGGTTGGCCACGAACCCGTCATGTGGTTCGAATAGGGGGGTGGACCACCCGACACAGCAGACTGCGGACTGGTGTTGTGCGAGCTTGTGGATGAGAGACCTTCGGATACTGCTGCTCCTGAGGACGGAGTCAGAACATTGGCTCTTGAGGAATTTAAGGCTGTGTCAGTGTT